GACAAGCTGCACTCAGCCGAGCGACATATGATTTTTATCGAAAAGCGCCCGCCCAGAACGGATTGGCCCGCCTTGAACACCAAAATTGGTGGCGCACATGCATCTGAACCTAATGACAAAAAAGCTTGGCAGCAATGCACGGTTCTCTCTCAGGATATCCCCACGCGATTTAAATGTGGTAATGCGCTGCTGCTCCTACGCTGTGTGCTAAAGGGAAACTTTGAGCCCCTGTTTGACATAGTGAACTGAGACCCTGCTAAATGAGGAGGATCCGCCATGGACCGGCAATAGAGCGTATAGCAGAGTTTTATACGGCATGTCGCCCGTGGATTGGGACAATGTCCGCATCTAATCCAGGTATCGTAGTGGGATCGTTTTAGGACATGCTGTGCAAGGATGCGAATGGAATATGTTACAGTGTGTTAGTCAGCACGAGCACTGCTGAGTTTGACGCGCTTTGTGAAGGCACGCATCGTGCGCATTCCGCTGCATGTCACCTTGAGTCACTGTATCACTGAAATATACCCGACCGTTCCAGGTGGGTGAAGCCTTTCGCTAGGCAGAAGCAGCAAGGATGGCATCGCAGCCTGCGTTCGAGACACGTTCTGTATTTAATTCAAAAAAAGGGGAACATTCGTTCCTGGATCGGTACATGGACAGCTTAACTCTAAACGTCCACCAATCAAATGCTCCATGTATTGGAGTCAAGCCCTTTCTTGACCGCGTAATTTATGGCCCAACGCATAGGCTAGGCACATTTTGACCTTTGGAAATTGAGCAATGCCCTCACAGTTGCCCCCAAAACCGCTGTATACCCTGCGCTATGGCCAGTTTCCCCACCACACAAAGCAGCTCCAGAAAAGAACTTCCTCTGTAGATTGCGCTCTCCCATGGCTCACCCAGGGTTCCAGTCTTTCCACTGTGTTGTGGTAATGCTGGCTCGTACACAAAGAGGATGGGGAGCTCAAAGGCGGAACCAGCATTCAGACGACACATTTTCGTACCGCGGGAAGTGACGCAAAGAGATAATTCGTTTGCTAGGGAAAGTGTGAGGGGGCCATATGGGACAACTCACTCGTTGCACTCGATATAAACGATGCTGCACAAGAGTATCGAGGATTGAGAGGATGGATAAAAATACAGTTGAGCTGCTGCGATCTCAGAACAAAGGGTTCGGCGGCACAAGAAACTAGTTGTTGAGCACGCACGACGTCTAGTGGCGGAAGAAGGAAAGCAAGCACAAACCCCGTCCCTACTCTTGCTGGGCGGTGCGTGTTTAGGGCGGTTGCGGCAGAGTATATCAAAGATGCTGTGGTGTAGTGAGAGTGAGGCGATTAGTGTTTTCTATTCAGGATGGGCAACGCCGATACATGTTCATCAAAGAGTTTCTGGGAAAGTAAAAGAACCAAAAGTCAGCATTGCTATTGCTCTATCCTGCATTTTGATCCAGCTTTGCCATATTAAACCACCGGTCACATTTAAGAGGAGTGATTTTCGAAAGTCCCTTGGTTCCATGCGCTCAACTACTCTATGTCCTCCACGTTATCACTTCAGCAAGAATGTGCATCGCCCTCGGGGCTGCAGTTTAAACTGCAACTTGTAGAGCAGGCTCACCGCGTCCGTTCCGAATTTGGACAATGCTCCTGACCGTGGCGGATTCGAACACATCCACTAGAAAACGTGTAATTCCAAACAAGTCCTACTACGGCGAATACGGTACTAATCGCGTTAACTATTTTCTCCTGTGCAGGACTCGATACATCATATAATATAGTTATTACTTTTCAGCTGTGGAAGCTACCGGTTGACCTGCAGAACCCGGTTTGCGAGCTCGTGCTTATGAACTCGCTTTCTGTTAGCGCCACTCTTAGTATCGTGAAGAAGGTCAGGGTGTTCTTCATCATCTTTACAGCCACCATCTTAGCTTTCCAGCGTTCGTTCCTGCATCTTCTGTAGGCCTATACCTCGGAAGATATTATAAATGAGAACAGAAGATCCATTGTGACAGACCTTACGCGTAACTCTGCCATGGGGCTTTCGGCGATGTATTTCTTCATGAGTCACTACAGTTCGGTGGGTGATATGTTTGTGCCGAGAGACACGGCCTTTCATATCACGATGGCGCTATAATTCTTCCTGGCAGTCATCTTGATACTGAACGTGTTAATTGCCTTGTCCAATATTGCATTTTAGACAGCCGATGACAGTTGGGGCCATGTTTGGCTCGAAGCCCAGCTCTACTATGTAGACAAGGTGAAGATATATCCTTCCTCTTTTAAGGTACTAGAAAAAAAACATAAGATGAGCATATCTCCATGTTCATCCATATACCTACCATAGACCATTTAATATGTTCTTTCATCGTGGGTTTTTGGGGAACACATTACTAGTTCTCAAGTATGATACACTGTACCGCAACACCCAAGGAGGGATAAGAGTGCCACACAAAGTACTTTGAGAGCTTTGGATCAGAATCAGGCAATTTGTCGATAACCACGACGAACCTAATTTGGTGGGTTACTGGACAAGACAGCACCCACGACTGATATGGTTAGGGCGACATTGGGAGAACGGGAGTGATTGAACAGCGCCTGGGAAAGGATAGATGAATTCCAGACAAGACATGATAAGCTGCAGACGGGTCTAAGTGACGACCCGAAGCGGCTACAGCAGCACCAGGGCTCGTTGCAGTTCCCGATGAGAGATCCAATGGAAATTCTTCGACACAGGGGACAATAAGGAGACTATATCCTGCCTTTTGTTATCGATAATAAATGCCTTGTTTCGCGTCATGGGCGAAGTAAAATTTGCTCGATCAGTTCACAGTCCTGAATGAAGACGATAGCGTGCAATTGAGGAGAGGCATGTTTTGAAGCACAGCCATGCGCTTAAAGAACGCACTGAACACGACCTTAAGCTCCGCTCAAAGAATCAAGATGCCTTTACTCTTTCTCGGAAGACAAATCCTCCAGCTACAGCGATGCACAGGACAGGGCTACCAACAACCACCGGCACCCTCAGGAGTATAGTCAGTAGACACTCTGGTAACACCTGCGTCATGGTGGTTTGATCAATTACATGTTCTGATTCCAGGATCTGTTGCTAATCGACTTATGTGGAAAGGTCGTCCATCACTCCCTCGGTTAATAGCATATATCGCATTATGGCAAGCCCACCGCCACTACTCTACTCCAAGCACCAGCACCAACATCAGCAACAATAGTTCCGCTAAATATGCCAACGAACCCGACTGTCCAGAGCTTGTAGGCCCGCCTTTTCGCCATGAAGACCCTCTACCATTCGGCTTCGTTTTGCCCGCACTACTTCTAATCACGCATTTGTTATCCCAAATATAGCCATCAGAGCCGTCGTGGTCACTCAGTTCGTTGCTTGAGAGACGCGACGCCCTGAACACAACCCCAGACCACAGCCGGGACATCACCCCCGAGACCATCAGTCAACTTCTCGACCTTGCCCATCTCCATAAACCGAAGGACGTTCAGGAACTTAAGCGGCTTGAGCGGGATGTCCGCCGGATGCGTAACTTTCTAAATTATATCCGGTCCCCAGACCATCCTACTTCGGCTTCGGTCGAGAGTCTGAGATCTTTGGTCGATGATGGCGAGGGGTTGCAGTTGAGGCAGAACATAGTATCGACAGAGTCTGTTGCTGCTTCGAAGGAAGATGAACAGGACCTGATCCATAGACGGGATGAGCTGCTTAAGCGACCAAAACGAGTCAAGGGCAACTTCTTTGTAGTCGGTACCGCTCTTGACCCCAAAGAAGACAATTAAACAAGATTCATTGTACTGTTATATTGTCTTACAGTCTGTATTTTATTTAAGTGGGTTTTCTGTACAATTGGTCGCAAAAGAAGACGAGTGCATGCTGGATGTGTTTGCTTGTTTGAGTATCGGTGAATTGGTGCGAAAGTGCAGAAGCACAGGGGTATGATGCCATGTAAAGCAATGTCGCTTCGCGTCACGTCGGATCCTGTGTGCCATCACCGCAGTTCTACGGGCGGTTCCTTCTCTGGTATGCGTTTGATCTCAAAAACCGGAGCCCTGAATGCAGCGATCTCATCATCCGTCAATGGCTCGCCCTTGCCAGACGTCTTTAGACCCGTTGCCTTGACCATCTTGAGTGCGCCTGCACTGACCGCAGCATCCTTAGCAGCCGCAGCCGCAGAAACATTACTATTACCACCTGCCGCATTCATACCACTCGCAGCATTTCCGAATGCGCCTCCGGCGTTGCCGGCGTGTCCAAATGGACTTGCTTGCGTGGCTGTACCAAATGCGCTAGCTCCATGTCCAAACACGCCCTGCTGCTGCTGTTGTTGTTGTTGCAGCTGCTGACCAAATCCTGATCCTCCAAAGGCCGTACTGCCTTGACCAGCTGTGCCAGCTGGAGTCGCATTGTTTCCAAAAGCCGACTGCTGACCGAACCCACCTCCAGTTCCAAAGGCGCTGGTTGTGGGCTGCAGTGCTGCTGTGGTCCCGAAAGCATTACCGCCAGTTCCAAACGTACTTCCGCCGCCTCCGAAACTGCTTCCTCCTGTTCCAAAGGCGCTGGTCGGATTGCCAGTGGCACCCCCGAAAGCACTAGTGGCATTTCCGCCAGCTCCAAATGCGCTTTGTCCTGCTCCTAATGAAGATGTTTGTCCAAATGCTGATCCAGAGCCGAGTGTGGATGCCTGACCAAATGCTGAGCTAGGGCCGAGCGTCGACGGCTGGCCAAAGGCAGAGTTGCCACCAAGGGACGAAGTTTGACCGAACGCAGAGCCTCCCAAAGTTGATGTCTGCCCAAAGGCTGAGCCCTGACCGAGATTCGATGTCTGGCCAAAAGCTGACGTCTGCCCAAACCCTGAACCCTGACTGAATGCCGAATTTCCTCCGCCTCCACCGAACGCACTATTTCCTGGCCCTGTAGGTGTCGTCGATGCAGCAGTGCCAGCGCCAGAATTGGGCCTGATAGTACTCATAAAGTAGTTATATGCACCCTGTGGGTCCTTTGTGATCTTTTGAATTTCCTGCTCCATACCCATGTTCAGCTGCTGAAGCTTTTGCATGAAAGCATCCTGCATCCCCCCTGGCCTGTTCCCGAGAGTCGCAGCCACAGCCATCAGCCCCGAATAATCGCTAGTGGCCTGAAGCACAGTGGGGTTCTGAGTTTCATAGTACATGAGTCGAAGTTCCTCTGGCTGCATATCCTTTCCTTGGATCAGGTTGGGTTCCTCCTTCCCTGGCGCGTATGATGAAAGTTCGTGGAATGGTCGATCCAGTGTCAAATCGTTTACAATCGTATTTGCACTATAAAGCAAAAGCATAACAAAAGCGCAAGAAATGTCAGTTATCCTATTCATGATCCTGACTGAGATGTTTCACCAATCGCACGGATAGCACTTACTCGTATGAAATCTTCTTGGCCCCAGGAGCATTTGCGCCAGCACCACCTGCACCCGTGTTTCCGAACGCAGATCCTCGGTTGGTGTTATTGTTACTGCCTCCAAATCCTCCACCACTGCCGCCACCGCCCCCAAATCCGCGCTGTCCAAATCCTCCGCCCCCACTACTACCTCCGAATCCGCCGCTTCCAGTATTTCCACTCAGCGCTATTGTTTTCAGGTCAAGAATGAGCGATTATTTTTTGTAAGCGACAGTAACTTCCAGTCATTGAGAACGCGGCAATGGTAAACGCGTTGGATGACTTACCACTGAAAGAATTGTTGGAAGCGAAACCACCACCACCACTACCATACCTATTATTTGAGCCGAGCTGCCCGCCGCTTGGATGGATCGAGCGACATCGGTCCCCGTACCTGCATCTACCCTGAAGAAAGAATTGACAGATCTGTCCCGACATTGAATGAATAACACTGATGGCAAAAGCGAATGAAAGTATAATAAGTAGGGAGGGCGAGGTGAGATGCAGGAGCACCGTTAAACACCATACACCAAGCCACGGCTCCCTTTTCTTTTTTTTTTTGCCACCAACCCATGCCATTCGATCGTAAAGGGAATGGCACGGTATTTTATTTCGTGGAATTGACTATCATTTCTTGTTCCTTTGATCAGGCGGCGTATGTGGAAAAATATCCGCCAGCTCAGAGCGACTAACAGTCGATGGAAGCCTGGAGGAAGCTGTAGAGGTGGGATGGTCGTCCAGTTTCGGATATTGAGAGATTGCGAGCGCATTGTTAAGAGCCTGGACGCCTGCAGACAACACTGGAGCATTGGTCTGTGTCCGCGATGACCCTTCGTTGAGGCCAATACCCGGCAGTGCCGTCGTTGTTACCGTTGTGCCTCTAAATCCCCCTATGGCACTTCTTGGAGCGGTAGCTGAGTATGATGACGATCTGCCGGTCACCGTACTCGAATGATTCGTCTGATTCCGTTGGTGCTCGTCAAAACTGGTGCCTGCGTCGGAGCGGTCCTCGATGTAATCTTCCCTGAATAAGTTATCGCTACCCTTGGATGTCGAATCCGAATACCCAAAGAGCTGTCTACCGCTCAGTCCCTCGGGGAGAGCGCTGCTGCCATTGTCAAAAATGCTACTGTTGTTGCCAATGTGCATAGAGGGTCCACCACTGCTAACCCTATCTGGACTCGTTCTTGAAAGTTTTCTTTGCTTAGATGGCGCGAATGGACTATCGATATATGGCAACATATGAACCTCAGATCCAGCGGGGCCCATTACCGAAGACATCCTCATATTTGACGTCTGAAGAACTGTCTGATCAAGCCCGAGTCCAAGTCCAGTATTCCGTTGTCTGTGTGAGAGGTAAATTTGGTCCGCATCGGTCTTCACATCAAAGTTTTTCTGAGACGACGATGACAAGGACCATGAGTGTGTCATGCTAGATATGTCCTGAGTGAACGATCCATACTTCCACAGACTCGCCACAGGGTTATGGGCGCCATTGGTAGCTTGAGTCCTCCCCTCCCCTACAGCCGCTGAGGATTGCGCTTTAGGTCGTGATGAAGTTCCAGTCGTGTCAGTTAGAGAGTAATCCGAAAGTGTATCCTCAAGTTCATTAAGGTCAATCGCTCCTGTCATAGCCAAGACATCCTTGATCATGCTTCCATCTGCGGCATCATCCATAGCATGAATGGTATCCATCTGGCTTTGGTGCAGCATTCTATCCGTGCTGGCGGCCAGTATCTCAAATGACGCTCGCCTGTAGCCCGCTGATGTATTGGTTCGCAACAGATCTTCGAAAGGCCTTGAAGGACTGGGGCAGGATTGTGGTATTGCTCTCCACAAGTCGCCTTGGGTAGTGATAAAACCATTGGCGGGGAATGTAGGTCGCTGGATTGGTGACAAGCCGAAGAATGCATTTTGAACGCCTGGTTGTGTCTCCCACGACGCTTCAGTGGAGGCAGATGCTGATGTTCCATAGATGGCGTAGGGTGACTGTGAGGATATACTGCTATGGTGATTCGCGTCATTGCCTCGCATGCTCGTAGTTCTCTGCAGTACATGTCCGCCCCTATTGTTTTGCGCAAGGGCGGGCATGATCTGGATCTGCGACTCCTGTGCTGGTTTTGGAATGTAGTGGCAGCCGTCAGGAGATAGTGAGCGTGTAAGCGGAACAGTGGGTGGCTGACCTTGGCTCTGAACAGAGGATGATCCGTACAGATAGCGCGCTCGGGTAGGTGGTACAGGGGGTGCTGCAAGCGGGGCAAGGAAGGGTTCTGCGGTGGTAGATGTATTGGCTGCCACGGACGAGTGCGTATGAAAGGGAGCTGATGATTCTTGGCTTAGCTGAGGTTTTCCTGAGGCGGCTGGAGGGGATACCTGAATATACGAGGAAGGACGCTGTAGAACCTGCGTAGGTACGGATCGCATCTGCACATGAGGAGCCATAGAGCGTGGACGCTGTAGAATTTGTATAGAGTGGTCAAAAGGTCCCTTAGAGGCAGGACTAGAGCTTGGGCTTTGATGCTCAGATCCAGTGAGAAGACCAAGAAGCGATTGCTGTGAGTCTGCTGATTTCGTTATTGCTGCTGCCACAGAAGTTAGCTCTGGTGAAGTTGACTGAGTTGCTGTTACTGTCATTGCAGAGATCTGGTCAATGTTGGACGACCTCGTCTCCGTTGGAGTGGGCGCCAGAAGAGGTGTGTCCTGGGTCATTGCTTTCCGCCGAGTCGCCTCCTCTGCTATACGTTCAGCCTCGTCTTCTGAATCATCAGCGAGAGGCGCGCTGCTAGTCAGCAGCTCGATGGCCTCCTCAAATCTCCCTTCCGTTTGAATCAGAGCCTTCCTGACGTCCCGCTCTGGAAAGCCCATATCCGCCATTCTAGTCACCACCAATTGTGAAGGGCGATAATTTGTCTTGGCTTTGGGAAGCCTTGAAAGGGCTAGCGGTATGGTTGATGGTTTTGAGAATGTTACTGTTCCAGACATCGATGGTTTCGATAGTGGTCCCAAAGTAGAAGGCGCTGGTATAGCCGAGATGGTATGTGAGATAACAGCGTGGGTGGTCAATTGAATGGGCAACTGCCTAACTGCATGTATTGAATGAGTTGCAGGCGAAGCTGAAGGTTGGCTGGCTGCAGGAGAACCGATTGGAGATGGCGACCCAGACTTGCCAGGGCTAGGTTGGACAGGCGCGGCGAGCGTTCTGGTGGACGATGTCTCTTTAGCAGCCATCTGTGCATCGTTGCCGCCCTTGCCCTTCTTTTTCTTTTTCTTTTTGCCTCCACCTCCGCCGCCGTTATTTCCGTAGAGACCGGCCGCCGAAGCCTTCAAACGCGCCAGCTCCTTTTCTTCCTCCTCCCTCCTTCGCTGGTCCGCCTCCAGCTTCTCTTCCTGTTTCCGACGAGCAGCCCTATCTTTCTCTTCTTCCTCTCTCATCAGCTCTAGTTCCTTTCTTCTTAGTTCCTCCAGGAACGCATCCTTCTGTCTCTGTGCTTCCTTGATAGCTGCCACTGCCTTTTGGAGATGTTGTAGCACAGCTCGGTATTTCTGGGCCTTTGCTTTGGATGATTTTTCGCGATCCAATCCAGCCTTAGCAAGCATTTCTGGAGTATTTCCCTCGACGTCGGCGATGCTGATCCTAGCATGGTGCTGTAATAGCATAGCTACGAGGTCACCACAGCCGCTCTGGGCAGCGTAATGAAGTGCTGTCTTCCCAGATTTGAGGCTGCTTTTATCGACGAGGAACGGCGCCTTCTCCACCAACAGCCTACATATCTCTAAGGGTGCGCTGCTTTCGGCAGCAGTGTGCAGTGGCATTCGTCCTTCTGAATCATAAACATCCAGGGAAATGCCTGACATGATTGAACATCAGTTATTGACCTGTCTTCAGTGCAAACAAGGAACAAGTGATGCAGTGACCACAGGAGGGCAACCATGGCCTACCTTTGGTTATGAAGAAAACAACAAGGTCGAGACATCCGGCACGGACTGCCACATGCAACAACGTCTCCTGCATTCCTTGTCCCTCGCCTGGATGCCTAATGTCCTCCATTGCAGTCATAGACTCCCATCCTGTGATGCGTGTTGTTGAAGCCGAGTGGAACCTTGGGATGTCTGGCATCGACTCCAATTCAGCTGGAGATATCTCAACCATCCTCTTTACGACGTCCACATGGGCTTTCAAAGCACTCTTAAACAGGAACGAACGGGCAGCCTGATCAGCTTCCGCTATTTTGAATCATTCGGAAGAAGAGGGCTCGAAGTTATTTAGTATTGTCTGCACTTGTTTTTGTCAAGCTTTATGCTACGGGGCGGATGCTGCTACAGAGCACAAACCTGTTTCACGCTTCCTACGAGCCTCTAGCTCGACTTTCTCCTTGCGCTGCTTCTCCTGCGACTCCCGTTTGCGGCGTTGCTCATCTTCGAGGCGCAACCTTTGAAGAAGTTGTATCCGTTCTATATAAAACAAAATCGAGATCAATGAGTAACCTGGATAAACAAAGACGATCTGGTGTTGCCCTTTGCGGGCGCGCGCCTTCAACTTACCCTCCTCTTGTTTACGCTTCTGCGCATCGTAGAGATTTCTTCGCCATGCATCCTCATCTATCGGGTTCTTGTCACTTCTCAGCTTGAGTATCGCTGCAAACTGTCGTTTCTCTTCCTCCAAAGCGATCGCCGCCACTCCGTCCGCTGCATAGCGACGCGAGTACTCATAGTCATCGTAGGTCCCGTCGTATTCGTCATCATCATAGTCTTCGTCGTCTTCGTCATCTTCGTCCTCGTCGTCCTCATCCTCATCGTCCTCGTCCTCATCATCATAATCCTCTTCGTCCGGCTCATCCTCATAACTATCATCCGGAAAATCCAAAGAGATATGGTCGTTATGATCGATGCCACAGCCGCAGGGTTCTCGCTGCTGTGATAATTGAAGAGAGTGGCCTAGTTGCTGCTCCAGTTTTTCTGCGAGATTGGTGGTGAAACTAGACACGACAAACGACTTGTCCGAAAGAATTTCCCTAATTTTGGGATCTAGATTTCAGCAAGTAGAATTGCTGCTTAGTATGGTTATATCGTAGCATGCATAATCTTCAGAAATGATAGATAGCTCCCATCGCAATTAATTGTACCTATTGAGCCCTCTTCACGTAATAGCTTTGTATATAATTCCATCAGTGCTTCTGGCGATGGCCAGACAATGTGCTCCTTCCTAGTATTCCTTATAGCTTCTGTAGCAGTATGCTGAGTCAAAACTGTGGCAATCCTCTAAAAAAAAGGGGGTGATAAAAAAAATGGCGGGAAAACGGGGTCAGGAAGAGCTTCGCCGAGCGTACATGGTGCCCAGGGCTGCTCAGACGTTCCAAAAGTTGAATATATTCCATTGGATGCTCCAATCCTTGATGCTTGATATTCCTATTGAATGCAGTCTGTCTAGTCAGTTGACTGGTTTTGCGACAGTGAAGTGAATGGGTAGGATGCCAGAAACAACGAAAGGCTATGCTGATCGAGGCTGCCATGTCCTGCTGTAAAATGATATTCTGTCGGCGACTAGAGTGTGGCTGCAGTTTTGCTGATGTCCAGACAGTTGCTACTGTCCGAGACAGCTGTTACTGTGTGATCCTGAGAAAGAATGCGCTGTTTCAACGACTAAGACGATGAGAGCTGCGAGTGCCAGTCGAAGAAACGTTTGTACGGTAGCACCTTTGGTTCTGCGAGGCAGGATAGTCGAGACTACTATCGTTCCCCTGAAAACATATGAAACTTGTCTGAAGGCGACAAAGAAGCTGAGATACCTTTGCATACTCCCGACAGAAAGCCTGAATCTGTTCGTCCTTAAGCCTTTGCGCCTTGATTGACCACGGTTTCTTGTCGGCCTGGTGTGATGAGTGCGATGTGGTGGCGTGATCCGGGGCGTTGTTGGCCTGTGCTGGCATTAGTGCATGGATCTGCAGGCGAGCGACTGGGCAATGGTAGCATGCGCTTAGGCAGTTGAGTCGTTGGTCTAATACAGGTGGCGAAGGGAGCTGGTCGTCTAAAACCCTTAACAGCTGTTTTTGGTAATGAATGCGTGCCTGAAATTTAGGCGCACGGACAATTGTACGACCCATACTGAAGCCAGAATCATGTCGTGGTGTGTTATTGAAAAACAATGCTATTTACAGTTCTTGGGCGGAGATAGATCGCCAGAAGCCGCAGAGGCCTTGAGTGCCAGCGCTTTGTCAAGAGATTCATGAGATCCATCCAGAGATCCATGCTCAGCTCGATCCTGAAGAGTATCCGATACTAATGTGGATGAGGGCGATAGTGTCGATGCCCTGTGAGACAGCTGCTGCAGAGTGATGGTTTGCAGCTGTGGTCGCTGTTGCTGTTGCTGATCCCCCTCTGGCTCTTCTTGCTCTTCTTGCTGTAGGTTTTGTTGCTGCTCTGGTAACTGTGGCAGCTCCTTTTCGGTATGTAGAGAGGTGCTGCCAATGGATTCTGGTTCCGTTGTTGGACTACAGACCCAGCTCTTGGACAAGCTGCTGTGATAGGAGGGTACGGCCCGCGCACTGGCCGCTCCGTCGAACGACGCTCCCCCAATCGAGGACCTACCGCCATAAAGCCTATAGTTCTGATCCAATTGGTCATCTGAATAGTTCCTATGCGAAGATGACGATGGGAAAGAGCCAGTCGACGCTGGCCTGCTGCCGTGCCTTGCTGTCTGGCCCAGCGGTCCCGATGACCTGAACGTCCGTCTCCGGCTTCCAAAACTGGTGCTGTTCTGAGCCGATGATCCAGATCCGCTCTGTCCTTCTCCTTCATCCGTCTCTTCGATGCTGCTGGTGTTGCTGCAGACACTGTTCGGTCTTTCGAAGCGGTTAGGACGACTTTGGCCTACACTTGAACCAGGATTGCTGAATGCGCGAAAGTGTTGAAACCTTTCCGGCAAAGACATGGGGCTGGCAACTGCGCAAGGATGAACAACTGCATGCGCTGTTGATTGTGATATCGTTGGTACCGGTGAGCGCATGATGGGAATAGGGCTACGCGGTCCAGGAGAAGAATCTATCAATTTAGGAAAGGACTCATTGTTAGAATAAACAACGCCCTTACCTAGAATCATAACGCTCATGTGTACCAAAATCGATACCTGGAGTATGTGTTGAACTGATTGATTTACTCCTCCTCCTCCGATTAAGGGTGAAGTTGGTGAGGGAGACTGATAGCCTACGAATGCGGGTCTTAATCTTCTCCATGATAGTGACAGCGCCCTTGAGATCCTCGTCCGTGACGTGTACACGTTGATAATTGCCGGGATCCGTTTCGATTCTCCATAGTTCAGGGTCCAGCATGTCCTCGATTACCCATGGATGTTCCTATTCAGCAGAGCACATAAGAGAGGAAAGTGTCAAACATCGGTTCGTGAGTAGAAATAATGTAGTGTAAAGCCGCGCAAATTCACCGCATTTTCAACATACTTTGACCTCTTTCAGCGTTATCCGCCTGGACACATCCTTTTCGAGCAACCTTGACAAAAGGTCCTTCAACGATGGGCTGACAAACTCGCGCCCAGGGACGAAATCAGGATAGCTCGGCTGCTTTCTGGGTATGATATTAAACAACTCGAACTCTGTCTCAGCGATAAACGGGCAGCGACCGTAAACAAAGCAGTATAAAGTCACGCCAAGCGCCCAGATGTCGATCGCCTTGGTAATAGGTGGTCGCGACGCATATCCTTGACCGGTGCTGGTGGAGAATGTACCCGCGGGGGTCGAAGGATTGGATCTTGGCGTTGGTGGTGACAAAATGAAGGATGTTTGGGAAGCTGACGATAGCGCAGGCGACATTGCTGGAGAAAATTCACCTAACACCACACAATGTGGTCAGTTTACGACCATGATGGTGGACGTACGATTCAAGCCACGCGTGGCAGATGCGAAACTTACTCGCATAGCAAAGCTCCGGTGCGAAGAACGCTGGGCTTCCAGCGGTCTTGGCCAGCTCCAGATCGTCACCCCACTGATGATGCTGGCCAAGCGCAGAAAATTGTTGCTGTCCAGAGAGTGCCGAGGCAATGGGCGGATGAGACGATGGATGCCGGAAAAAAGTTTCGAAAGGGTTGGAGTGGGGGGAAGCATGAGCACCCTTGTCGACTGGTGGTGTGTTCTCCAGGTCGTGCTCCAGCGCGTTCTTCTCGCTGAAGTGGGATACTCCAAAATCCGAAATTTTTACAGTCCCGTCTCCCGATAAAAGCAGGTTGGCCGGCTTGATATCTCTGTGAATGATGCCCTGCATGTGAACTACAAAGGACCATGTTTGATTAGGACAGGGGTTTATTCGCAACTTCAGCACATAAAACAGCAATTTTTCGTTTCCATGGAATAAAAACTTACGGTATTCCAAACCTAGGACCACATCACGAAAGATTGCGCGAGCATCCCCCAAAAGCAGAATAGGTCTGTCATCCGAGTCCTTCCAGCGAACCTCGCCGCCCTCCATGTATTCTAGAACTATCAGTTGGGAAAACAGTAATGCTTGTTGGTTAAAATCATGTGGTAGGGTTTGATGATGTGGTTATCATAGCTATTACTGATGTCCCCATGCCCAGCTTCTATTCTTACCTAGATAAATCTTTCGAGCATTGGGGTCATCGATGACCTCAATTAATCGGACAACGTTCGGATGTATGCATTTTTTCATAATGGCAATCTCACGCCGAATTTTTTGCTCGTTCGAGATCTGAGCTCGCCCAAGACGCCTCCGAGTGGTTTTATCCACAATCTTGATGGCCTGAAAGGATGGAAAAATGAGACGGTTCAGTAGGGGCACGCGATTCGATTTCCCAATGCCGAACATGTCTTCGGGTTGGCGCTGCTATTTCTACGGTATTGATTCTTTTAACCTTCCCCCCTCTCCCCCCTTTTTTTTAACTTTTGTTACTCTCTCCTCAACTGAGATTTGCGTGTTGTTCTCTCGATACCTTGACTGTGGTTACTTACACAAAGTTCATCTGTCACTGTGTCGCGACAAAGCTTCACCTTGCCGTGGACGCCTCTGCCGAGCTCTCGAACGACCATATACTTGTTGATCATCTTGTTGCCAGTAGTTGGATCGTAATCCTTCATCATTGTGTGCGTTTCCTTGACAGGCATGGGCGACGGGGAGACCATCGATGTCCGTGGCGACGCGCCGTAGCTGGATGGACTCGGGGAGTTGGTCGGGGTGGTGTAGCTTCGATGGTGGAAGGTTCGTCCCATGGTTGGTGTCGAGGGCGTCGATGAATGAATGAGTGAGAAGCGAGACGAGGTCTTTGGCGCAGAAGTTGACAACTGCGGTGGAGACGCGAGTTGATCTCTGCGACGAGGATCGATACTGTCAAACGAAGTCCTTCCATCGCGGTGCTGGGACTCCATGGAAGCCCGACGGCTATAGGGTATCCTACCGCCCTCCATCGATCGCCTCACATAAAGAGAATCAGGCGACTGTTCGCTGTCGGCGGGAACCTGGGACGGCAACTTTGGTGTTCGCAGATTCTTGAGACTGAGTCGTAGGCCAGAAGTTTTGCCTTTCTTTGCGGGCACATGAAGGTCTCCTGGTGATGTCGTACGGGAGCTTTGGCTGCTCTGCAAAGACGAGATGGAGATGCCGTGCGTGGAATCCAGGTCTGAGAATGTCTCCTCATAGTCTGTGGTGGATGTGTTCGACTGAGCGCTGGAGGAGGTCCGTCGTGCGATCCTCATAACGTTTACGCTTGAGCTGGGATTGTGGGCTGACTTTGATGGGTGTTGACGCGACAGGGATGGTGTGTGCTGAGGAGCCTGCATGAATGCTTATGTATCAAGGAAGACTTGCTAGCAGTAAATAAAAGGAACGTACTAGGGAACGATGAGATACCAGGATGCATGGCAACCAATTAATTAGCATGAATATCGCCCTTTTCATTCCATCTCCATCACACGTTGTCTTTTCTCCATGCCATGTCGTGCCGTCCCAGTTATCCCTGGTGTCGTTGCATTTAAGGTCCTGCAGCCCAAAGGGAAATAGAAGAGGGAAACAAAAGAAGTAGGGATGAGAAGAGTTGTTACCGTGGCAGGGATGGATCGGATGCCCATTCGAACTCGATGAAGCCATGCAGTTGTGGTCGTGTTGCTGTCCAGTTCAGCCGAGTCCTGACCTGTCCTGTGCTGTCGTATCGTTGCTGGCGTTGATGGAAGGTGTCAAGTGGAGGCGGAATCAAAAACTGGTGGGCAGCAAAAAAAGTACTGGACGGGAGAAAAAGACAAGGGAAGGGTGAACTTATTGGCAGATGAAAAAAAGATGGTGGCACAAAAAGGAAGGACTGCAACTGGACTCGCTCGACCAGCCAAACTCTATCATTTCATATATCCATACATATTCGGCCCTCGCTGCTTCCCACCCGCAAACAACTGCAATTGACGAATTGACGAGCACGAAGACATCGCAGTAGAGGCAGAAAGAAGTCCAATATCTGCATCGGTCGTTAACGATTGGCTGGTTGACTAGAGGAACCGTTTCTAGGCCAGAGTGGGTATCGTTTACTTCATAGAGCCCCTAAACTACTCTAACACGTCTTGGTCTTGGGCTGGCGGATCCACTTCATTTTCTTGAGAACTAAATTGCTCTGGCGCTCATTCTCCCCATGCTTGCTTGACTAACCTTTTTGTATGCCTCCAGCCCTAGGGATTCTTTGCTTTTTATTAAGGTTGGGTTATTGGGTTGATTGAACCATCGCTCCATCATCTTTGTCCCGCTGTTCGGTTCTATGCCCCACCCAACGATCTCTCTTGAGCCGGTTGAGCAATCGATAAGAAGATGGCGTGAATAGTGTGCATATGCATGTGTTGTGTCCATGCAGAGGTCATTGGGTTGGTGGACCCAGTAGGTCTGAAAATCCTCTTTAACTGAAGCGTTCCGATGTTGTCCACAGGTAAGGACTGCAAGAATGAACAAGAATTTGCACATGATGGAGTATTTTCTATCGCCCTCCAAGCCCTACATATCTCCTCTCACTCTTCCACTCTTTCACTTTTCCACTCTGACGACAATCACGGAATGTTCTCGGAGAAGGTGCTCGAGAACAACCTCATTACTGTCTACGGATGTAAAGACATAAGTAATGGACGATTGCGGCAGTCGTAATACCAAATGCCAATAACACGTTCGTGTTGGAATCTGGAACCTTTACTCTTCCTATAGACTTGAGGTACAAATAACCAGACGTGTGTTGCAGTTGTAGATTGTCCAAGTATTTGATGCACAACAACGATAAAGGATCGACGGGATTATCGATACCTCCGCGCTATGGCATACTGTCTGACAGATTTGAAGAAAGTCGTTCTAAGATGCAATGTGGATGCTGTACTGATGTGAAGAGGGATACGGTCTAAGCACATGCTCACTTCTCAACCAGCAGTCTTTCAACACATGGCACTTGTCCTAAACCTCATTTCCACTTCTTTTTCTTGTGCACCATGCAATCACAAAAGGTTTACTGCGCGCCGACAGGGCCGTTGCACAGGCAGGATATGACAGGGAAGATGTAACACGGGTCCCTGTCTGTTAGTGTGAATAAAAACAACATGGTTAATTGAAGATGTATAAGAAGAGCCCTGTTCCTTAGCCTTGGCTGGCTGCCCGACTAACTGGCATATGGCCATTTGTAGAGCTGTTGTGAACTGGCCAAGGATTTCATTTGTTACATGTGCTTTCCTTGGTCCTGTGTTGTTGAGAAAAGAGCTGAAATACAGTCCGTGCTGCCAGCTTGAACACTCGTTACCGATCGACCATTCCGGTTGCGCTGCGTCTCATTGTAGATATTGAACCAATATCCTGAGCACTAATTTCAACGGACCCGGATTTTATATATAGTCCAGAGGGCCGGTGCAAATGCTCACAAGACATGACTGACCATATTAACTTTGTTCGTCTCAATCTTGAGGCAGGGTGAATGAGATGAAATGAATGGGGATATTCAAGAGTATATCCACGCCGATTCCTGAATCGGAGAGCGAAGAGCCATCAACGGAGTCCATGACATGAATGGTCATTGCGAGAGAACACAGGGCAGTTGTATGTAAGTGTAGAGGTCGGTGGTATGGTTTTAATATTAGCGCCTCGTGGGATGCCTCCGGAGGATTGCAGGGACAGGGGGAGGGGCTGGCTCCGACCGGGTAGAGTGCAATGGCAAGCCCCAATAGTCCAATATGGCGGCAGCCAGGCGGGGAAGGCAGTCTACCGACAAATTGGCATGCATTAATTTTGCCAACGGACAGTTCAATTCCGCCCTGTCTCTCTTTCTCTCGCTCCTACTCTTTTCCTCCTCCTCCTCCTCCTTCCCTCCCCCATTCCTCTTTCCATCTCATTCCCTGTCGAGATCTTGCTGCTTCAGGGAAACGACCTTTAACGATCACCCCTTCCCATTGTGTCTGACTTGACACCGATTCAAACCGCCCTATCTTTTCCTTAATTCTCGCCACTCCTGTTCCGCCAGGCCCGTTGTTTCTCCCTAATCTGTACCTGAATCCACCACCCAATCCCACCTTTACTCTCCCAAGCTCCAACCTCATATTTCATATTCATTCTTATTTCTTCGCATAATAACCCACTGCATCTATCATGTCCTCGCCCTCTAATAACGCCCCCCGGCCAATGCAGGCCTATCATCAATACCAGCAGCAGCACCAGCAGCACCAGCAACAGCAGCAACAGCAGCAACAGCAGCAACAGCAGCACCAGCAACACCAGTACCAGCACCAGCATCAGCAACAGCAACAGCACCAGCACCAGCACCAGCAACAGCAGTACCCTTCCCAGCACAATCCCCAACTTCAACAACCTCAACTTCAACACCAGCAGTACCCTCCCCAGCGGTACCACCAGTACCACCAACAGCATCAGATGCCACACCAACAACAGCCTCAGCAACAGGCCCCACAGAACCTCGCTGTCTGGTCCCCGAGTATGCCTGCCCATCTCCAAGACCAAGGCCAAGGTCAGGCACATGTATCCTCCGGGCCGCCTTCCCCTGGCACGCTCAACATCTCGGGGCCCTTAGATCTCAAGACCGCGAGCCCACAGCCTATCCTGCCGCCCATTAGGGATGCTCATCCCCCGCCCCGTCTCAATACCCCCCAGAGGAACGCCAGCCTGCGTCGCATGCCCTCTCAGAACGGGCCTCGTCACCCACCATCTCCCAGCGGGGTACATCCTCAGGACTCCGATAACAACCCGAACGAGAACAACGACGGCGTCCCACATCAAGAGAGCCAGCCCTACTCGTCCAACTCAAATCCGTCCAACATCCGCAGCCAGGCATCATCCCCGGAGAGTAGCGCCCAGACTAGCAGCAGTGCCCACTCGAGCAGTTACTTTGACAGCAAGCCAAGCTCCCAGATTGATCCTGTCTCTCTCCTCACCACGACCACGCCGTCGTCACCAGGACTACAGCGATCCAACAGCAGAATCAATTACTCTTCTCCGCTCTTGCGGTCGCAAAGCCGATCTGGATCCTCTTCTCCCTCTCCTTCTCAACAGTCATTGAAACGTCAGACATCTATCTTGAAGAACGGTTCAAAGGATGCGCCCTATCTGTCCAGCAACAAGAACTTGCACGGGTTGAGCCATCTCGAGAGTTTAAATCAGTCCTGGGAGCCCTCCGGTCCAAACTCAGCTGGTGGGGTATCACCACCACACTCGACTGGATCCCAGTCCTCCCTATCAAAATTGGGCTCGGCGTCCAACTTGAGAGCTATGGCCCAGGCAGTCCAGGCAGCGACATCAGCAGCAGTAGAAGAAGGATCAGAGGCTGTCCCTACCGCGTCTACTACTTCCAGCATGAAGAGCCATGAATTGATGGTGAGCGCAGTATCCTCACCGACGACGAATGAAGGACCCAGCCTGCAGGGCGCAACGCCAGGCAGCGATTCCGCTCAAGCGGCTCAGGTGCGTGAGATGAGAGCCTTGCTTGTTTGTGCATTATGAGCACCTGGCAGAAAACCTACAGCTCCGCTTATCCCATACTTACACCTACTTACATCCAACTAATATTTCTTTCCGGACTACAGTCATCGTTGCTGGAGGAGCCTAAAGACAAGGAGGCGGTCCATATTCCTGCGCGTGATTCAACCAACTACAAGGTAAATAAGCTGAACATGATGCCATGATGAGGCTACCCTTTTCCCTCAGATATTAAAATTTAGTGGCGTGTGCCTTAACTAAATCTTTATTGTAGGTACCTGTCCCTCCTTCTCCAGTAGTTGCCCCTCTCATGGGATCATCTGCACCAGGCGGGCATAGTGCATTCAACTTCTTGAACTCGGACCCAACCCTGCAGCGCTCGACGTCCAGGAGACGCCAGGCGCCTCCTATTCAAGTGCAGCAGCAGCCTGTCCCTCAGCACCTACAAGCAGCATTTTCTCCACAAGCCATGACCTCACCTGTTTCGCCTGGTCGCCGTCATCCATACCACCGATGGGAGAACATACTCTCTCCCCAGGGCGGAGAGGGACATCCCCAAGCTGGACGAGAGTATGGACAGGGCCAAGGACAGGACCAGCATGAGGACGGGGATTATGAAGACGAAGGCGGTAACGACGAAACGGACGGTGATGCCCTTTCAGGGCCTGAAGAGCATGGAGAACGTCGGCGACGCCAACAGCGCCAAAGAGCAGGAGCTGATAACGTGCCCTTCACACCCACGCGATCTGCACCGCAGCCCCCTAATCTGAATAGCGCTGTGATCCCCAATTCGCGTGAGGCCGAAATTGCCCACATCATGTATATCCAGCAGCAGCAGGCCCTGTTTTTGCAGGAGAAGGCTATGAATCCACCCTTGCGAAGCAAGGGAAGCAATGGAAATCTCTCTGGTGGTAACTCGGACGGATCGAAGCCTCGCCGAAAGCTGTCCCTCCATCGCAAGCAGATCTCGGTGATCAGTGAACCCAAGCTTGTATCCAGCACCAACCAGGTCAAGACTGTCCCTATTGTTCGACCTGCGGATCAGTCTGATGATGATGCTGGAACAAAGTCCGAGTACACGAGTGGAGGCGAGGGTATCAAGAAGACAGTTCGCAAGATGAGGAGGGCTGTCCGTCACGCTGCGAATGGTGTGTTCAACGACGACGATTCCGATCGCGAGGACACCCTCGGATCAAAGAGCGACGCGGAAAAGAAGGGTGGACTCAAACAGCTGAAGGCTTTGAAGAGCAAGCTCGCCAAGAAACTGCATCGTCCAAGTCATGGTGGTGGCTCATCCTCGCGACATGACCAGGCGATCGATGGACATAGACAGGACGAAGGAGAGGGCGGTCGTGGTCCTGTCCAATTCTTTTCTGAAGATAATCTCAGATCGAGGTATCTCGCGCAGGGGCAGGAAGGAGGCAACAGTTTTGCAGCTATGGGTGCGTCGCTTCGCAGAAGCAATACAACTCGCGACAGCACTACGGCGTCAGTACCCATGTTTCCCCGAAATGGCAGTCAAGGCGAAGGCGATAAGCAAGAGTACGAGTCGGGCGACGGTTATGCAGAAGACAAGGAGACCAAGGAGGGTGATTCAGCCTCGGCTCAGAAGGAGACCGATGATGACGCAGCCTTCAAAGCAAGGGCTGCCAAGTTTGGCAGCAGGACCTTTGACAAGGATGAGATGATGGAAGTCAAGGACGGCACTGGCGAATCCTTCTTTGTTCCTCGCTGGGACTTGGATCCTAGAGCTGACGAATTAGAATCGTCTAGATCGGTTATCAGTGTCCAGTCGAGCAAGAAACTGGAGAGATCCGTCTCAAACTCCACCGTCACTTCGACCAAGACGACTATGCCCATTGCGACTATTGCTGAGCGCTTGCAAGGCTCGACTGTTGTAGAAGAATGTGCGGTAGACACCGAGTCTACAGCTAAGACATCGAGCGAAGCCTTAGCGGATTTAACACCAACTGACGGAGCACCTCAGAAGGCTGGCGCATCCACGGAGCCCACAGTTGAACTAGTTGCGGAGGACGAAAAGCCGGCGGACGTGGGAGACGATAGCCAGTCTAGCCCGAAGAAACTCGCCTGGGGCGAATCTATCCTCAGCTCTTTTGCGTCAGAGTCGGGAGCTGACCAAAGAGCCGACCAGGAAGCGCCCCACTCGCCATTGGCTGAATCGGCCGAACACACAGCAGACGGTCACGCCGCTATATCGAACTCGTCTTCCTCCGGCCTGAACTCTCGGACCTCTGTAGTGAGCGAAGCCTCTTCGGGCGCGTCTTCAGTCGGCGGTATTGTTGTTGCCCAGGTTCTGACGCGACAATCATCCATGCGACGCAACTTCAAGCGTGCAGGAAGCGACGAGAATAAGGAGAACAAGGAGGAACAGGCTTTCGCAGAAGTGGCAGGCAAGGAGCCCATGAGTCCTAATTCTAGCCAAAAGACCTCTTCTCTCGGTCTCGGAATTTCTCTTCTTTCTCCTCGCTCTGAAATCGAGAAGGACCCACTGCAAGAGAATATGGAGGACCCGACGCTGTCTCAAAGGTCGCAGGAAAGCGAGAAGCAACCTCTTTCTCTTCCTCAGGAAGGTATGTTGTTCTTTGCGGTATCTCTTTCAGTGAGTCTGCTATCGAAATAGAAAATGGTTAGCTAATCTCTTTAACTCCACTGTCCAAGTAGCTCCACTAGAGTTAGCATCTTCGTTCGAGAGCAAGCCTCCTAGCATCGTGACGGTGCGCCCATTATCACCCATCCGGCGTGGAACAAACAGCCTGGGACGATCGTCCTCCATCGCTAGCATGTCTTCTATGTTGTCAAGCCCTTCGACACCGCCTGCAAGTGCTAACGCGTTGGCCCTGCCCCTGGACGCACAGCAGCTTACTGGCCAAGAGTTCCCCATCAAGCCAGTTCATGAACGAGAACTCAGCCTGAGAAAGAGTGGTCTCCAGCGCAAAGTCTCGCTTGGTGCGTTCACTCTTCCCCAGGCGCCTACATCGCCTTTGCCTTCGCCATCCTTCCCTATGGCCGGCTCTCCTGCAACCACTGCGGCCCCTATCCCGGCTCCAGTCCCTGTCGCAGCCCTAGTTCCTACTCTTACCCCTGCTCCCATTGCTGCTTCTATGGGTACTCCTCCAACTGCTTTCCCAGCAGTTCTCCAGCGACAGGGATCCTACCTCACCGAGCGTGGATCGGTCCGCTCCATGTATACAGACAGTATCTACGACTATTACGATTATGACTCTGCGTCCGAGCATGAGAGCCAGATGGGTGGCATATCTCGGCAGGAATCTTTCAGCAACCCACAAATTCCCGAGCACGAACAAGACGCCCCCGCTATGGCGCTTTTCACAGCGAATGAGAGGGAGGACGTAAAGAGTGGAGCTACTGGAATCTCCAGCAACATCAGCACCGCAACAGTGACAACAGCTCACGACTCGAGCGAAGTCGGTCGTGCATCGACGCTAGCCGTATCTCTGAGCAGCCAGAAATCCGAGAATAGCGACAACGGCACAGAGAAGGATACGGCTACCCCCACAGAAGTGAAGCCCGCAGCGTCAACTGTCTCGAATGAGGCGTCCACAGAGATGAGCGAAGAAACGCCAGTTATTCGCTTGAGAGGGGCCGGCAAGAATGACGAGCCACTGCCCTACAAGGAAGAGCACCACGTCCACTACGAGGACCTGCCAAAGGCCGTGCCCTATCGTATGTCGATGATGCAAACCGTCCCCGTCGACCCTGTCGGTGTGGCAGCCTCGCTCTCGGGGAAGCTCACACAATCGCTTTCAATCCCCTCTCGACCTCCTCGCCACCCCATGCGTCAGAGCCGACACGGTTCAGTCAATACTCTAAGCATCGGCGGTAGCAGCGACCTGACCTCAGAATCCTGGATATCGTCTGCTAGGAACACGCGCGACGATTTGTCTGGATGGGACGAGGGCGAGGAGCGGGACGAGTTTGCCAGCCTGGACGGCGATCGCCTCAGTGAGCTGGCTCGTCGACAGAGTAGCATGTCGTCCCAGTCGCGTCTCAGTCACGGAACACGAAGCGAGCGCACCATGTCGTTGATGACGGACAAGAGTCACTCCCCCATGATCCCTGAACACAGCGAGGGTAGTCTGTTGAGGAGACGCGGATCTGAGGCCTCGTCGGTGAGGTTTCCGAGGAACGACGCTGCCTCGGAGGTGACGCGCAAGCAATGGTTCCACGAGCGGAAGCGTGGAACCTGGGGATCGATCCAGTCGTCATCTTCGGATGATGCCACTTCTTCTTCCTCCCGGTCGTCACATTTTTACTTTAACGGCCGATCCCCTTCTCCTTCACCCACGGAGGAGTCGGCGCCGGCATCCAAGGCATTCTAAACTAATGAACAATTTACTTTGAACCTGATCCACATGATATGAACACCATCAAAAAGCATAACGCATAAGTCATTTCCAATAGACGGAATAATAAATTATCCCGACACATCTTCACGATTAAAAAAAGTGATGTTTATTAGTACGACTACGATTGGTAAACACTTCAAACAAATATGTACAGCTTGTCGAAAAGAGCATGACTATCGTCTCTCGTTGACCCGGAACTGGAGCCAGACAAATCCTAGAAAGAAGAAAGTGCTCGCCATAATGCCCAGGACCTGGACATTCTTCCAGTATGCGCCCGAGTTGAACCCAAACGTTGACAAAATCGCAGCTCCAGGAACCTACAAGTACCATTACAAAAAAAAAAAAAAACGAGAAAAAGAGAGAGAGGTGTAAGTACTTTGGCAGTGACCTCGGTACTTCCCCCGAAACCAACACGTAACGATCTAACACCTACATTAATGTCCAGACCAAACTCCTTCTGGACCAGCTGGAGAAACCTGATTTCATTGACCAACAAGGCTTCGAATGCAAAATTGAAGAACGATAGCCTCTGCAGCCAAGCCAGTTTCGCAGGAATGGAATCTACAAGTGATCAAAAACGAAAGATGAAGAGAAGAGTTAACAAGAAAGATCCTTTCATGTTACTGATGTCGACCAAATAGATAATACCATAGGACATAGCAGGCGCTTACCTTTGTTCAGTAGTAGACCGCCAAAGAGCATCGAGAACAGCATGATCAAGCTACTCATCAGATTCGCGACGCCGACCTCCTCAAACATAATTCCAATCATCAGACAAACTCCCGAGGCCGTAAAGTTGAACAGCACCAGGACCAGGAAGAACTTTCCAAACTCGAGCCACTTATCGACCAGCCCAACCATATGATAAATGATCAATCCCATCAGCATCGGCGGGATTACTCGGAGTGGCACAATATCAAACAGCACCTTCGACAGATAATACGTCAACGGCGAGTAGTATCCATTCGCTCGCTCTCGCACAAACAGAATACGCTCATGCGCAAACGACGGCAATATCGACAGGCACGAGAACCCGAACAGCGCGCACATGAAGAAGAACACGCCCATCCGGTTCTGGAATCCGGGGATGTCGTTCGTCACCTTGTAGAACAACGCGCCGCAGAGCAGACCCAAAAACACAGACATGCAATAATGCGAGAGCATGAGCATCGGATCGCGGTAAATGTTCTTCAGAGTTCGATCCGCCAAAATCTTGAACTGACTCCACCAAGAGGCCCGTCTGTACGTCGAAACCGCCTTGCCCGAGCTCACGCCACTGTGGATCGATCCAGGTGTGTTATCTCCTGCGCGATTGGTCTGTACAGCAGACTCGATCTGCTGCTCCACGTCCAAAAGAATATGACTTTGCTTGAAGCCATCGACAAGAGACTGAAGATGCGCTCCTGTTACCTCCGGTTCATCCACATCCGAAGGTGCCCTACGGGTGCCACTGTCGCTGGTGCCTGACGAAATAGGGTCGATTCCGATTGTTGTATCGCCACCAAGACCCAGTCGAGCTCCAGCGCCGTTCTGCCCATTGGTTCTCGTACGATCCTGTTCCCGAGAGGCGAGTTCACTCTCCCACTGAAGAGAGTCGTCAATAATACTCGGAACACGAGTGAACGAAGGGCTAGCATTGTTCGAGATTTCATGGGCAGTACTGTTCGGCTGATCATCCTGCTCGTCTTCGTCCTGAATATCAGCCTCGCCGACAGCACCTCTGCTGGCAGCTTTCGGGGGGTTTCCGGTGTACATGGTCAAATCCAGCATGTAGTCCGCCATGTTAAAGCCTTCAGGGCAAGCATGGCCCAAACTCTGCAGATGTCCGCTCAGGTTCCTGGTCTCTCCCGAGTAAACGAGGTGCCCCTTGGCCATTAAAACCAATTGATCAAACAATGCAAAGATGTTGCTCCGGGGCTGATGAATCGTGCAAACGACCGTTCGGTTGTAAGTCCTGGCAAGAGTGACCAAGCACTCGACGACATTATAGGCGTTGTAAGAGTCGAGTCCAGAGGTGGGCTCGTCCAAGAATAAGATCGAAGGAGAGGTGACCAGTTCGCATGCAATCGATACTCGACGTTTCTCTCCACCAGAAATCGAACGCTGACCGCTAGTACCAATTTTCATGTCCTTAATGCTCAAGATGCCCAGCTCTGACATGGTCTCCATCACACGGAATCGCTTTGCGTCAAAGGACATGTCACGCGGCAAACGAAGCAATGCAGAGTAGAGGATTGTCTCGTACACAGTCAGCGTGGGCATGAGCGTGTCTTCCTGATCAACATATCTATGACAGTATCGAGAATACAGGACCAAGTCAGCAGGACGCTTCCATATGCTTTCCTCAAGGAAATCAATATGAAAGTAGATATTGGCAAAAGACAGCTCACCCAACAACTCGCTTGTATTCCTGGCTAGAAACAGTTCGTCCGTTGACGTAGATATTTCCGTTCACAACACCGGACTTGTGGCGCCTCGCCAGAATATCCAACAAACTGGTCTTTCCAGCGCCGCTAGCGCCCATGATAGCCATCAGCTGTCCAGGTTTGACGACACCGCTGACTTGTTTGACCACTTCTCTGCCTCCAACAATGTAGCTCATGTCCTTGAACATCAATGTCGCAGGAGTATGTTCAGCCATGAGTTTTGCCGCCTCATCATCCGGAAGAGCAATGTATCCGCTACCGGAGGATCCTGATTTCTTTGACAGGTACCAAACAGCGACTCCAAGGCCAATGAGGAATACAAAAACACCGACGACGGACAAGATGATAGCGAGCGTGTAGTCTGGGCGAGGTGGGCGAGTATACCCAGGAACTTGCGTGTAATGCAAGCACTCTCCGCTGTAACAATTCAAATAGATGGCTGGGTCTCCAAACATCTGCTCAATCAGGTCGTTCATGGCCGGTTCTACCAAGGAGCGACGAAAGGAAACGGAGATTAGAGTCAGAAGTATCGCCTGATCCGAAAGAAATATCCAGATTCGGGTTCAAGACACACCTTCAAAGGTACATTTCTTGTCTTCTGTGCAAACAAAATCGGCAGGACCACGGATTTCTTCTTCCAGGAAATCGTCAATATCTATGGATGGTCGAGATTGCCAAAGGTCAGTATCAGTTACCATCCAGCCATGAGTATCTGCTTTTAGATGTCGGCGTGCGAGCGTGTATACATACTGACGCTTCCATCCTTCCCGCAAAGCATCCTGTCAGGAATGCATGAGCATCTGATGTTTTTACACTTGTAGGTCGTAACAAGATCGTTGTGCTTTGCCTCTGTAATAAGCAGCGAGGAAAGACAATGCGCGTTAGAATGGTTTAATACTCCTTAGTTGCGTGAGATATATCGCCTTCATGCGCAATTACCTTGTCCAAATGTGCATTCATCCAGATGGCAGTAGAAAGACTCTTCCTCGGCGACCCAGACTACAATCGTGGTGTAGAAAGTGAAAGGTATAGATGCTCATAAGACTAACGATCCTTCAGAGTTGGCGTCTGCAACACAGTGAGATCCTCTCGTTTCGCTTACACTGGAAGTCGCAGGTCTCATTCTGCTTGTTGCATGAAAATGTGATAGCTGGCGGTTTGTCAGGGCCGAGGGTATCCACGATCTTTTGATCTATAAGATGAATAGAAGCCACAGCATCTTGATGTCAGTGGCCATCTTGACGGGTACATTTTCTGTGTTTCCTTCTACAAAAAAAAAAAAAAAAAAAGCCTGAGATAAAATATGTTATAGTTTCCTCATATGACCTACTTATGACAGCGCACTGCTGAAAGCTCTCGTATACAGTGAGGCCGCCCTGGTAGCAGGTTCCGTTTTGGCCAGTGGGGACCAGTGCATCGCAGACATGGTCTGATGCGCAGACTAGATGCAGACAAGTATGAATGGGACGATAGGAACAGAGTGTTGATTAAAGTTCAGGACCAGTCTGTACAAGTCAGGAGCCGTGAAAGCATTTGTTGATGGTGCTGGTTGCTGTTGTCGTTGTTGTTGCTACTGCTGGTTATTCCCTCATACCATTGCAGTTGATGCCCGACCAGCCGTCCTTGCACTTGCACGACTTTTCATCCCCACGCTGGGGTCGGTCCCTTCCATCTGTTAGTCCTCCACAGACTAGTGAAAGAAAGGAAATAAAAAAAAACCAGGTACGAGGTTAGAGTTGGCTGGTTTGGGTGGTATGTTTGTGGCACGCCTATGACAGCATGGTGATCAGGCGCCCCTCTGTGATACAACCATCCAAAAGTCGATTCAGGAGAAGAGATACAACGACGTTGGCCCATCCCAATAAGCAATACGGCGCAATACGGCGCAATAAAGGCCTTACAAGCTCTTGAGGACAAGTCTCTCTTTGAGCTGTGCTTGGAGCAATTAATGGAACCGTGACAAGATATATAGCCATTCACACAAAATACCCACGCAGTTCGGTGCAAATTGAAAGGACGAACAGTAGCAGGCTCCAAGATATCTCGTACCTGGCTTAGAACAGTCATCACCGGCGAATCCAGGGGGACAGGTGCATCGGCCATCGTAGGCATTGCAGGGTGCGAAATGCGAGCAAGGGAACGCGTCGAGCATGCAGTTAAAGCAGGGTGGACAGTCCTCAGGTCTTTTAGGTGCTGCCAGGAGCGGGTTGGCAAGAGACATAGCGCCAGGAGCGAGCATCATGTCGTTGCTCGCAGGGTCGAGAACGCGCATGGATGCTGTGCCGACAATAGGGTCTAGAGCTGCGCAAGTCGACTTTGCGATGGCAAGCATTGCCATGGACAGGAGCCAGGACCGCCTCATGGTTTCGTTTTTTTTTTTTTTTCTTGCAAGAGAATAAGATGAAGCAGTGATTGGCAGTGGAGGGGTAGTGGGAGGAGTGTAGTGTGAGGAGGAAATAAGAGAGGATGGAGCGAAGGAGAGCGGAGGGAAGAAGAAGGGCAGCGGTGGTTGGGCGGTAGAAGACAAAAGGGAGGGGCCCCGAATGAAAGGAGGGGGGGGAAGGCGTTCTGAGCAAAGTGGAGGAGTGCGACTATGCAGTTAGAGGAGGAGAGGGGGGCATGCAGTTACGGGGGGCCGCTGTTGTGTTGCTCTCCAGCCAAAAGGGGTTCCACGAGATGTTCCCTTCCTTTTCTCCCATTCTCAAATACATCGCCCCATCAACGCCTAAGGGGAGGGGGGACCGCCAACGATTCGCACACCGCAGCACAGCAGCAACAGCAACAACAACAACAACAGCAGCAGCAGCAGCAGCCGCAGAAACGACAAACGCGTGCCCCTTGACTCCGATCCTCCTCCTCCTCGAGAGCGTCTTGTCTGTGCTATCCCCCACCCACCATCAGCAATGTCGACCACCGCTACTGCTGGCACCCCAACGACAACGACCGAGACGCCTACATCCATAGAGGGAACCTTTCCTTTTCCGCCTCCTTCCCCTCCGCCTCCTCCTCCTGTTGGTGCTGCTCCTTTGACCTCCAACCCCCCAACCAATGCTTCTCCGACGCCTTCGAGTGATCCTCCCATTACAATTGACCTTGTGAACTCTCCCATCATCGACATGTCACCGACCCTGGAACCAAGAATAACACCACCTCCACAGGAACAACAAGGCATGCTATTCTCTTCAAGATTTGCTATTCCACCTGTCGCTTGATTTGTCGTTGTGATTTTAACTCCTAAAAGGCGTTATCAACACTTTAGGGCCTCTATCGGACCAAAATCAGGATCAGGATCAGGACCAGGACAGAGTGATGCAGATGCCTCCACCAACGACATCATCGCCTCTCGATGAACCGACACCAGCACCGCCATCATTACCGCCACCGCCATCGCAATCACCGGCTCCAGCAGAGCCAATGACAACACCGCGACCCACTGTCGCCACGGCATCACGATCGCCTGCTCCAATAGAACATATGACGGTACCTGGACATACCATGCCTCCATCAACACGATCGCCCGCTCCAACTCCAATTGTAATAACGCCCGGACCCGTCGCTATGCTCCCACAAAGTCGTGAATCATCACCAGTGCCCGTTGTCGACATGCCAGAGCCAATGGATCCTCTCTCACACCTGTCCGAGATCTTTGAAAAGATCAAAAAACAGGTCATTGAATGGGGTGAGGATGCAAACTGGAAAATCGATGTTTTTCTGCTTCCGAACGAGGATGGCTCCATCCCAGATGGTGATGCTCCAGCGCAAGCTGGACCCTTGGGCCGGAGCTCGCAGGACGTTGCTCCGGTAGCACCACCGAGGATGGGCCTTACGGACATTCCACGGCCGCCAGGACGGGATATACAGGATGTCGAGATGAGGCATGGTAAGGCGGCCATATTTATCCTCAACACTGATATGTCGGCAGAGAATGACTCAGCACAGCTTCAGAACCTAACACTCGACTTTGATTGTATCTCTGGACAGCTCCTAGCTTATCTCGGTTCGAATTGCAGCCTCCACCGAACGATCTGCCAATGTCCATGGATGAGCCTATGGTGGCATCTTTAAGAGAGCAAGATATTGCCAATATGAGTGAATCAGAGGCGAGACAGATGGTAAAAGACGAACACCAGGGATTCAGTATGCGACCTTGACTGGGCTGTCGGTATGTCTCGGGAGTGTTTACTTTTTTACTCATTCGATGATTTTATTGCATTGAATAGTTGTCGCTGGCTGTTCGTCAATTGCGGGAACAACAAATGGCATTATCGCATGCCATACAGGACGTTGAGTCTATGCAACGCGTAGCCGCAAAAAAGGTACATTTATAGATGTGCGGTTAATCGTGGTGGCGTGTATCCGCCGAAACCCTTATTTGACGTTTTATTACTTTCTTGTTTATTCCTAGGAAATGGATTATGAAGCTCGATTGGAAGCTGAGAAGAGGAATATGGGTCGGGAAAATATGGTTCTGTCCAAGAAATGGAAGGACGCATCATATCTACTGTTGGAGAAAGATCGCGAGGTAAGCCGTGGAGGATTCAGAGCAATTCTTGTTTGTCATGCCAAATGTCATTTGGAATTAAATTTCTCCCTCTTGCGATTTAGCTGCGAGACATACAGATGCAGCTGGAAGCAGGAAAGCGGTATGTCAGAGAAAGAACTGAGGAGCGACGAAAGGTAAGTTTTTCAGGTGTCTTCAACCAAGTGCATGATATTATCGAGCGGGTTCGTCCTTCATGGTAGCTAGCCAGTATTTAATCTTCCTCTTCTTTCTTTCTTTCTTTCTTTCTTCTTTTTTTTTTTTTTAACAGCGCTTTGAAGAGTTTGGAATGAGTTTTCCCCGTACGGCACCTGGACGGGATGGAATCGGACTTGCTCACTCATCCTCCATGCCCTCTCTACCTACCAGAACCGAGCCAATCCAGCCACCATTTCACCAGCACCGCCACCGTCGCGTTCATTATCATCGTCACCACCATCGCCATTTAACCAGACGTCGAGGCGTAGGAACGGACTCATTGGAAAACTTGGCCTTGTTGGCGACGCAAGCTCTATCGAGCGAACCTCTGGTTATTTCAAACGAGTCGAATAACAACGGCGATAGCAGCAGCACATTAATACCACCAACGGCGTCCTCAGGTCTGATCCTTAGTGCGGATTATACGTCCCGCTTAGAAAAGAAGCGAATCTCACCAGGAGAACGGGATCAAGGTCTACAACTACGACCTGTCAAACGAGTAGGCCTGAATCCTCCCGAGGGAGAGGACGTCTCGTCTATAGGCGGGAGTGGATCGTCACCTGCGGCAAAGTCGAACGGAGGAACAGGCACAGGCATGAGAGCAACAATATCGAACGGACGATCAAGTTTGGGTAGCTTTACCAGGAAACCACAGCAACGGATTCCCTCCCAGCAGACTTCACGGTTGTCCCCTTCGTCGCGGTCGTCTGGAACGAGTGCATTCCAGCATAATGCGTTCGCAAAGTCGTCGCCGTCAGGATCTAGAACGGATCTTTCGGCAGCAGCTGGAAAGGATGCGTCGAGTAGGACGGCTTCAACGAAATTCAGGCGGTCGTGAACCAGGTCGAGACGTTGTCCTTTTGCCACACAATAAAACATAACAATCGTAGTCTGCATTGAGATATAAAGAGTGCAAGGGTCTTGCTGAGTGCGTTCTTGTCGCGGAAGATCGAGCTGTTCGTGTCTGCCTCAATATCATGATCACATGACTTTTTCGCGGCTCCGAACCCCCAAGGATCGAGTTGGCTGTGATCAGCTTTTGATTCATCCGAGCTCCACTCTCACCAACTCTCCTCTCCCTCTCTCTCTTCACACAAACAACCATGTCGTCTCAAGAACAATACATCCGAACGGAGTACCCCGTTATCGATTCGGACCCACACTTTTCTCGCGTTGTCCGTTACATGCGTGGATCGGATTATGTAGCCTGGGGTGCCTTGACCGCCGGAGGACCTGCCGTGCTGTTGGCCCTTGGTAATCCATACAGCACCACACACTTATGATATAGCAACTCAGAATTCTCCTCTGGACGACGTGGAAACGACACGACACCGCCTGAGATCGTATGGAATTGCATGGAATCGACAACATACAGGAATGAAAAGGATCGAAAAAGAGCGACAGTTTTTGGACGTCGGAGAGTACTGCAGGAGAGAAGACACAATTGTGATGTGGATTTGTTGGAGACTGGGGAGAGGAGGACGATGAGCGCGATCAGTGTTACGAAGACTACTTGATTACAGTCATCAGCAATACGTTTCAGGGCACTCCAGGGAATCTGAACGATCGGCGCCAGGGCTTGGGATGCTACTCCAGCTCTCACTTTGTCCGCGACGTGCAGAGCGCATACCCAGGAACCCCGCGGTACCGGAAACAGCAAACCACTTATCCATGCCACCTGTAACCCCCTCACATAACGCAGATCGAGATCAGGATCGAGGATCAGGACTCTGGCCTCGGGGTCGCTTTTATTCTCAAGAAGTGTTTACAAATGCGACAGTTGTACAGGACAGCCAACTCATCGATCCTCTCAATGGACTGACCGTTTCTTTATCCTTTTTTATTTTTATTTTTATGTACGTTTGCATGGAATCGAATAGAGCGTATCCGCCCGGGTGCGGGACCCAAGGGTATCAACTTTGCCCTGGGATGTGCCACGGCCCTGGGTTTCATGGGCGGTTTCTTGTACTCGTACCAAAAGTCAAGTCGTAAGTTTCATTTCCTCGCGCGTTCCTCGCTTTCTCTTTGATCCCTCTGTATTGCACTGACACCCCACTTGCTGCCCCCTTCTTCTTTTTCTTCTTCTTGATTATTTCATGTCTTCTTTATCTTGAAATATAATTAGTCCGCTTCTGGGGCTGGGATGAGAACGCGCGCGAGCAGGGGATGAACCGCACAGAGATGCAGGCCCGTGCCGACAAGGGTCTCCCCGCCTACGGCGAGGCTACCATGGACGAGGCCGCCCAGGCTGCCGCCGCACGAAACTCCAAATACGCCGCCCTCAAATTCTGTAAGCGCTGCACACATTCACCCTTGATCATACTCAAAAAAAAACCCCCCCCCCCTTCCCCCCATCCAATTCGTCTTGTCTACGATGACTATTTTTTTTCGCTAACCGTCAAGCAACGCTTTTTTTTTTTTTTTTTTTTTTTTTATGTGGGGAACGATAGCTGCAATTCCTTGGTTTAACACCACGAACCACAAATTCCACTTGTCGGAGAATACCACCAATGCTGCTGCTGTCCAGAGCGACAAGTAGGAGTATTCAGTCGAGTCTTCTTTTTTTTTATTATTTTGTCTGCAGGATGGAAATTTGCAAGATCAAGGATATACCGAAAAATATCCAGATGATGGCGCTTTTATGATGATGGACTCTAGGAACGAGATGAAATAAAGGGATCGATTCAGCATGGAATTTCTTCCCCTTCTTCCCTTCCCCATCGTGCTGGATCGTAATAAAGAAAAAAAAAAAGAACACATGACCAGATAGGCACAGCGTAAATACTCACATTAAACACTCAGAAACTGTCGCCGATCTGATTCTTCTAATGCTTTTATTGTTTATTTTTAGTTTATGAGAATCTCTTGGGTCCTATTGCTGTTGTTGTCTATCCTTCTTTTCCTTGGCCTCAGCGAGCGCCAGGAGCGTGTCAAACTCTGTAGAACGCTCACACATCGACCTAAACACACCATTCTCCTTCCTCATCAACGCATACGGCGTATCAAACTCTGCAATCTCTCCCTGGTTCAACACCAACACCCTGTCGAAATCCGCAATCGTCCTGATCCTGTGTGCGATCGTAAGAATCGTCGCCTCCGCCATCTCCTCCCGGATCGTCGTCTGGATCCTCAGATCCGTCTCAAAGTCCACACTCGCCGTCGCTTCGTCCATGATGATCACCTTGGGCTGACGCACAAGCGCACGGGCCAACGCGACTAGTTGACGCTGACCTTGCGAAAAGTTCGAGCCGTTCTCCTTCACGGCAGTGTCCAATGTGATCCTAGATGGGTCCACAATCTCGCTGTCACCGGAGGTAGAGCCTTTGATCGAGCCAGCGGGTGACACGGCTGCAGGCGCATCCTTGCTATTGCTTGACGACCCTGCAGCAATCGCCACAGGAGCCAGAGTCGGAGCACTGTCCGCAGGGATCAAATGGCTGCGTCGCAGAGCTTCCCAGAGCTCTCGGTCCTCACGTTCGCCAAACGGATCGAGGTTCGAGCGCAGCGTACCCTTGAACAGAACTGGATCCTGAGGAATAATCGTCAAGTTTGTTCGCAGATCATGCAAACCAATCTTGCCGATATCAATGCCGTCGATACGGATACTGCCTCGTACTGGCTCCATGAACCGGAACAAACTGATCGCCAACGTCGACTTGCCAGATCCAGTACGGCCAACCACACCGACCTTCTCTCCAGCCCTGATCTTGAACGAGATATCCTTGAGCACATCGGGTGTATCTGCCGCGTACTTCACAGTCAAATGCTCGACTTCAATCTCACCAGCATGGGGCCACGAGGCCGGGGGACGGGAGCCCTCAATGATTGCTGGAGGTTCTTCTTCCAAATGCATGTACTCGGCCACACGCTCGACTGCGTTCATGTTCATCTCGTTCTGCGCATACATCCGGATCACCCACACCATCTGCATCGTGAACGTAAGCGAGTAAGACAAGCTCATAGCTGCCCAGCCTGGCTCGATACTATCCCACTTGCGGAGGATCAGCATACCGGTACTGAAGGATACCAGAGCGCCTGTCAAATCCACACGCCAGTGCAGCCATCGGTTCGTTGACCAAAGCAAGAAGAACGTCCGGTTGTTGTTGTCAAGGTTCGTCAAGTTCGTCGACAGAAATCGGTCCTGGAATCCAAACGCTCGGATGGTCGCAACACCGTTCAGGGTCTCGTTGAAATGGTTCAGAATCGGCGAACGAGAGTTTGAATTCAGGCGCTTGAGGTCGCGTGAGATAGGAACGAAGAGGATACCAATGACAACATAGATTCCGACAATAAAAACCGCAGAGATCAAGAACGCCGGCATGTTGATCGAGATGACAAGGACAAGGCCACTGATGGAGATAATGGTGTTCATAAATATGTTCAGACCAAAGAGCACCTGCTCATCGATCGTTGACATATCAGCGCTGAATCGGTTGATGATACGGCCGATCGGGGTCGTGTCAAAGAAGCGGATCTTGGCGCGCGAGACCTTGTAGAGCAGTTCGGCGTGTAGCACCCTTGAAGCGGTGACGTTTCCGACGACCATCGCATAGTAGTTGGTCGCGACATTAAACAGCATCTGAACAACACCGATCAAGGTGTAGATGCCCAGGTAGTACTCCACATTGACAGACTCCTGTGTGCCCTTTCCAAACAAGGCCATCGTCATTATGCCATACCCTCCACTGTTCTTGGGACCGAAAGCCGAATACAGAGACAGAGCAATAGACTCAGGTACGACCGCCTGGAAGGCCTGGATGACAAACGATCCGGTCTCTCTCGCCACAGCGTTGGCCCACATCGCCAACCAGGTATTTTGTGCAAGGTTGCCTCCTTCGCGAAAGATTTCAAACAGAAATAGACTGATCCAGAAAGGCCAACCGCCCGCCGCAGACAAGTAAACCTTGTAAACCCTGAATGGAATCGATCCCTCCTCCTTCTTTTCATCCTCCGTGAGCTTGGGCGCGACTCTTTTCTTGACATCGGTCTTCTTAGCCTTCTTGGCGGCCTCCTCGCCGTCCAAGGTGCTGACCTCGCTCTCGTCGTCGCCAATAGGAGTCGCCAGAGCAACGCGGTCGACCCATCCGCTGCGCATCACTGTCTCGGGTGTTCCCGCGCCCAAAATCTCGCCCTTCTCCAGGACAACGACGTAGGAGGCTGCATTCAGCGTCAGCTGGATCTGGTGAGTAGCCATGAGGACGGTGCGGCCCTCGAGGAGGGGTCCGGTCAAGGTCTGGAAGAGCTGCTTGCCAGTGTGGGTATCCACAGCCGAGAGACAGTCATCGAGGAGCAACACGTTCGCATCAGAATAAATCGCGCGAGCAAGGGCAAGTCGCTGCTTCTGTCCTCCAGACAAGGTGATACCCTGGTCTCCGATCTCGGTCGCGTCCCCGCCCTCAAGGATCTCAAAGTCCGTTATCAACGCACATCCCTCGACAACAGCGTCGTAACGCTCTTGGTTGAACTCCTTGCCAAACAGAATGTTTGCACGGATCGTTGAGTTCTGGAGCCAGGCCGTCTGAGAGACATAGGCGATACCGGATCCGCGCTCATAGTTGTGGATCTCATCATAATCCAGGCGGGGCAGGTACATGTGTCCCTCCAGACGTTCGAGCTCACCGAGAAGGGCCAGCAGCAGGGCGGATTTTCCAGACCCCGTAGGACCGACGATCAACGACAGCTTTCCGACAGGGAAGTCAGCGGAAATGTTCTTCAGCTTGAATCGTTCCTGGACAACATCGGATTCAGCAGCAGGTTCTACAGGTGCAGCCTCAGGCTTCTTGGAGAACCAGCCCTTGATCCTCTTGGATAAGGGTTCTTTCTTGAAAGCCTTAGTCTCTGCAGCCTGCTCCTGCTCCTTGTTGGGCCAGGCGTACGTGGCGTTGACGAATCCAATTACGGGGTGATCCTGAGGTGCCGAGGCAACACGGGCCTTGCCATCAAGCCTGGTGATAGTCGTATCCTTGACTATCTCCTCATCAGCTAGGAATCTCGAGATACGCTTCAAACTGACTACTGCACGCATCGAGCCCATGATAATCCACGGAATCTGATCCAGAGAACTGCGCATGATGTTGAAGAGCGACAGGGTCGTAAACAGGACCGAAGCCGTGATCTCGTGTCCATAATACTTGGTGTAGCTCAGAATCAAGACGAGGATGTTGAGCAACGGCACAATCGACCAGGCAATGTTCGCGACCGCTCCCTGGACGAACGTCTTCTTGATCTGAGAAAGCTCGCGCTCACGAGCCGCTGTGATCTTTTCGACAAACTTCGATTCCCAGCCAAAGAACTTGACAATACGGATTGCAGATAACATCTCGGTCAGGTAGTCCATACGGTCATCCTTGATGCCCATGATGCTTTCGAACAGTTTGTTGAGAGCCGAGTAGAGAATTCCTGGGATAGGAAGAGTGATGACCATGAAAACGATTCCGATGATCGAGGCAGCTCCCAGGAGATTATAGAGAAGGTAGGTAGACAGACCGAACTGGATGGGAAAGCCATAGATCTCGTGCAAATAGCTCACCGTGTTCTCCATCTCCTTGATGTCCACTCCAACCAAATCTACACAGGTCAGCAGAGGGAAACAGCAGCCATTTCAATTAGTGAACACATTTCAATAACGAGCCATAGACGAATCGATTTGTCAACGACGAGTCCTCTGTGGCTCAACTTACTGGAAATGTTCATGGTACGGTCCTTCTTTGGGGCGGCAGCGGCATCTGCCTGTTCACCACCGCCTTCTTTTTCCTCGGGCTTATCATTCGCAAGCGTGGCGACGTCCTTTCGAAGAAAGACCTTTGCAAATACGGCCGCATTACAGATCGAGACCAAGTGCATATACAGACGACGACTGCGATGAAGGACCGTCTGCTGAGCAGCAGATTCGAGGATCGCGCAACCGAGCAACGCAAAGACCCAGGCGTAATTTTCGTACGTCGGTGCACCACAATCTTTGCATTCGATGTACTTGACAATCCTGTTCAGGAAGTAAGGCTGTGCAACGATCAAGATGCTGAAAGGAATCGAGCACAGGAACTGCATAATCAAGTCGCGCCGAAGAGCCATGAAGAGCGACTGAGTAAACGACTTTTTCCTAAGAAAAGCACAATGTCCATTTACAGATTAGCACAGGAAAAAAAAAAATGGAAAAAAGAAAAGCCCTCCTCTCACCTCCTCTTCCTCATCAAGCCGGAGATCTGTATCGCAAAAGGAGCATTACTTACTGAACAGCCTTGTACTTGCGAACCGAATATTTGGACTGATCCGTCGGCTCCAGCTCCGGCAAATCCTCATCCTGGATCGGCCTCCTGTACCTCAGATACACCAATGAATTCACCCATGCGAAGGCGCACCGCCCGTACAGCGAAGACGCATATTCCATCGATGGGGTTCTCACCTTCTCCCCTTCCTTCGGAACCTTCATCTTCACCAACTTTTGCATCGGCTTCGTCAGTAGAGTCACCCAGACCAACGACAGTATCGTCAACCACGCCGCGCTTTCCATCTTTAGCCACACGGGCCATTCTGTGAACGGCAACGTCAAAACCTCGGCCCTGTAAAGCGCCATGGACGACAGGATCAAGGATAGAATATAGAAACCATCCATCTGTGGACGGATCCAGAATTTGGATGCGACGGCCGGCCAGATCAGATACACGAACGACAGCGCCAGCGCATAGAACCATGTCATCGCTTGGATGCCATCGTCCAAAAGACTGTAATGCGGATCCTGCGGCAATCGTTCTTCTCCGTCATGATCTGCGTTCCCAAAGTGAAACAGAGCCAAGGTAAAGACTGCAAGGCCGAGTCGGAAGGCTGTGAGGCCCAATCGTGCGAGATGGAGGCTCAATCCTGAAGCCCGCTGAGCCTGGTACTGCGTCTGGATCGCATCTATGGCTGTGGAGTCTGTGAGTGCGGTGTTGCCTCGATGGTGTTGGTTGTTTTGGGCGGCGGTATTGTTGTCTTCGTTGGCGTCGTCTTCATGGTCAAGGGTATCGCGAAGGGGCTCGTACTGGTCCAGATGCACGGGTTTCGTTGAGAGATAGATGATCAAGCCCGCCGAGGCGAGCGAGTACGCCAGCGGCAGAGCAGTCTCGACCAATCTGGGGAAGCAAATGGATGATCTCGGTCAAGGGGCCTTGTCTTTTGAAAGAAGCCATTGTTATCCGACAAAGACGAAGAAGAACAAGAGGTCTTACTGGGCAGGAGAACTCATTTGCTAGAACGGCTCTTTTGTTTTTCTCCGAGACTGTTGCGTCTGAGAGCGAGTGAATAAAAGTATAGCGGGCTGTTGTAACGAACAGATGCACTCGGTCCCGGCCACCCTGCGATGTGTATCTGTATCTTGCGGACCCAAGGGTGCGAGGGTGTAAAGGGTCAAGAGACAAGGAGAGCGAAGCTGTTGAAGCAGAGCAAAAGAAAGAAAGAGAGAGAGGGCGGGAGGGAAAGAGAAAGAGAGAGAGAGGAGAGGCATCTTTTTATATGAAATTGAAGGGAAAAAGGGAAATATAAACAACGAATCAGCGGCACAAACAAAGCCCAACAAGGTTCGCAATGGACCAATGGACAACTCCTTCGAACCGGAAACTTCACACTGCTACTGCTGCCCCCCTCGCCTCCGTCGCTCCTCTTTATCCGCCATTGCAGCAACAGTGCGAAGGGAGATCGAGTCCTTGCTGCAAGACCGCATCCTCAATGGCAACACCATTCGCTCGGCGCCCTCTTGACGAGCAACGAAAAAAAATAATCCTTCTTGGCCCTGTCCGTCTCTCCTTCCCCCGGGGTCCGTTCAATTTGTTCTTGTTTTCGTACCTTTGTTTGCAGCATTCATCATGTGCATGTTATCATTATTGTTGATTCTTGTGCACCATAAACGCTGCGCTGCCTGAGCACTCCGCAATTTCCGTGCTCTGGAAGGGTCCGTTTTTCTTTCCATCTTTGTTATTCTCTTAGCTCTCACTCTGCATGAACCTAGTGCCCAGTAATTGTTTATGGAAGAGAGGGGGGGGGGGGGGGGGCACGCGGCGGATCGAATCGAATGGAGCTCGGGAGTCCTGGGAACCAACGAACTCAAACCCCAGCCTACAGTGAAGTCTCTCTTGTGTACAAGTACATCAAACATCCGAGCGAGTGGACGCCAGATGTGAATGGTGCTGGTTCACAAAGAGTATATCCGGTGCACCTACAACACAGTATATCAAGTATATTAGTCTGTACCCGCGTGGATTTTTTTTTCTTTTTTTTTGCCTTTAGGGCGAAGCAAATTGCGCATTGGCTTACATCGTGTGTATTTTTTTTTTTTTTTTTTTGGAACGCGCCGCACATTTCCATAGCCAAATATGGCACCGATATATCGATCCAATGACATCGCCCCCAGACACCGCCCACTTTCGCAGGAGAAAAAAAACCCTCCCCACTGGTGCTTTGTCCGCGTGTCAAATTAGTCGACACTCGAATAAGAAGCGACACAACTGGCCTATGACCTAGTCTAGTACCCTTGAAATGGACGCGAAAGTTCCCCTGTTGAGGGGAAAGAACGAAAGATAACGCTTTGAACAGCTCTCGCTTCACCTGACAATGGGCTACCAACTGATCTTTTTTAGTCGTCGTAATATGTTTATTTTAATAGTATCGTCCAGTGTTGCCATGCTCCTGCTCATGATGTGAAATACGGGACCTAATGTTGTTGTTTTCTTTTTATCGTGAATAGTAAAGTGAAAAACAACCTTGATATGCTGGCGTTGAGGAGGGTCGAACAGGTTCTGCCATTCTAAAAGAAGAGGTATCCGAAAATGAAAGCAGCCAATGCTGCTCCCGCAACATATGTAAGAGGATAACCGCCCTGGGTCTGGTTCAGGTGTACTGCCGAATACGTCGGTGCTGAAGGAGAACCTGACTCTGGTTGGCGTTGACGAAGCTATGCGAGTTGTAACAAAAAAAAAAAAACACGAACGAGTCGATCAATATCCCATCGGACAGACTTCTTTTTTTCTTTTTTTCCCCCCTTCAATTGCGCGTCATCGGCCACCAAGGAAAATTTCCCAAGGGACATACAGTGTTGCTCTCCCGTTGCAGCTTCTCTATAGTGCTTTGCAGGTTATGGATAGTCTCCTGAGCAGACTGGAGTTCGCGTCTCAAAGGCTGCACATCCGCACTGCTTGCGGTCGTCGTCGTCGTCGTCGTCGAGGCATTGGTGCTGATCCTGTCGGGTTGGTTCTGAACAGGCGATCCTGGGAAATGAGCTGGTGCAAGTTCCGACTGCTGCTGTGGCTGTCGAGAAGAAACAGGTGCTGTTGCTGAAGGAATCTCATCGTCCTCCGTCTCTGTGACACCTTGCTGACCCGTTGCGGGCAAGAATGCGCATCGAATCTTCTTCTCGCGGATCTGATCCCTCGCATCCCGCTCTATGGCTGGCCACTAGTTTGAGAGTATTGATTAGTAAACAATACTTGGTTCAGTCATAGTGCCTATGTCTATGGAGCAGATCCATGTTACAGTGTAGACTTACCAGGTCAGCAGGGGCCAGCTGCTCGCGCTCGGCCGTGATGGCAACACTCTGAACCAAGAACTTGTCCTTGCACTTGAAGTCTAGAGGGGGTTCCTCCTTCATGGCCTGCATTTGGACTACATATCATCAACATGACGTGTCTGTTAGTCGGAATGCCCTGATGTATTTGTCATCAACCCAATTGTGTTCCATCTGGTCAACCCCATGCACAGCCGCAAGATCGCACAAATAACAATCCTGATCTACACGCGCGATGGCATCCTGTCATTGTCTAATAGTCTCCAGCTTGTCCTTTATGGCATCCGGTAGTTGTTGTTGTTGTTGTTGTTGTTGCCACGGTCGTACATTTCGTCACCAAAAAAAAAAAAAAAAAAAACCACTCACCCTGAACCTCTAGTTCCTGGCCTGGCTCAACACGACCCGAGTTGGGTCGGACACAATACTGCTTGGGGGCAGTGGTCTTGACCTTGAAGGCGATGGGCAGCTGGGTGGGGTTGCGGATGATTAAGGCCTCCTTGATGGCCTCGGTCAAGGGTCCTACATGGTTTCCATCAAGGATTTCGTCAGGAAGAGGGATGTGCAAAGCCGGAAAGCAAGCAGGTCCAGTGTGGACAGGGTAATCTTACTCCTGAAGGAGAGCTGGGTGGCGGGTTCGAGTTCGATCGACATTGGCAGGTGTGGGTGTATTTGAAGCGATGGAGCGATGGAGCGATGGAGCAATGGAGTGATGAAGTGATGATGATGAGGATGATGAGGATGAGGATGTGATGCCGGTGGATTCAAACTCAATTGCGAGATATGCAATTGAGTGTGTGGGCAGCAAGCAGTCCCACCCCCCCCCCCCCTCTTCCTCCCTGTAGTCTACCTGCCCATGCGCGCCTTTTCTTTCTTTCCACTGCACTGCACATGGATGTACACGCGCAACCACTCCCTCGGTCTTCCCCCGATATCTCGAAAGGGGGAGCATGTGCCGCGTCTCCAATGGGTCGTGGGGGAGAGGGGGAGATGTCGGATGGGGATCTGCTGTTTGCTTTCCCCCTATTTTTTTTTTTTTGGCCACCAACTTACTTTTTCTTTTCTCCCTTTCCTTTCCCTTTCCTTTCCTTTCTTTTCCTTTCTCTTCTTCTTCTTCTTCTTCAAATACTTACTCGCTACCCATCTCTTCTTTTTTCCCTCCCTCGCGCATTCAACAAAGACTCAGCGGACAACCATCCGCTCCAGAAAAGCAGAGGAAAGCGGTCGACGGAACACCAACAAACTGCAGCAAAGGGCATCCAGGGGCTAGAATGCCGAGCATTACTTTAAGCAATCCCGAGGACAAGGCCACAGTCAAACGGTTTCTCTCCTCGCCCAACACCAGGATCATCACCGCAACGGTGGCCAGGCTCTATGTGGCCTATCCAGACCCCCTTCGATGGACATACACAGGCATCATGGGTGCTGTCGCGCTCATCCAAACAAACAACACCTTCTTTCTCCGTATCGTCGACCTCTTGGTAAGCAAAGAAAAAAAATTGTTCGCACGCTTGAACGGAAAAAAGATCGAGACTCGTAACCATGGTCAAAACGCGATGATGCTGACGACGCAGTTAACTGTTCGAATCACTTGGACTTGGATAGTATGGCAGAGGCGTCGTTTGGGAACAGGAATTGTACGATGGGTTCATCTACTCCCAAGACAAGCCGTTCTTCCATTCGTTTCATGCAGAGGTGAGCACGCATATGGAGCGCTTTCAAACAGGCCGTCTCTTAACCAAGTATGAAGTACTCATCTGGTCCTCCTCTCCGTCGTGTCTCGCCTCCTTATCTGTTGCTAGAAATACATTGCAGGATTCTCGTTTGCGGATGAATTGGAGGCAGACGTCTTTTACGGCAAGGTCCATAGACGAGCGCTCTTGCGACCATGTGAGTTATCAGGATGTATACATCCACACACATACCACTCTCTCCTTTTAGTCACCGCTACTCTTACTGCTATGCTACTATTGCTGCCCATCTCCCTAACACTCCTTTTCCCTTTCATCTCTTTTAATGTGATGCTTGTGGGTCATGCAGTCAAACCTGTGCCGTCTACAGGGGCATTGGTCAGATCAGGAAAGGCTGGAGGAGCACAGGGTCGTGGACGGATTCCGCTTCACAATGGCAAGCTCGACAAATCAAGGATCGGTCTGCCTTCAGACTTTCGACATGTCGGGCATATAGGGTGGGATCCAGACGTTGGGTTTGATGTAAGTCAACACCCCACCCCTATGTCCACTACCAACAGCAGCAATGAAATGGAAAAATGAAAAAAAAGAGAGCAGAAACAAGAAGAGTCCACGGGGACATAGGGGGCTCCTGCGTCATGTGTGCATCCGTCATGTATTCCCACCGCTCTGTTGCATAACAGAGGAGGGGTATCCTGACAATCATGACCACAGGTCCACATCAAAGACGCAGGCTCAAGAGATGCAGTGTCGGTAACTTCAAATCACTGACTCTGACTTTTTTGTTCGCGTCTTATTTTTGGTTTATAGGCACAAAATATCGACCCAGCATGGCGGGAATTGTTTGAACAGCTCGACACGTGCGGTGTGAGTCGCCAACAGATCAACGAGAACGCAACCTTCATCACCGAGTTTATCAGCGCCCATGGCGGACTACCCAAGAATGCCTCCAAACAAAAGAAACCTGACCTCTCCAGGATTGACTCGCCCCCTCCATTGCGGCCACAGTCTCCACAACAACAACAAAAACGACCTCCCCCACCACCTCCACCACCTGGCCATAATAACGTTGCGTCATTACCGTCACCCACGGCGTCAATGGCCTCTCCGGTGCCCTTCCATGGATATCTACCTAGACCATTGGCGCAAGTGATGGCGAGTCTCTCGTTTGGGTCATCATCCTATTATGGCACATCCAATGCCAACTCACAATCACCGCCTTCTCCGCGTGCTTCGGAAGCGCTCATCAACTCAACTCTATCACCAGCCAATAATGCGCCTGCCGAAATCAGCGCAGCAGCAGTACCTCCTGCACCCAGTACCGCACCGCCCCCTCCTCCCCCTCCTCCTCCGCCACCACCACCACCACCACCACCACCAATGATAAATGCCACCGCAAAAGACACAAGATCACCTTTGGCGATATCTGGATCGATCCAGACGGCTAGCCACGCAAAGAATAAGGCCTATAACAACATCAACAACATCAACAACATTAACAAAGACAATAATAACACTGGCAACGTAGTGAAGAGCCCTGTGGAGAGCTCCCTGCTGGCGAGTATCCGCGAATCCGGTGGATTACAGGGACTGCGCAAGACGGGGGCACTTCGATCGCCTCGTCCGATCCCCGCACGGCCGCTCTCACCGCTGGGAGGACCATCGAGTAGTAGTCAGGGGGATCTTGTGTCGGCACTGGTGGCGGCGCTGCAGCGACGACAGACTCGACTGACATATAGCGATGATGAAGGACAGGCACCGAGCGAGGACGATGATAGCTGGGATGCGGATGAGTGAAGTACGGATGACTGGATATGAACGCTCCTTTGACCAAGGTCATTTGCCATTGTCTGTTGTGCTAATACAACAAAATAAAATAAACTAAAAAATTAAAATTAAAAAGAAAGAAGCGGTGTAGGATGGTTCCGTGGCCGGAAGGAAAGATCGATTTCCTTTTATGACAAACAATCAAGGGATCGCCAGGAAAGGGGGAGGGCTGCGGAGCCGAGCATGTTCGTGTACACACTCCGCTCCGATTTTATTTCTGACAGAGCACTCTCGTTTCATCCTCGTTGATGTCATAACAAGTTGCTGCATGGTGATACACAGCCTTTAACGAGTCTGTGTGTCCTGTGTGTCCTGTGTGCATGGGTCTGGGCGGGGGGGGGGGGGGGGGGGGGGGGGGGGGGGGGTGCAGCCAGTGCAGCCGGTGCAGCCAACGATAAATAAAGAAAGACGAAGGAAGCCTCGGGATGGGTGTGGAGCAATTGGGGAAAAGGGGGGGAGTCAGACAGAGGTAAGAATACATCCCTTCCGTTCGGCGGCGGTGTCTCTTCCTTCAAAGGAAGGAAGGAAGGAAGGAGGGGCCTGTGCTGAGGGCGTATAAATAGTCCTCCTGCTGCCCTTTTTTCCCCTCCTCCTCTTCTTCCTCTCATCTCTGTTCCCACGCACACACATTTCACAAAAGAACACTCCTCTTTGCTCTCTCCCCTTTCTGCTCCTCACTCCTCACACAATGGCTTCCTTGGCCCCCCTCAGATCCTCCAAACCCACGGCCGCCCCCCTCAGATCCATCCTCCTCCGCCACTGCCGCCCCCTCGCCCCCTCGCCCTGCGTCCCCTGCTCCCTCGTCGCCCCCGCAGCCACCATCCGCTACCGCCAACTCCAGTCCTCGGGCCAGACCCGCGCCTTCTCCCTCTTCGGCAAGGCCAAGGCCGACTCCTCCATGATCCCCAAAGCCGTCCAGAACGACATCCCTGACTCGCTCCGCCACCTGCACCATCCGGAGCCCATGCGCGACGAATTCAAGGGCCAGAAGAAACTGACCACCGAAGACCTCGAGGCCATCCCCATCGACCTTCAGTTCCATCGCGAGCCATCCGGCGCTTCCGACTGGGTCGCTTACCAGGTCGTCAAGAGCCTCAGGATCCCCGTCGATCTGTTCTTCAGAACAAAGTACATCCATCGCGTCGTCGCCCTCGAGACCGTCGCTGCCGTTGTAAGTGGGCTCTCCCCCTCGCTTCCCTTCCCTCATCCTTATGCAATCCTGTGCTACACAAGCCTAATCCTCTCTCTCTCTCTTTTCTCTCTTTCGTCTGCTGAACTCTATCTATTTTTCATAGCCCGGAATGGTCGCAGGAATGCTTCGCCACCTGCGCTCGCTCAGGAAATGCTCTCACGACGGCGGCTGGATCTCGCATCTGCTGCACGAGGCCGAGAACGAGCGCATGCACCTCCTCACCTGGATGAAGGTCGCTCAGCCAACCCTCTTCGAGCGTGCCTTGGTCACCGCCGTCCAGGGCGTCTTCTTCAACGTCTTCTTTGCCCTCTACATGGTCTCTGACCGCACCGCCCATCGTGTCGTCGGCTACTTGGAGGAGCAGGCCGTGATTTCCTACACACATATGCTTGACGAGATCAAGACTGGCGTCCTCGAGAACGGTCCCGCTCCCAAGATCGCGATCGACTACTGGAACCTGGCCGACAACGCCACCATTCGCGACGTCTGTCTCGCCATCCGTCTGGACGAGGCCGTTCACATGCACACGAACCACCATCTCAGCGACCGCATTGCCCTCAAACAAGAGGACCTCCGCGTCGACATCCAGAAACTACAGGAAGAGCATGGTATGGTCCCCAACCATAACGCAGAAGAAGTATGGACCAAAAAGGGCAAGTACTAAGCTTGCACACCCATCCATGCACCCGCACCTGCACCTGCACTTCAATCAAAAAGTAATGATGTACTCTACATACGCACTTTGCAAATCTCTTTCGGAAAGACGATCGCATGTATTTCATATCCAAAAATTATTTAGTAAACCATTCAACAAAGGAATAAATAACTTTAGTCGCATTTGACCATCGGATCTCTATTGCCGTTAACATTAACGTTGCATCAACCTGCTTTGCTGTCCATTCATAAAAGACTATTGATTGTATTGTGTTTTATTGTATTGTACAATGATATGTTGGTTGCAGAAAAATATCAAAAAGGCAGAAAACAGAATGATAGTAGATAATAAACAATGCATGGTCTGGATACGCGTGCAAAAGGTCTATCGTAAAAACACGCACACACTCTCACACACACAAAAGAAAAAGCGAGAAATGAACAAACACCCTTTTTTTTTTCTTTTTTTTTTTTTTCTTTTTCTTTTTTCTTTTTCCCTCTGTACACATAAACCCCGTCCTCCTCAGACTCATAACGCATCAACCGTGTCCCTGTCTTTCTCCAGCCAATTCTCCGCACGTCCTTGCTTGATCATCTCGCAGTACCACAATCCATACACCTTCTTATTGAACTCGGACACCGATCGAATCTTCTCCAACAGCGCAACCATCTCGTCTTCCAGTCCCGTCAATCCGTGCGCCTCCATCTCCGCCGTATTGAAACTAAGCTTTGCTGCCAACGCTTCTGCCGCTGCCTTGTTCGCCTCCTCCGGCGACATTGGAGGAGATGCCGGCGATGGTGCTGGTGCCGGTGCCGGTGCCGGTGCAGCTAAAGTAGCTGTCGCCTCAGTACGATCGCTGGGGCCGTTTCCATTTCCGTTCTGACGATCCTGATCCTGACCCTGCTCCGCCTTCTCCTTGCTAGTGGCTGTTGAATCATTGCTACGTACTGCTAGTGCTGCTGCTGCTGCTGCTGCTCCTGCAGTCGCTCCGCAGCTCTCGTCTCCCTCCTCATCCTCATCCGCCTTGCCACTATCCTCCGGACTCGATGAAGACGAAGACATCGACATCGCCGATGCCAACGACGCGCACGACGCCGAGAGCACCATCATCGATGAACTCGAGTGCAAATACAACCACCGCCGGAAATGAATCAACAACCGCTTCTGGATCAACATATACAGTGTCGACGTCCTGCTCAGCGCATTGTCAAGCCATGCCGTAAGCAAGTTCGTGTCCGAAGCCGATAATCCGTTCGCAGGAACAGTCGGCGCCGCTGTCGGTGCTGTATTCTCCTTGACGTCACCGCTTCTGGATCCAGACGCCTCTACCCCACGAGGATCAGGCTTTGGAGTCAAGGTCTCGGACGCAGGGGAGGGTCTTTGGCCTGCATTCAACGCTCCCACCCCCAATGATCCACTTGCAGTCACAGTTGAAGATCCCGCCACCGCAGAGCCGTTCTTGCTCCTCTCCCGAACCTTTCGTGCCGCAAACTCGATTTGGACAACAATATCCTTCATACCGCTACTGCTTCCTGAAGCGGCATCAGCATCCACTTTGCCTGCAGCCGCCGTAGCTCCTGGCCCTGGATTGGTGTTTGCTCCGAAATTCGCGTTCTCGTCCGTCAACAGTAGCCAGACAACCTTCTTGATTTCGATCAAATCCTGCGTTGTCCAACAGTTGTGCGCGAGCTGACGGAATAAAATCAAAAGCGTGCAGAGAATCGTCAGATCCTGAAAATCATTATGAAACGACAACATCCGGTAATGGTCCAACTCGAAAGTCTCCGGCATCGTATTGGTCGATCCATGCGGACGCAGGATCATTTCGAGCAGACCTATAAAAAAAAAAATCCTCGTTACGTTAGCAAGAATCACAAACAACAGAAGTCTTGCAGCCCAAAAAGATCGCAGTACGTACCTTCGTTCACCACACCGTCCAGGATGTTCTCTCCAATGTCGGCTCTGACAACGCTGGACCGTCTCTTGGCATTAAAGGATGAAACCACCGGCACCACCAAGGCCTTGGACTCGTACCCGCTCTGCTCCGGGTCGCTCGACGAGAAACCGGCGGACGAAATACTGAGCTGTTTTGAATTCGTATCTGACGAACCAGACACTTCATTACCCGATGTCTGCGGTCCAATCACAGAGCGCTTGACTGACTCCCACTGGATCCAGGACCGCTTGAACCACTCCTTAGTTCTATGGATAGTTCCTCCGCGAGCGAGAGTCTCCGTGAAGAACTTTTGCTCGAAATCCACAGAGTTGTCTAGGAGCCATGGCCTCAAAGTCCGCAATTGGTGGTTGGCGATATCCTATCAGCACATGAAAGATTTTAAATGCGATAAAAAAACCATTAGAGCGACCATCCCTATCGAGTTGAACGCACTGCCATGACAAAAAAAAAAAAAATCAAGAATACACATACCAGCTTCATCCATTCCAGAATCTCAAAGCACATACGGATTCCACGCACAATCTCGTCAAAGTCGACAACAAAATTGACCATAGACTCGACCAGGGCATCTCGCATCGGGGCACAGTGGCCCTTCAGTGAATCACCAAGGAACCTGAAGAGAGCATGGACATCCAGTACACCGTGATCGAGTTCCTGGAGCAGCATGTCCGGATCCAGCGTCGACTGCAACAGGGCTCGCTCCGGATTGACTGGGGGCGCACCCCCATCTTGGTTTGCTACCGCTGGTGGTAGAGCAGGCAGAAGTGATATCAAGATCTCTCGGAGTTCATCAATTAATCGCGGAAGGAGAACAGCCTTGGGTAGCGGACACATCTGTTGTGCTTGCTGCTGAACCAATCTGCTCGTGGGACTGGAAGAGGACAGTCCAGCCAGACTGAGCATCGTTGCGGCGGTTTCACGTCGAGCTGTAAGGATCGCTCGTCGATTCGACAGCTCGATGCCAACCTCGCGCCAGAACCGATCCGCCTCCCGCCGCTTGACAAGGCCACGCTCGCCGTCAAAATTGGGCCGGAACTGGAGGTGAGGGTCAAAGACAATATCATGTCGCAGCTGCGGGTTTTTGAAGATCTCGAGCATGTCCAGCTCTCGCAGCGTCTCACGAGTAATGGGTAGCGACAGTGTTGCAGGGTTAACTGTAGGTGCCAGCGCAGGTGCCGATTTCGATGATGGAGCAGCTGATGGCGTTCGAGTAGACGGCAGCATTCCAGTCGCGGACTTGCTGGTCTGGGATGAGTGCTGAGTCTTTGATCTTTGCTGAAGTTGACTTTGAATGATCTGATCTTCCTTCTGCATAGGTCGGGTAGGTTTTGGTGCATGAGCTAGGATTGGGGCTGGAGCTGGAGTTGGAGTTGGAGTTGGAGCTGAAGCTGGAGTGGGCTGGGGGTTCGATACAGCTGTGCGCTCAGATGCATGATGAGTGGCTACTGACGCAAGGGTGTCAACCAATTTGGCGCTGGCGGTACTCCTCTGTCCAGCCTCAAAAACAGCGGGCTCCTTGGACACGTCGGCGTCGAGAGGGTGGATGGAAGGCTGCATGTGAGGCTGGTTACTTGCCTCGGGTATAATGGATGCATTTCCTGAAACGGGCCTTGCAGGCTCGCTATCGAAGGGGTGTATCCGTGTAGACTGCTCCAGACGATGATGGATTGATTGACTTGCTGTGTGGGCTTGTTGGACGTGATGAACAGCCGATTCACTATGCCGCTTGAGCTGATCATGATCCTTCGGATTCTGCAGAGACATTGTCGTCTGGTGGTCGCTGAGGATCGAATCATCCTGCATGACTGACGAGGTTTGGTGCCGGGCTCGCTTCAGACGCTCCATACTGCTGGCAGTTGGTGAGGTTGGGGAAGACATTGACGACTGGAAGGACGTTGTTTGTGCAGGGGGACTTCTCTGACGCTTGTGGTGTAGATCGCGCTCTGGGTGGACCTGGATGCGGAGTGGATGTTGAGGAGCTAAGATATGCTGGTCGTGTGGGCTCTCGGCACGATTGTGCTGGGTATCTTGCAATGCGGAATGCGAGGCTGATGAAGATTGGCGCTGCTTATGTTGATGAGAATGCTGGATATGGCGCTGATGATGGGTTGCGATAGATTTCTGTACCTGGTTGTGGTCCTGCTCAGCCCCTTGATCATGGGCCTGTTGATGGGACGACTGCCGATTCCTGGACTGCCGGCGTTGGTGCAGAAGGCGATGCGACGATGAACTCCGATCTGACATCGACAGCTCCGACTCGGATATCGTCCGCACGCGTCGTGTTGATTCCATCGTATTTGTATCGATGTGTTCCTGTAGAGACTCTGCCGCAACCTCACTATGAGTGTTGGAACAGCCACAGGAGGAAGTGCAAAGGTTTCGTGGAGTCTTTGTCGAAGAATGAGACGACTTTTTGATCCGCTTCCGACGCGATGCTGAAGGAAGAGAGACCGTAGAGGTGGAGGCGGAGGTACTGCTGGCTGATGAGACTACTGATGCTGGCGAAGATGTATAAGAGAGGCTGGAGTTGCGTCTCTTGGACCGCTTGTGGCCAAAAGTGGTCAGCGTGGGCACGGTCGAGATGTCGCGGAAGCTGATGCTCCTGACGTCTGTTACGACGATATGCGGACGACTTGTGGGAGGAGGAGAGTGGTTTTCAACGCCGCTGCTCTCTACTGGGTTCTGCAGGCTGTTCTTCGATTGACTGTGGTGATTCAAAAATGCTTCGCCCTGTGAGATTGAAGAGCGAGGCCCAGAGAGGAAATGGGGGAGAAAATGAGCTCTGCGCCTAGAATCGCGCTGAGCCTGGTCCTTTGCAGGGGCGGAAGATGATGAGGGTAGCACTGAAGAGTCGTTGTCCTGGTCGACGGAGAGGAAAGAGCCTTTTTTGAGGCGAAGGCTATCTGAGGGAAGGGTGGTGGATGGCTCTGTCTCTGCTGAGGATGAGGATGAGGATGAGGATGAGGATGAGGATGAGACAGACGAACTTGAGGGTGATAGCGAAGGTGCAGTGGAAGGAGGAGATGCTGTTGGCGATGAAGAAGAGCGTTTGGTAGAGGCAGAAGCAGAGGTCGCTCCTGATGAAGTCGACATATGGCACATATCACTGCCAGGAGATATCCTGCCCCCAGTATGTGTAGCTTCAGCGGAGGACGAGGAAGGTGTGGCTACAGCACAGAAGCACACGAAGAAGAGCGATGGACGATGGTGGTAATGACGGTGACGATGACGACGTTATAGGAGTTCAGGAGAAGGGGCGATGAAGAAGATCAGGACGAGTCGGAGCCGCAGGAGGAGATGCGAATGGAGAGCGAAGGAGGAGACAAAGAGAAAGGAAGAAGAGAAGAAGAGTATGTGGTGAGTATAGGCATCTTGTTCCGACGGGATCATCATTGTCATGGATAGCTGGGTCAATGGCACACACACACAGCCCATTCTTTGTTTGATCGCAGGATGAACAAACCACCATCGGCGCCACCATCGGCACCACTACCACCACCACCATCGACACCATCACCACGGTTCGTTCAAGTTAGCGACAAAGAAAGAATGACATTTAGATTCATCGAAAAGGGGTCCAAAGGAAGACAAGTTAAAATAATGCACCACAGCTCAGAAGCAAAAGGTATGCAGCAATGCATCTGCCGGACAGAAACACAAAGAGCAATTCAAGAAAGTACCACGGTCCGAACGCGTCGCAGACTGAGTCGCACCACCAACAACAAACTCTAGGAAAAATATATATAAATCTGTGTGGTACGTGTGTGTGTAGACATAGATGTGGATTGTGTGTGCAACATGCTGTGGAGACATGATCCCAAGGAGGACCCGTGGTGATTATTTCCCCTTAGCCACCTCTTGCTGCCACGCTGCCATCTCCAAGTTGGCCACCCTATGTGCAGCATGACATGGGCCCACCAGGAAGTAACCGCCATTGGCCCGACCCCCTCCATAGTACGTGTGCAAGAGAAGAAAAGGAGGGACGCGGAAGAAGTGGATGTGGAGGTGGATGTAGACGAGGGTAAAAGGAAATGTAGGACCAAACATGGATACTTGGTCCTCCTAGTCTTCTTTGTTTCTCCGTTCTTACCTCTGTCATTCGAATAGATCTGTGTTTGAGTGTAATCCGCGGCCTTCTTGGATTGGTGGCGCTGCACTCCTTCGCCAATGTCATCACGACCTGCACCTGTCCGTTCACTGTCGTATCTCGGTCTCTCTGATTTGAGGTTAGCTCTGGCAGTGGTAACAACGACATCGACATTGACGGCACTTCCGGTAGACTGGGCCGGTAAGGCATCCCGGGTCATTGGGGCGACTGCAGAGATACGCTTCCTTTGTGCTGTATGGACAGGGACATTATTGTCCATGGACTGCAATAAAGTATGGGGATGTTGCTGTTGGATGATTGAATTGGAGTCATTGTTGTAGTTGATGCTGCTATTGCCTCTGTCTAGACCGCTGAGGCGGCGGCCCTTGCCCGAGCAGCGGTTGCTTTCGCTGTCAATGTCGATGTGTCTGTACTTGTCGCCGTCAGCTGCATGGTTTTCCACAGCTTGCGCCCGGTCCCTTGGGAAATCTCGAAGGGAGAGAGCAGGTTTGGCGTTGTATTGGGACCAGCCATGGTGGTCTCTGTGGTCCCTAGCTTTGGCCTGCAGGGTGGCAGGTGAGGAGGAAGAGAGAGATATTGACGGGGGCGAGGACAGGTCAGGGTCGGACGAGGCTGAGGAGTGGTACGCGGTGATGGCGTTGATAGAGTCGAGATGGGATATGGGGGATGAGAGCGGGGAGGAGGGGGAAGCGGGGGAGGTTAGGGCGGCGAGGGAGTCTGGCGAGGGTTTAGTGAGGTCGAAGCTGGGGTGGATGGCAAGGACGTCTGCGTTGGTGTTTGTATTGGGCCGCACATGGCTGGAGGTGAGACAAGGCGTCGAGGCCGAGGATCTCGAGTGAATGGTGGCGGTGGACGGCAGGGCCGAGGAGGAGGAGGAAGAGGAAGAAGAAGAAGGAGCGGAGGAGGAGGAGGAGGAAGAGGAAGAAGAGGAGGAAGCGGCTGAGGCAGTGGCGGAGACGGAGGAGTGGGTGGCAGGGGCAGCAGAGGTGGCGGAGGTGGTGGCGGTGGCGGTGGCGGAGGTGGGTGGGGAGGGCTTTTGGCGGAAGAGGAGCGGGTTATTCCAGGAGGAGGGATCCTGCTGCATTGCGAGGTCGAGTGGACTCGGGGCTGGTTGACAGCAGAGACACGCCCTCGTCGGTTGCTGTGTCGATTGAGAAGAGGGAAAAGGAGGGATGGGTGGGATGGCAATGGCAATGGCAATGGCAATGGCAATGACAATGGCAATGACAAGGATGACAAAGAGAGCAGGGTATGTGCTTTGGTAAGAGAAAGAGAGAGCAAGAGGGAGAGAGAGGGAGAGAGAGGGAGGGAGAGGGAGAGGGAGAGGGAGGGAGGGAGGAAGAGAGAGAAATAAAAAAGAATCCGAGGAAGAAAAGAGAGAGAGAAAAAAGTTGGCTCTGCTCCTTCTTTAGTGTTGGTTGATGCGAGAGAGTGGAAGGAGAGTGGGAGGAGAGTGGGAGGTGGAGGGCGAGCAAAAGAAAGAGAGTGGGGGTGGGGGGAGAGAAGAGGAGTGAGAGTAGGACAAGAGACAGGAGAGAAAGAGAAGAGTGCGAGAGAGGTGACAGGGGACTGAGGTGTGCATTCAATGGTATGCAGCTTGTGGTATGGCCATGGTCTGAAAAAGGCTGTTTATTGTTGTTGCCCTGCCCCTGCCTTTGCACCTGCACTCACTCGACTCGCTGTTGTTTTGATTAGGAAAGAAGTGGGTCGAGCGATGGAATGAATCACTGCCGACCCGCACCCCCACGCTACCGAATGGAATGAATGAATCTGGGAAATAGGAGGGCAGCGAACAGGTCATATGCAGTCAGTTAGCCAGCCATTGGATGGTATCGTCATTCTACCGACGATGACCTTGACCAGCAGGATAAAATAAAGCAACGAATGCACTCCTCTGCTGTAAGGCAGGGTCCTTTTCCAGTGGCAGGGCCGAGGTTACAGCGCCTGCAGCCATACAGTAGGAGCCTTAAACCTGCAACCCTGACCAGCATGCAGCTGCATCTGTGGAAGCACAAAAGCAAAGATGCAGGAAGCAAGAAGAGGAAGGGAGAGAAGGGTGTGTACCATGTGTGGCCGGCTCGAATGCCAAATGCCAATAGTCCATCGATGTAGAGTATAGACACAGAGACATGTAGACTCGTAAACATGCGAGTAACCTGTAGCTTGCAGGGCCAATGCATATTCCTGTGCTCGTATGTACTTCCGTACCTCCGTACTTCCACCCAAACTGCACTCAGCTGCAGATGGCGGTGAGGAGAGGTCCGCCACTTTCCTTCCTGGATCCCGCTCTGCTCATTTCATTTCCTTTTTTTCATTCGTTCGGTTCATTCGATTCATCTTGATCCTGGCTAGCTCCTTCCCTCCTTCCCTCCTTCCCTCCTTCCTTCCTTTCCCTCCCTTTGGTTGGTCCCTGCGTAGCTGATTATTTTTATTCCCGCGCCTCTTCCGAGAGAGACAGACAGACCCGTTGACTAATATGAAGACCCCGTCTGCCGACTCTGCACGGGCACTGGTAAAAAGAAAAAAAAGAACTGTATCTGAATGAATTGATGAATGAATAGTGTGAAGATAAATAAAAAGAGGCGAATCCATGCTCTGTTGGATGCTGTTGAATGCTGTTGGATGCTGTTGGTGCCAGCTGTGCTGAATATAATTTTCTCTAGCCAGTGGTTTCTCACCCCTGCAATGGTTTCATGAGCAAAGCATGCCGCCCTACGCTTCCTCCCCTGTGCTGCTCCGACATACAATGCATCCACCGCTAGACTATCCATCATCATCACTATCAACCCCACTATCGCCCTCACTCATTTACACAGCATAAATTGCGGTACATGTACATGAAGTGAACCACTAATACATAGTGTCAATGCTCAAGGCCCATGCGAAAGAACACCTCTTATCGGTATTCAAATCCCATTGTCCTTCCCGACAATTAAAAAAGACGCCTTCTCCTCTCCTTCTCTTTCTCTTTCTCGCTCTCTCTCTCTCGTTTTCTCAATGAGCCCTCCCCCCTCCCCTCCTCCATCTTCATCTTCACCATCTTCATGGCTCTGAAGAGCGTTGGCTAAGCACACCACTTGACTTAGCGCATGCTGGATTTCTTTGCATATATGTGATACATATGTGATAAATATGTGTGTGTATGTGTGTATGTGTGTATATCCGTGTATATGTGTGTGTGTATGTGTGTGTATGTGTGTGTATGCGTGCATTTGTATACAGTTGTTATGAATGATATATCCGTTGCAATGCTCACATTCCGCGCGTCCTAACACCGCGCTTTTCCTTTCCTTCTTTATTTTTTTCCTTCCCTCCCTCCTCTTCGTGTAGGTCCAGGCGGCCCTGTTAGCCCGCCTCTGCAACCGATACCACGATCTGGGCGCCTTTGCCTCCGAGCCCCTCCAACAGCGGATTCATTTCCTCGTCAAACCCGATGCCTCCAACCTCAGGGACCTTCTCATCTGGGACTTTCCTGCCTTTACCGCCACTGGCGCCGATCCAACCACAACTACGGCTACGGCTACTACTAATCCGACTACGCCTGCGTCATGGACTCCCGTGCAGATGCAAGACTTCATTGACCAACATTGGTCTGCAGACCAGCTCCCGCTCGACCCTCCCAGTTGTTTTTCCAGATCTTGGGAAACCACCCCCGTCCTTGTCAAGGCCTTGGATCCAGAAACTGTCCAGGCCATAGTCCCCATTGGTCAACAGGACGGCACCATCTTAGTCATCGTCTTGCTCGCTGAACTCGACAGGAACCAGAACTCGCCCGCCACGGAATCGGTTTGGAAATACCATAACATGGTCACCGTGCCAGCCCAGGTTGATCTCCAGACACGGGGGTGGAATCTTCTGACCGACCAGTCTCAGCTACCCATTACAATCGAGAAGCCTCCAGAGCAGGTTTCTTTTGATTCTAAGGAGGAATGTACTAAGGAGGAGGAAGAGGAGGAAGATGATGAAGATGATGACGATGATTATTGGGGCCAGTACGGCGACGCAGCGGATGATTCCTCCGCAGAAGAGACCGTTGACCAGGAACAGGCCCCTAAGCGACCTTCAGACGCTACTATCCCCAACGTAACCACGCAAGACGACGACGACGACGACGACGATTACTGGAGAAAATATGCTGAGCGCCAAGAAGAGCACGAGAAACTCGAACGGAAAAGACAGCTACAGCTACAGCAACAGGAACAAGAACAGCAGCAACAGCAACAGCAACAGCAGCTACGAGACCACGACTCAACTGTTGAAGAGACAATTGCCGCAACCCATGAGCAGGACATAAAAGCCGGCTTGCTACCCACATCATCCACCCCACTCGGCCATGTTGATCCAACCATGCTCTCATCCTTACTAGACATGTTAATCGAGAAATCGGGACAGCTCCCGCCCGACAGTCCTTCCTTACCAACGGAAACCGTACCGTCGCAGGAGCAGCTGCAGGATATGATGCCGGGCCACACGCGCATCCCAGCCCACGCGTCCGTCGTCGTTACACCAAACACAGGCACGTCCTCGTTCTCTCGGGATGAGAGCGCTCGTACCAGGGTCTTTCAATCTTTACGATCCGCCGCCCAGCAGGCTATGCTCGCTGGACTCTCCAAGGACGATGTCTTTGGTATTCTTAGCAACGTATATGATTCTTTCGAATAAAGCATTTCCTCAGCGGAACCAACCACTCAAGGGACAGATATTAGTGCTTATGAAATCCAATATACATGTATTATTACTATTAGGTTGTGTGGTTAGTGGTCGTTAGTCTATGAACTAGCCTATGTCCTCCCGACGACCCCCACCGCACGATCTCAAAGAGCCTTCCTCCTCCTCCTCCTCCCTCATACAACTATTTTACGGTCTCAAAAGCCCTCCTTGTACAACCGTGTCGCGACGTTCATATACAGTTCGACCGCATCAAACGGCTTCTGGTTATATCCAATCTTCAATCGCCAGCGATTGTTCAAATCCCAATGGTCCGCCTCCACCGTGTCCACATATTGCCCCCAACGCGCACTCATCGTCGACACCAATCCGTCGTTCTCCCCCTCCTTTGCCTTGATTACCTCCCATGGGAATCCCAACGGCGCCCACAACGGGATCTGCGGCACTGACGCTCCGTACGAATAATAAGATACCCTCGGATCATCCGGCGTATTCGGATTAAACACCTCCCTGCAATAAGTCGTTGTCAGATTCGCGTACGCGGGTGTGTCCAAGTATGGGATCAATCGATCCAACAGAGGGGTGATCACTCTCGCATAAGGTGCCGCACGTTTCGCGGATGGATGCGCAGGTTCTGTGGCGTTGACCATCATCGAATGTAGCGCTTCCGAGGCCTCCTGGACCACTGCTCCCGACAAGGCCTCTTGGACCACTGCTCCAGACATCATCGCTGCTTCGCCAAGCTTGCGCATTGCTTCCTCCTCAGACTTTGGGAACAATCCCACACCAACGTTGTCCCTGAACCAGTCCATCACGGGCGATCCTCTATGAGGGGTCGACAGTGTCGTCAACGATTGCACATCATAGTTCTTGTCATGGATATGGCTGATCAAGTATCGGCAATCAAGGCCACCCTAAAGATGCCCAAAAAAAAATATCCAAAAAAAAATACCCAAAAAAAAGTTGATGTGTTAGCAGCCAAAGACATTGACTTGCATGGGAAAGTTGACGAGCGATGTAACACATACCATGGAATGAGCAACAAAGTTGATGGACATGCCTTGCATGGTCGTCGACAGGATTTTGTGCAGATCCTCTGCGCGTTCCTTGATCGAGCCCGTTCTATACAAGAGCATATTCAGAAGCATCGTCCACGGTTTAATGACAACGATAATAATAATAGTATTTTTTTGAGAGCACCATAGGACGCTTGTCAGGAGGGAACATCTGGAGCTCTCACCATCCCACACCCCACACCTCACATCCCACATCCCAGAACCATAGCCTGCAGCCTGCACAAACCTGAATGATCCAACTTCGCCCAACAAAAAAAGAGAAAAAAAATTGTCCTAGTCATGCACTCGAAATCATATGATCGATACATGACCATGGTTCGATATACAAAGTTGACCCCACAAAACAAAGATTTCCCAAAAGCAGCCATGTCGCACCATGGCAGGACGAAGAGCAGATCCAATATACCCTGGCCACATGGGGTCATATGTCCTCCCTCCTTGCTCCCTTTCCATTGTCAATTCCAGATGATCTCATGGGCAGAGGAATGGGGCTATTATTTACCTTGGCACCTTCGCAACTACGACCTTGGCCCCAAGCTTCGTTAGGGCCTTTTGAATGCCGTTCCAATAGTGGATTTGTAGGTGGGGTACCGCATCAGGCCCCATCTTGTCAAACCCAAACAGCCCTACAACGCGTTATGACGTGAACAAAGGGAGAAGCATTGTAAGACAAAATTGTCCAAAGAAATAGGGCATAGTCCTGCATTTGGATATGCCGAATAAGAAAATTGGCGCGTCTCTATACCACCAACACAAAACTAGAGAAGAGAGAAAAGAAAAAAGTCCCTTCCCCTCTCCAAGCATAAGGCAATGCAGACACATACCATGGCACAGCACAACGGCATGTCGCGGGGCAGTGTAGCTCGAACTCACTGGCATCGCGTATCCATAGTTCTTTATCCGTCGATCAAGACCTCTCCATGGTTGCAGCGAGGGGTACTGCTCATGACGGAGTCGAATCTGCATTCCCTCTTCGACCTCTCGACTGTAGACCGCAGAGGAAGAAGACTTTGAGGAGTCATCCTTGGAGGACGAGGCTCCCTTGCCGACAAGTCCAAGACTGGCCTTAATGGAGGTGACAATATGGTTGGTCGAGTGGACTGTCGCGGCGACAGAGGAGCGGATTTGGGATGCGATAAAGGAGGTCGTACTCATCAACATGGCTTCAGTTTATATGTATATATCAAGAAAATGGAGAAATGGAGAAATGGCTGGCGGGGCTGGCGGTGATGGCGGAGTAGATGCGTGTTGCAGTGTAAAAGAAATGAGGAGACGTAGGACCAAACGATCCCGTATGGACTAGGGGGAGAATCAGGCGCCGTGGAAGGTGAACCAGCCTTGACAGGGGAGCAAGCTGCAATCGGAAGAGTGAGAGTGGAAGAGAGCGGAGCGGAGGAGTGTTTGGAATAGGTGGTGGTGGTGGTGGCGGTGGGTGGGTTGAAATCCTGATGTGTGTTGAGAGAAGAAAGAGATGTAATCGTTCTCCACCACAGTGCTCTTGTCCACTTCCGTTGCTTCGCGGTCCCTGCACTTTGCGTCCCCCTTAATGACAACTTAAGTCCAATCGTTCAACGTGCCCGAAGGACGGGCCCCCGACGATCATTTTATTTTCGGCTATGTTACAAATGGTGGCAACGACGACAGACTGCTAGGATACGGTGTGAGATTGGAAGGAAAGGGGTATCTGCGGAGAAAAAAGGAGAAATGTCATAGGAAAATGCCAAAGTCAGCTTTGGAGGACGTCTTTTTTTTTTTTTTTTCTTGTTCTTGTCAAATAAAAAAGACTATTTAGTCTTGTCTTTGTCCTACACCAAGTGGACTCAGGAAGGGCGTAAAGTTGGAAAACGGCTTTGGATGCGTCTTTTCCCTGTCGTGGCGATGGATTCGAATGTGCTGATTCAAGTTATCGCTACGCGAAAAGCGCTTTGTGCAGGACAACACAGGACACCCAAAAGCTGGGAAAAGCGAAATGGCATAACGTGCCGCGTTAATACACTGTTCTGTTTTTTTGTCTTCCTGTCGATATAGCAAGAGAACCAAAGCGGCGTCTAGCGTCTAAAATGAGAAATGCTCGCTCAACTTACGTTTCTCCAGTGTGTGCACCGAACGCACATGGCGCTTCAGATGTTCTGACCGCTTAAACAGCCTGCCACAGTCTTCAACATTGCAGGAGAATACCTTGGTCAAGGCATCAGGATTCAAGGATGCCCGACGCGATCGTGGCTTGGCTGAGGTGTTCGTCGGAGGCGAGCCAGAGGCCGACGATGAGCTCGACGTGCTGGAAGTCACTGAAGCCATGGAGGCAACAGAGGCGATCGATGTTATAGAAGTCGAGGACGCCGTCGCAAGCATCGGTGCGCTCTCCATTGGTCGAGATTCTGGCGCATGAATAGGCTCCAAGAGCTCATGGGAATGGGTCATGGGGTATAGAGAGCCCAGGGAGCCGTGCCGAGGAAAGAGGTATGCGGGGTATTCGTCTGGGACCTCAAACTGTGTGAGAGCTCCATCCAACATCGAGGTTGAGTAGCCACGAATAGACCGGAATGGCGCTTGGAATGAATGCATTGGGTGGCCAAGCGGTGGACTGGAAGAGGAGCAGGATAGGGAGGTGTTTGAAATCTGGATATCATCCATGGGATGAACAAGACCCAGGTGGCGGGCAAGGCTCTCGCTTTGGTACTCAAATTTAGTCTTTGTAACTGTGGCAGCTTCCAGGCTGTTGATGGATGAGGATAGCTGGTCCATCTGAAAGGGATGTATCGGCTGCTGATAGCTGTTGCCAGGCATGTTACTGCTGTGATGGCCCAAGGCCGTTGCGGGCTGCTGGACTGTGGTATTAAAAGCCGGTGTAGATCCTGTGTAGGGCAGGGCAGATACTGAAGACGGTTGGGGGACTAAACTCTGGTCGAGCGGAGCCGGAGTGAAGTGCTGGATTGACGATTCTTGGACACTACTGCTACTGAAGGCTGTGTCCATGTGGTTGTGGATCGTGAGACCCTGTCCGAGCCCTTGGACAGAGGCTCGACCAGGGACGAAGAAATCTTGTGGGAGACTAACGAACTGGAGGTGTGGGGCCGATAGCGACCGGGCAAACATAGGGATGGCTGCTGTAGCGGACGAGAAGGCAGCGGATGCGGCTGTTGAGGTGTGCTGCTCGTTATGGTCGAAGAAGGGCATTTTGCGAGGGAGGGAATATGTTGGGTAAAGGGGGGGGGGGGATGCGGCGGATGCCAGGGCACTCTGTGGAGAGCGGGAGGGTGTCTGCTGTATCCGGGGAACGAGATATCTGTGCTTCGATCCGATGCACGCGAGCCTAGCCTGGGGTCAAAGTCCAATGGATTTAGTCGCTTCGCTGCTGAATGTATGTCCGTCAACAGAGGGACGTTGGTGCGCACAAAGACGGGGCCGGGTGGGACTGCACTGCAGATGATGGTGGCGAAGGGAGGATAGGATTATATGCCGAATACACAACAGCTAGCTGCAAGAAATAAAGAGGAGGAGAGGCGAGCTCGGATGACCGGGTCTTTGTCGAGTGACCAAATGGAGTAAGTCCTAAGGCGAGGACGTTTCAAAGTAATAAAACCAACAACGAATAGGAAGTAGCAGGTAAAATGAGCCAGAAGGTGTTCGAAATCCTGTGAGAATGTGGTGGTGCAGTCGAAGGAAGTGCACCACGGTGAGCGTGATGAAGATACGACGGAGAGGTGAGAGCTGAAGGATGGGGGGTAGAGGGAGCGTTTGAAGGAAACAGAACAGGAAAATGCGTTCAGCGAGGATGTGCATTGCTTGGGGTATTTATGCCACTATTTTTTTTCTCCGGTTTGAGCGATGTGAAAAAATGGAAAAGAGAGAGGGCAGGAATGGGATGCGGGGGTGCGGGAAAGGTGCATGCGCGGTTGCATTGCCAGTGCAAGCCGCAACCATAGACCACCAATTAGAAAAGTGAGAAAACAGAGCAGACTGTTGCCTTTCCCATTTCTGTTGACCAGAGAAGAACCCTTTCCTGCTGAGCGAATGCGCTATGGGATAAACAGCACGAACACACGGTCTGCTGTAGAAAAGGCAGAAGTGAGGGAGCAATTGAATGGGTTTTGTTGTGTAGTCTATGATACAAGCACAGAGTGTGGTGCGGTGCTTGGTCGCAATGCTGATTGTCTTTCTTTAGTTTGCTTTCCATTGGACGAACAGTATCCATCTATTAAACGCGAACTTTAAAAGGCGGGTGAGTCCGATTGAATAGAACGACAGAAAAGACACAAGAGATTGGCTTTGTGCTTCGTTCCGCTTTATTATGCTTTTGCGCTTTGCGCTTGTTTGTTGACGGCGGGCGAATGGGGAGGGATGGTGTGCGTGGACCCAGGCGGCAATTCTGTTTCCGTCCGCAGGTTAGTCAACAAAGTCGAGTCTTGCGGGCGGGCCACCCTCATGCCTGTCGTTCCTTGCGATGTATGAAAAAAAGATGGCTCAATGTGTGTTCTCGGGCCAGGTCATCAACGTGAACACAACAAACACCAGTGAAGCTCAAGACCCTGGCCAACTCCCACATAACGTCTTGAACTGCGACAGGCCAGGCGGGAGAGACCTCGCTGTTGCCTTTATCGGTCAACTCAATCGCTCTGCCATCGAGATTTTCACGCAGCAATGTACATCCCTCCTGTACTAAGAACGCTCTATTTTCTATCCAATTGACTCGCCTTTGACCTCCTTGAAATTGTTTACTTGAATCTTTATATAAGTGATTCGTTCTTTAAGTGCAAGGCATCAACGTCTGTCGCCATTCCTGACCACTTTGGTAGGGCAGCCATACCTGGATTGTTTGGTGGGTGCGACACGCTGCCGGCCCCATACTCATGATATGTCTCTGGACTCTTTTCAGCTTATCCTCCGTTACTCATACCAGTCTTACCCGCCCCGTACACGACCTGAGGACGCATTTTGCTTGTTTTAACAAATAGGATGTCCTGGTTCGATATTATCTCACTGTCGGACATCGCCTTCAAAATGTGCTTGCCTTGTAGACGATACCAAGATCCACTGCCACACAAGTACAAGCATGTTGCCTGAAACATATTTGCATTTGGCGCTGGTATCCATGTAGCCGTGTTTATACACCTCGATCCATGGCATTGCAGGGTCTAATTACTCTTTGTTGATGTTTGTATTTTCTCTGGTTTTTTTTTTATTTTTTTTTTATTTTGGGGTGCATGTGTATGTGCATGTAGGGATGTGGTGGTGCAACAGATCTCTATACGATATACCCACGGTTCAGTCTGAATGGCGATAGCGCTACAGTTGGGTGACTCGGTAGTTCCCGATGGTGCCACGCCAGGATCTTTCATGTAACAATCGATGTGCTTGCTCCAGAGTTGACCAACTGTCGTCGTGAAACAGGAGCTCCCTGTATACCCTATGACGCCGCAGCATGCTCGTCCAAGGTAACTACCTATTAGTGAAGAGAAGGGATTCCGGTGGTTTCTCCTCGGGCATTAGTTGGCTCAATTATTCGCGTCGTGAACATGGACTCGGGTAGAAGTGTACTAAAAAGCGCCAGCTATTCTGTACTGTGGTTTCGGCTCCCAACTGGTGCACCGTGTCTCTTCTATGGGGTGTATTACATTTCTCTCCTCTCCCCCCCCCCCCCCCCCCCCCCCCCTATCACGTAATCAATACACGGAGCAGATGTGGGAACCAGTGCGCGCCAAGAGCAGTACTATGTAAATTACTCTCGATCTGCACGCGCGGACATATGAAACGCGTACCAGCAGCTCTGGCGAGGACCAAAAAAAAAAAAAAAAAAGGCTACATGGGTAAATTACATACAGCGACGCGCCGTACTAAGAAAACGTATCTATGATCGGCGACCCGGGAAACCCCATGTGTATTTCCCAAACATCAAGATGAACAATACAGGTGCAACACGCTTTTCTGGAGGCATAGCAGTAAACAATCTCAATCAGATAAATTTCCGTCCACGTTGCTATCCTAGCCATATGTCTGCTCCATTGAAGACTTCTATTAGCTCATGAGCTGTAGTGGGTATCATTTTGAGCTTTGTTCTTTCGGGTAATCATCGTGCCAGTAGAGGCGCGTCGACGACGGAGAGCTCCATACCGCCGTGGCATAATCAGCCATTCCCCTCCGTATGTCATCTCAAGACATCCGAAACACATCAGCCTTGAGTAACGCAACATGTAGCGACAGATAACCTGCTCATTCCAATCTGCACTAACAGTCTACTCTACCACTAAGCATTGCTGTAGTGCAGTTGCTTGGATCCCAGTAAAAACTGTGTCCCTTGAACGTACCCGCGTTTCAAGCTTGCGCATACATGCTCTACCCTTAGCTCTTTCTGAAATCTGAACATGTCATAAAGGAAACCTACTTATTTACGATTCCAGTTCGCCATTACCATTCTCTATACAATACCCCTATTTGCCAAACGATTGAATCAACGACAACTCTGCATTGTTGTTTAGGAATATTTTTTTTTTGTTTATCTGCATCTATGCACTGTGTGCGTGTCTTCAAGGAGGTGCTGTATTTCTATATGGATACTTGGGTCTGGACTGCATGCGTGTAGGATAGTAATTTTTGTCGCAATATCATATTAAAGCATCAATCAGGGGTAGTTCGCATCGGCACCTCGATCTCGATGCGGTAACGAAAACTCGGTTAGTTGAGAGAGATCAGGATCAAATTTGATATTAGGTTCATTTTCATGCGGCACACTTGTACGAACAGCGAAACCTTCTAGTCTACCACGCGTCTAGGTGTTCCCAGTTCAGCATAAAGGAACGCGCTCTGTTTTATGACGCGCCTGTATTGAAAGAACTCGGCTTACAATAGAAGTATAGGCATTTTAGGATAGCAGTAAACTAGGAGACTTTTCGCTTCGCCGCGTTAATCTACCAGGACAAACCGCAGTAGTCAAGTAGCTGAGTAGTCACTTTGCGTCTAATTGAAATACTGCAATCATGCACAGGCCTTGAAGGCATCACAGCATGCCCTCTCTGTGGAATCTGGAGGTGGGCTGGGTATCTCGCTTTCACGCGCTTACTTGCTTACTCCGAATGCCCCGGATGAGGCGCGAGACCCTATTCTATTTGTCTTATTTTTATTTTTGTCCGCCTCTGTACAAAAATCTGCCTCACCTATATCGTTGCTAATGCAGAGCAAAAAAAAAAAGAAAACTACCAGTTAAATATGCAACAGGTACATGTGTCAATCGTACTTGGACAGCAAAAAAATTCTGATCTTAGATTTGTATTATCCCGCTGTACCTATTTGTTGCTATTGCGACGGTTTTTGTACAGATCTCTTGTTATTGTTATTGTTATTGTTGTTATTGAAGGGACGCATGCAGGTTTGTTGAGAGTCAAAGGCAGAAAAGGGTAGTGGCAGAATTATGCACCTGGATGGATGAAATAGCAGAAGTTATAGGCTCGGACCATTTTATAAACTAATAAATAGGAATAACATCAACCATTTTCCTGGTGCCGCGAGTGAGCCGTTGCACTATATTGACTACGTACAAGTACCCTGCGCGTGGTGCAGACGGGAACCGCCTTATAAGGTACCGTCTGCCCTGAAAATAAAGACCCTCTCTTGTCTTGATTTTCTTGGAAATATCGCAACCATCTCTCGCGCTCAACATTAAAAAGGCATTGTTTAACGGCACCTGATGAAAACCCTACTACTCTACAGGAAGTCAGGTCGCCGTGACCATGACTATGATCACGACCATGAAAAAAAAAAAAAAAAAAAAAAGACCATGGACATCTGTCGCCTGTTCAAGAGATGCAACATAGTATCTTATTACATAAAGGAGTTTGCGTTATAGTTTACAGCCCAGCTTCCGTTTGAAGGTCCTATTTAATGCCACTTTTATATAACCTTCGATCGGATAAAACTAGGTGCCAACTTTGCATTTTCACCCCGTCCTTTCTCAGGTATTACAAGGAGTAGTGTGGCAGTCTTGGGACATGTATGCATTTGTTCGAACCAAGTTTCTTTGAAATCTATTTGCCTTCCTGCTACTACCGATGGAAGGAGTCCGTCGGACAAAACTTTCTTTAATTATTTCTTGCATGTCGGCTATGTTAACGGCGCTCTCTTTCTTTCGTTATCTTTGTTTTTTTTTTATTCCCTTTGTTTATCGCTTTGTACTGTCTGTCGGGATGGAAGCCGTGGCTCGTCAGTTGCAACAGATCATTGATGAAACTCCTTTTCAGTTTGTTCTGTAGAGAAAGAGAAGAGCTGGGTTTAGTGCTCTTCTACAAAGCCTTTTTTTTTTTTTTTTTGCATGAATGCTTACTGTGTATAGACCGTATGCCTTTTGGATGCGTCGCCAACAGACTCGCTCTCGGCCAGGGCGAATCGCATTGCTTGGCTGACTTCTAACCAATGGGTACTGCCGACAATCATTCCGAGAACATTTGGAATCGCAGAAAAGATCTGGAAATATGAGTTTTATTAAAGATCCTTCCTTTTCCCACCGGGATTCGTTTGCTCGCCTTCTGATGCATCACACTCCAATGCCCGGCAGCGCCCAGACAATTGTCCTCCACGTTTTGTTACTGTGTCCTGCACATAAATTAAAGGGGTAGCAGGGGGTTAGCGCTCGAACCAAAAAAGAAGGACGCCGGCGGGATGGGAAGCTGGGGGTAGGAATTGCTTATCATTTTTGTTCTTAACCAGGATTGCGGATAAAGCATACATGTTTGTACCGTGCGAGTGCAGGCTACAATAGCCTGAACGACTCCGTCTGTGGTAGCCCCTACAGCTGCAAGCTTCAAAAACATATTTATCCATTTCTGGTCGAACAACAGCACTACATGCCAATTCTTTTGGATAATGAGCAACAGCGCGCACGTCAGTGGCGAGGGAAATCATAAGGGGCATAAGTTATGGGCAAACGAGCTGCGTGTACAAAATGGCATGAGACAGCCGCAGTTTCTTTACATCAACTTCGCCATTCACATACAAGCACTAAGGAACCCGGGATCAGATTCAACATGGACCAACAACAAATCAGTGATCTGGCCCAGCAGCTGGCTAGCCAGTTTGCAGCAATGCGTCCGCAGCGGAATCAGCAAGCCTCCACGGCAACCACCAATCCTGCGGTGAACAGCGGCCAACCAAAGACGCCTTCAGAAGCCGATATCGCGCAATTGGCCAATCGACTTGGGAGTCTATTGCATCAGGAAGCAGGGATATCATCATCAGTCGCTACCCAAGAAGCTGCTGCTGACCCTTTCGCATCCGTCTCTGACCCCTCCATTTATGAAAAGGAATTTGTTGATAAATTCCTGCGTGTCAATACGGCTGTCTTGGCATACGAGGATCGGCAGCTTCTAGTAAGAAAAGTAGCACATTCAGGAAAAACGGACTACTGGCGACAATGGAAATCTGAATGGATTGCTGGTGCTAACCATCGATATAATGGTATAGGACCAGGCCTACGAGCAAATCCCCGTCGATAAATTTTACGAAGACATAGAGGTCATGGCCAAAGAACATCCGGACGATAGCACGGACGACATTGTCATAAGGTAAAGGAAAGTGCAATTTGCCGGCATGGAAATTCGAGATTGGATCTAATGACTTGAGCCTCACCTTGTCAGCTCGTTGGTTTATGTGAGACGTACCCGGTATTGTTTCCCTGCCAAGGAGAGGTCTTCCTTTCAAAATATCTATGGGTTGTTGCAGCCAATGAGATCAATCGGGCCTCCATCCACCTTCATTTGATACGCAGGAAATAACCCCGACATGAAAAGTACAACACTAGTAGACATTAACGAAGCTCGCCCCTTGCTCTTGGCCCATTCAACTAATTACCGCTAGGCGGCTCTTGCATTGGTTCAAGAACGATTACTTCGTGTGGGTGAACGAGCCGCCATGTGTCAGCTGCCAGGTACGGCACGCGCTGAATGACTCAATAAGAACCTACTGGAAAACACACATATTTATTTTGATTGGTTTTATCTGATCGTGTTCAAGGGCAAGACAGTGTTTGCAGGAGGTATTGCACCAACGGACCAAGAGAGGCAGGATGGAGCAGGATTTGTGGAGACCTACAGATGCACCCAGTCATGTACAGCAATAACTCGCTTTCCTCGATATGGAGGCGTATCCAGAATCCTATTCAGAACGCGTCGTGGTCGGTGTGGTGAGTGGGCCAATGTAAGATGCTGTCGGAACGTGAGCCAATTTCATGCAACGGGACGTCTCTTCTTGTTTCGATACTGAATGGCCATCCATGACTCTTTCCCCTACCTCCTTCTTCCTTGAAACTAGTGCTTTACGCTGTTCTGTCGCGCACTAGGCTTCAAAGCGCGATATGTACATGACACGACAGACCATGTCTGGACCGAAGTTTGGAGCGAACACAAACAACGATGGATCCATTGTGATGCATGTGAAGCTGCATATGACCAACCGTTGCTTTACACCACCGGCTGGGGCAAGTCATTGAGCTACTGCGTCGCGTTCTCAGGCAAGTGTTGAATGAAATGATAGACAAATGGGTGTAGTCTAGACCTGGTTATCATATCGGGGTTCTCATCAAGCGCTGTGTTTCTTTTTTACTCATGCAGCTGAGGAAGTTGTTGATGTGACAAGACGTTATACAGTCGAATACGACGAAGTTGTAGTGCAAAGACGAAGATCAATCCGAGAACCCGTTTTGGCCAGGGTAAAAAAGCTGGGAATGCTTTAGCCTTGCATCCTTTCTCGTGTATTCAAACTCGTTAGCGCATCAAACAATCTCTAATCAAACCTTTAGTTTTTACATCGACTGTCCGAGTCAAACTTGGGACGATTAGGCCTGGATCAAACAGAAATCCAAGCTATCAAACAAAGACAAGTGCTGGAGATGGATGAGCTCTTAGGGAAGACCGGCGACAATCGGTCCATCGAAACAAAGGATCGAGAAAGCGGTATGTTGTCATGACATTCCTCTCGATATTTCTATGATACACTTATGGGTTGCTGTCTTCAATTTGCAAGAAGGAGCAAATACGTACGCGGTGTTGTCTTCTTATCGATTCCACTCAAATAATCGTTCCTTCGACGTCTTGCCTCTTACCTTTTCCTCCTCTTTTTCTCTGCGCATTGTCATGAAACTGACGTATACTGAACTTGCACTATCCTCCATTCTCAACCTCTACTAGGTTCGGACGAATGGGCCAGGGCCCGGGGCGAGAGGCGTTAGAGATCACATTGTTTACAAGTGGCAGTTATGGAATTGCTTTCTTTCGATGTCTACAGAACAAGACGCGCATTCTACAGCTGTCCAACTACTGAGCAACGTAGAGAGTGTAGAGCTATCTATTCATATTCTTATATCCTTATATTTTCTTCTTGTCGAGCTTTGGTACGAAAAACACAGAACTGAAGAGCGCATTCGTCCAAACATGTATATTATTTTGACGAATATTGACCGAGTTGAAGAAGGTACTCTCCGAGAAGTTTAAGGTGGGTCAAAGGCTGATGGTCGTTGTCATATAGCATATAAAGAAAAACCAATGTCTGGTGCTTCTTGATATGAAGTCTGACATATTTATTATTTTACAGGACTCACGTATCATAATAACATAAAAGTCGATAAGCAAAGAGCTCATACTCTATACCCGACAGCAATCCCTTCGTGACATCAAGTCATATTCTATGTAGGGAACTGAAGCCGATTATGGTCGAACTTTTGAATATGGCTCTGGCATGAACACTCGTTTATGGTTGGAGCACTCAATAGAATATGGCTATAACTGATTTTATGGCTCAGGAGAATCTGCATCAAGGTCAGATGGGTAGGAAAGGGTGCGCAATAAAAGGATGTTCGTGCATTTGAGGAATGCGAAAATCTCGAAGTGCTCATTTCAGGCTTCAGGTAATCTTCATTATCATATGTGGCACCACCACTTAGCACCTAGCGCGACGGTTTCTGGAGTTCCGGATGACGGATCCTGCCATGAGGCCCACCACTGCTCCCTTGGCTAAGCTTGCCCCTTCCCGATTGGACCTACCACCAGCCACCGTAGCGTTGCTAACATTGCTAGTCTGCTGACTCATCTGCGGACTCATCTGCGGACTCATCTGAGGAAGTCCACCTCCAGCACCAGCGCCGTACAGGCGGTTGTAGGCTGCCAGGTTTTGCTCATAGACAACCATTTGTTGTCGAAAATTGGCAGAATCATTGGCAGCAGCCGCAGCTCCATTAGGATGCTCCCATTGCCGCATACCAGTAAATCTATTGACATAGAAAAGGTGTTTGCTTAGAGGATCGTACTGACAGACCCTGGAGCACAGTCGTTTATGAGAATTCAATGATTGTACGGTGTGAGATTAAAAGGTGCTTTAGTTATGAAGAACATGCTGCGCAGAGGTTCTCATCTTTGACGTGGGACATTCATAGGCTTTACCATTCTTTGGGGAGATCGTAGGATAGAGGCGCGGGCATAACTGGTGGGGGAGGGGCGCTTTGGAGGTATATAATGCTCCCTTGGGGAGGAGGAATGCTTTGGGAATGGATCATAGTGCTGCTGGAAGATGCAGGTTTGCTTGAACAAGATCCCATCTCGCGATGGCGTATATATATATCGTTTTTTTGTAAGAAGTGAATAGTTGCCTTTTTTTTACGCGAACCTTTAAATAAGGAAAGTGTATAGTAGCCGCGGGCCAGGCTTGCCCTATTTTGCGTCTCCAACCAGCACTCCATTTGACGGTGATTGGGTGCTTGGGCCGCGTGAAACACCCTAGATCCTGGGTGAGACTCACCAACCCACGAGGTGCATGAATTTGGGTTTCGACAATCCGGCTCCAATGACCGGCTAAGGGTATCCGGCGTCTAACGGCATGGTTTTGTTAGAAAACGCGAGAATGCAAAGCGCCTGTGCTATACCTGGAGTTCCCACCGCGAGATTGTAGCACTATTAGGGGTCTCAAGATCATAATATGATTAAGGATTTAGAGATTGTTAGAACGCGCGTGTCTAACCTGCACGGACCACCTACCACATCGAGAACAAAAAGCGCGACAATGATTGGCTGCAGACGACAGTGCATAGCTTTTCGAGGAGTGAACTTAATCGAGGCCAACAAATTCGGCGCCCTGCACCAGCGTAGTGCTACAGACCCTGCCGCCCCATCCTCGATGCTTGATGAAATCCACATTAACGTAGCCACATGGGCTAATTCATTTCTTATGGTACAGGAAAGGATAACAGCTCGCCATCTACGATCATTAGAATTAGAGCATTGTTGCTCCTGACGGATTGCTAGGGCTAAGGGTGAGCTGTTGCGTGCTGTTGTGAAGAACGTGTTCAATTTTTATTTTAGTATAGGCTGCGCTGCCGGAACCTCCATGCGCATAATTCGAATCCCTTCATTTTTACAAAGGCGCAGTACTCGACCCCAGCAATGCGTTCATCTCATCCACAGGTCGACAAACTTATAAGACACGCATGACAAAATATAAATAGTAAAGACGATAAGAATGTTGTTTTGTTCTCGAACTGAAGATGTTCTCTTCCCATTGGTGCACCGGCGGTTTCTTTCTACCAACTGATAGTGGTAGGCTGTCATGCGGCGCGTGTCATCTCTTACACTAGTCAACAGCGCTTTGTACCTGAAAGAGTGTGCTGTCTTTTTGTTGAGCGCCAACATTGACCAAAAAACCAAGTTGTTCCACGCGATACATGCAAGACCTTTGCTGCAACCTTTTTTTTTTTATTCCGAAAGAATATTCCTTCAAACTTTACTACGCACGATCTTTGGATTGTCAATGCCAACACGGGAATTTCTTCCCACTCTCCTTTTCCCTCATAAAATGATACATGAAAGTGCGCTTCCTTATCATGGAACATTGGATGCACCTTCATGTTCCCTTGTGTGAACAGCGAGGGCATAGGAGGAACCTAGCTAAAGCATACTGCGATCTTTGGACATCAATCTTTGCAAAGGGGCGTCCGCCCAGAACGCGTTTCGACTTGCGGTACGTCTCCCCCGTGCTCTTCAGCAGAACATAGGTCGGTACTCCTTGATCAGCTATCAAAAACGAAGAAAAAAAAAAGCACGGGAAGTTGAATTCGCTGTGCGCACTAAAATGAGGAATATTTTTGTGCAGCTGCTTACGTCTCGCTTGCAGCAAGCCAACGTGAAAATATTATCTTAAGCTACCATGTGTTGTCTAGAGCGCTAACATACGGAAACTGTGGCTGTTCAAAAAAAGACACAGGATCATTAAACGTCCGAGGTAAGAGGCCGTTTTGTGAACTACAAACCTTCATGTTACCGTTCATCCACAAAGTTCAAACCTTCTCATAAGCGGTAGCGGCTGGTTGAAATGGGAGAATTTGCTTTTTTTTTTTGTGTCCGTGGTAGTCTAGAGTGGACTACATACCCGGAGAGTGTGCGGCGGTGTGATACGAATCGGTCGGAGCTGGTGTAGATAGTTTCCATGTATCCTTTAGAAGTAAGGCTGAATACCATCAGTTTGCAATGTCGAGCAACTGCCTGCAGAAATATCGCTCCGGAGAAACCAAAGGCCAGAAACAGAATGTTCGACATCTATTTAAGTGAACCAACTTTAATTCAACTAGCACGCGTCTCCCTTAAACTAGCACAGAGCAGTGAAGCACAATTCCTTCTCAAGGTAGACTATAGCTGCAGCCCACTGTCGGGATCTGTCTATGGTTGCCAATTTGCTATGCGACTTCACAACATTTGTCTATTCATTCTGTGGAACGGTGTAGTCTACCAAGGTTTCCCGTCCAATGACATGCATACGAGGATCGTTAGGAAAGATCACATCAAAGTTCCAGGCCATTGAGGATAGGGATGCAGGCAGCGGCACCATTGCTTTTGTGCCTGTATAACTACACAACGGGAAGGAGGATTTCTCGTATAATCCGATCTTTGACTCGGATATGCCATGCGATCGAGCAAGGGATTGCACTTAAGGAATGACTATGCAGCCGAAAACGACGCCAAATGCTTGAGCCATTGCCTCGCCAAATCTGCTGCGTCACTCACTCTGCGTCGCGCTTTTCCCTTTTGCCTTCCGAGTCTGAATATATACTTCTGCACTCGTTAAGCTGTTGATGTTGCTGTTGCTGACGAAAATATATTCAAGCAAGAAAGAAAAAAGCATGGAAAGCCCCTCGCCTGGTCGTTTTGTACCATCTCTCTTGGTGCTTTGTTGCGTAATATATATATTGAACAGAGGCCACAAATAGTAGACTATGTAGGCTGGAAACTTTGTAGCTAGGTCCCTGTTAGGCTAGTTGGGGACGGAACGAGAATGCGAGGAAGGTAAATAAAAACATGTCAGTTCTTTGGATGTGGGCCATTTTTTGTTGGACTTTTCTAGATCTCTAAAACATGGCTGTTGTCCAGTCGGACCTTATTCTGTAATCAGATGTCTCGATGTCTCTCGCTGCGCTTTACAGATGATTTTGCGAGAGATAAATCAAGTACCCGGGCCATAGCTCGGTCAAATAACAGGAGATGAGAAGCGAAAGCGCTATCTGAACGAACAATGTTTTATTTACAGTTCGCAGTATCTCTTGTTGGCCACAGACTGGGAAAAATACCGTCTAAGGAACGAGAGGAAGGGCCGAGCGATTTCTCATGCCAAACGTATACATTTGAAAAGTTGGAAACACAATCGATGATTACGTCCAAAGGATTTATGGCCTGTCAAAATATCGAATTTTTTTGGCCTTTGTACTCCAGATTTCCCACTCGTAGCACCGCCTGGGCTCGAGGTGCTTATCTCTTGTGCGAAGAGGCTACTGTGGTGTACATTTAAAGCGGATTATAATATGGACAATTCCCATGAACGGGTGCTGCTGCAGGGTAAAGAGCCGATTCTTGGTCTATATCATGCTTTGGATGTGCCATTCGGGGGTTCAGAGAGCGAGGGGGAACACTGCCTCCTGTTTTTCCTATCGCAGACGACATCGTTGAGTATTTTGCACTTTGCTGAATGGGAATGACATTTGTCACGACTTGCGACATGTGGTGCGCTAAGCCAGATATTTGTTCGTGTTTGCGACCAATCCTATTTTCGGATGGATGGCGAATGGACGTATCGCGTGGACATCTATTATGCCGTCAAAGATGACGCAGTCGAGACTACTATCGAGGCTGTGCGGCCTTTCAATCATCGGCACTGAGGGAGTGCTTACAATCGACGCCAAAAGGAAGGCCCTGAGACCGACCGCAGAGTGTGGGCCCGTATGGTTCCCCAGGATGCGATGCCTCGCTGCCATGGATGTTGGTCCATCCTCGGCTTCCTTAGTCCATTTCCTAATGCGGCGCGTATTGCGGTAAATCCTTTACAAACAAATTACCCCAGTAAGACGAAGAATGATGGTCTTGTGTATGTAAGAGGTAAATCATTGTAGGTATGGAGAATACATGTTTACGTCCTGACCTTCCTGTCTCTTGGCGAGTATACCAGCAAAGGCCAGAAAAAGGAAGGGGGGAGGGTCGCATGAAGTATTGCTATGGTGAGCGCATGTGTTTGCTTATAGAGCGTCTGAAGGACAGTGGTGGTGCCCCTTGACTGCGAAGGAGAGGCAGCCAGATTATCGCACGCATAGGGATGCGTCAGCATATACGGCTCTAGGGCATTAAGTGCATGTATTCTTGTCCATCGGAGCAGACGGGGTCAGAATTGTCGGGACTAGGGTGTCGATTGCTTGGTTCGTGCGCACGATCAGACAAGACCCGAGAAGGTTTACGCGTGGGTAAATTCACCCTCACATACTCACATGTGAGGTGGGCTAGACCATGACACGTGTAATCCTCACCTTGTTAAATATTTAATGGAGGGGTGCGATGGTTGGGTGCGTGTGTATGTGCACATTGTGGAGAAAATTAAGAGAGGAAGGAATGTGCTGACAGGGGACGAAGAGACTGCCTGCGTGTGGCGGCAGGACCGAGAGAGACCATCGGAAGCGACCAAGTCCATATCATGATCAACAACATCCACAGGGGCCTCCGTATCACATGCATTATTATTATCATTATTATTATTATTATCTTTATCATATTACTATTATTTTATGAGCATAAACATGGAAGGAAAAAAAAATAAAAAAAAAAAGAATGGGGAGCACTAATTGCCCCTGGACGTATTTTCGGTGGTGTAGAGTGTCTACAACAACAGAAAGCAAGAGTGCGTGCATGCATTTGAGGATGTGGAAGTGAGAGAGCACCACGCGCTTCGCTCTCGACACATCGCATCGACACCGTACCAGGGTGTGTCTGTGTGTAGGTGGTTTATTTGGGTTCGTAATGAAATTTGTAAAGGTGTGTGCATGTGTGTTGCACATGTGGTGCATGTGGTGCATGCGATGAGGCGATGGATGGGGGCACCAGAAGGGATTCCAGATTATAAAGACGGGCTCTCGCACAGTAAAAATGCCCCGGTCGCTGCATTCCACGCAAGCAAAGGACACCCCCGAGGCCGAAGACGGCCAGGAAGGCCTTCGTGGTCCACGCGTGCTTATTGGCTGCTGCTGCTTTCAGGTGGGGGGGATCCTTCACTTCATTTGATTTCATTTCATTTCCCGGTGTTACTTTGGCGCATCCCCCCACACCTCCGCATCCACAGTCCCGCCATAGACACGTTGGCAGCCCCTCTCGATGGACCCAACACTCCTCATGATTGCTTCGTCTTTGGCGCACCCTTCGATTTTTTGTATTTCCTTGTGAGCCATCGTCAATCATCATCATCGTCACTCATCATCATCTCCATTATCATCCCCATTATCGTCTCCATCATCATCGATGCCTCGACTGACAAGGCTGACTATGCTTGCTTGCATCTCTGTCATCACTTCCAATCGAACAAGTGGCTCCGCTCACCCACTAGATCCCATTTCTTGGGCATGCCGGATGGCTCTCAATCATGAGCACGGATGTGTGCGTGGTGGCATGTGTAATATATGTTTTATAACGTGCATCGATGTGTATGTGCGTATGTGAGCGTCTGCGTGTGGACATGGCACATAGCCGATCGGGATCCCATGCGCTTATCGCTTGGCTGTCTTGGCTGCGATGGTGATGGTGATGACAGGGGGCGACGGGGGGAGACAGGTTGGGAACAGGAGCACCAGAGCACATGCTTGATCCTGTGTTGAAGATATAAAGCGTGGACGTGCACCCGTCTTAATGTGGCACTTGCTTTCCTATCCTTCCCTCACCTCCCTCACCCCTGGCTTCCTGTCACCTCCTTACCCCCTCTTTTCTTCATCCGTGTCTAGCTCTCCATCGAGTCCTCCTTGATACTCCCAGCATCCCGCGATATCTCCGTCACCAGCGATCCAGTCTGCCATTGCACCAGCCACACCGTCATGCCACTGTCCTCATTCGAACGCAACTCGTCTTACTCTCCACTCCAGCACATGTCCGGCCCCGAGTCTCCAGAACCGTATGTGACACAACATCAGCAGCGCAATGATCAGTACTCGGTCTCGCCACCTCCAGTCTCTCAGCATTACCCAAGACCCCATCCACAGGACAATGCTGAATACAACCCAACATCCCCTGCCCCACAACGGCGGCCATCTTATCCAGTATACCACGGGGCTTCACGTCATGATCCCTATGAACAAGCCTCGCACACTGTGGACACCCTGCCAGATGTCTATGGGCACCACAGGAGTCAGTCATACCACGGCCCCACCCCTGATATTCGACATGTATCTCAACCATCATCATCCGACACATTCCCTGCGTACTATGCTCATCAGCGTTTCCCAGATCCAAACTCCCACCATGAGCAGATGTCAAGGAACCGTCAGCAGTTGCCGCCGTCTCGAAGATCGTTCGCAGAGGAGACTTCGCATTATGGTCAAGAAATACCACACACGTTCCAGGGCAGGCAGCGAAGCCAGAGCAGTGTAGGACCAATTTCAACATTCCATTATCAAGACTCTTCTTCAGGATCAATTTTGCCGCCCTCACGGTCCTCACAATCGCCACACTCTCTAAGCTCACCGCCTCCACAGCCTCACTCGCGATCACCCCAGACCCCGCCGCTGACACCTTCGCCGAGAGAGTACAGTGGCCGGGCGCAGAACCATCAACCTCACCAATACCCCTCTCGTCCAACAAGATCGACTAGCGGCAGAGTGGTGCACAAGACTTCTACACGTGAATCGACCGTGGCACCGAACCGAAGAATGGCCCATATTCTCTCTGAACAGAAGCGGCGAGAAAAGATCAACGGCGGTTTTGATGAACTCAAGAGTGTCATCCCCGAGTATGTCATACAAACTGATCCATACCCAAGTCGTGCTCCATGCTGGCCTTCTATAAACTGACATGGTATCTTTACATCCACCCAAATAGCTGTGCACAGAACACGGATTCAAAAGCAACTATTCTGCGAAAAGGTACGTGCCATATATACATGCTGCTCCAGAAATGAACCTGTTGCCCTCAATTGCAAGCAACCTTGACTTATCTTCTTTCTTGTTCTCACTCGTTTACATTTTTTTTTTTTTTTTTTTTTTTTTTTTACATCGCCAGCCGTGTCATACATTCTAATGCTTGAAGACGAACTGCGAAAGTACACCGGCACATACGATCAACCTATCGGCCACCCGGAGCCCTTACATAGCGACCATGGACACGAGCAATAATAAATTCCTCTCATGTCGATCAGAACAACAAATCCTATCACTTCGCAAAGCAAAGGCCGTTACACCGGAGAGATTAAAAATGTTAATTAGGGGCACTACGGAAAGAGATTTTGGAGCTGTGCTGATCTCTGGGAGGGGATGCTGTAGTATACACGTGCATGTTTGCAATTTGGTTCATGAGGTTGGCAGAAGGCGAATCCTATCGGATAAGTGATGAACCCGCCGTGTCACTACCGTGCGCAGAGTCCGGCATTGAGTACGTTGCCGAAAATGCAGGCGAAGACATGTAGGGGCTTTGATAGGTGCCTCCGTATTGAGTGAATGATGTGGATGAGGTTCTGGTGTACGGGCGAATATCGAGAGAGGAGTCCCGCTGGGTATGCGGAGTACCGAGCAATGTTTGGGAACTGCCGTCGAGACTCGCTCGTAGGGTCCTGAGGTTCTCAAGGTCTTCCAAGGTTGATGGCTCTAGAGGCTCGGGAGCAGAGACAATGTCTGTGAGTTCCTGCTTCGCGATACCATATGAGCCCATTCCGTACAATGGGCGTCCAGGGACACTGACTACAGTCTGGTAATGCGACGGCGACCTCGATATGTCGCCGCTCGAAGCATCTTCGTTAATTGTGCTGGACGGCGGGTACTCTTGAGGAGCATGCGGAATGCGCGTCGCTGTAGCTGCCTGCGTCGCAAATTCGTCCATGATCGACTCTGCCTTGGCGTAGGGGTTCTGAATTTGACTGTAGTTTTGTTCGCTGGGGAGTCCGTTCGAGTACTTCAGTAGGCTATGCGTCCCGGTTTCAGCGTGGGGGTATCCGGCCAGCAGCGGATGCGCAAAAGCGACTACGGGAGTGGTACCGCTGCTTGGGTTGCTATCACCATTGCGGCTGACCCTATGCTCCTTTTGCAACATGTCCTCGCTCTTCAACACCATGCCTTTGGTTTGCCGCTCCTCCTCCTCATGCATGCGCATCCGTCGTCTTCTCCTGATAAACCAGATTCCAATTACGATGAGCAGTACCAATGCAACGCCCCCAGCAATCACTCCAATCATCAATGAATTGGACTTCTTTGGGGTGTAAATGTCGACGGTGTCGCCCCATTGTTGAGATCCACCATTCCAGACACCGACAGATTGGTCCAGATAGTCGAGCGGAGGAGATTCCTGTGGGGCACTGAAGTCCAGACTTTTGAGCCCGCCATGCAGAAATATCTGCTGTCCTTGTCCGATGACTGTCGCGCCGCGGAACATTGTGTTTCTAGGTCCTCCTGTGATCCCAGACAGCATTGTCGCCACGTTTTGGTTCTTATCAAAGACCACAATCTGCTGCTGTGTGCTCGACCCACCACCGTTTCCAGGGAAGATGTCGAGTTGCGAAGGTGATACTGGATATGCAGCGGACCCCCTTGTTATCTTTGGAAGTGAACCCATGTTTCCAAACATGACTACCACTATTTGGTTCATGAATTTGTGAAACTGATTAGATTCTTGATAACCGTTTGCTATGATTTTCTATGCTTCTTCCATATGCGCTTACCGTTTGATGGCGCTTGCTGAACAGGAAAAGACGTAATTGCATCCCAGTCCTGGACCTGGCCCGTTACTAATGTCGAGTAACCTCCTATGATGAACGCTCGCCCGTTGCCGTAATTCTTTTTAGGCTCATTTTTATCCTGTCCCAAGATGGCAAGTGTATAGTGTCGGAAACCAGCCGGCGGCAGCAAGGTTCCTCCGCCTGGGATGGCGCCCCAGCCGCTCAAGGCCCCCGTGGTGCCTGGAGGGGTTGTTTGAGATGTCCCAATTGCGAGCGTGACCAGCCATGTATTCGTGTCCAGATAGTACGGCTGAGGTTGGCTGTTCCATGTGAGAGTGCAGACGACGAGGGCCGTAAATCCGTCCGCCAGGATCCTTGACTGAATGTAGACTGGGTTCAGGAACATGTTCGAGGATACATTTGGGCCGAATATGATGGACGAGGCCGGTGTGGCAGTGTCGCTCCAGGAAGATGTACCGATGTTGTAGACAAGCAATTGGAAACCCCCGCCTACTACGATAATACGCCCATCATCTGTTGCAAAACAGTCGATCCACGAAGGTGTAGATGTTGGAGTCTGGCTTGAATAGGTCATCGTAAGGTTTGTGATTTGAATGGGTACAGGAGAATCTGGCAGGTCAAGCCAAGGGAATGTTTCTGGGTCTGCAGTGGAAGCTGCGGTCAGGGGTAATTTGAGGGACGTAAATGCAGCATAGCCGTCGGAGGTCGGTGCAGTGCCTCCTAGGAAATAAAGGGTGTTTTTATGTTCAACCACGCAATGACCCGCACGTGGCCCTGGTCCTTTGGACTGAGCATGGGTATGGAAATGGGGCGTAAAGGCGAGGATGGCTGAGAATATGAATAGTTTCGTTACTCCCTCCCGGATACTGGGGATACGACAGAGCATTGACGATACTAAAGCAGTATGACCAGTGTGAGGAGAGTGTAATTAATGGAGAATAGTTTTGGAAATGAGCAGGATAAGATGCGTATGAGAAGAAGGGGCCTTAGGGGATGGCGGAGATGGATGGAATAGTGGATGGAGCCGGGGACGGGAAAAAGAGAAGGAGAGAAGTCGAAGGACAGGAGAAAGAAAAAGCGACAGGAACGAGAGAAGATTGAGAGCATAGTCTACTTTGAATGTGACCAGCCGAGAACAGAAAGCTGGAAGGGCGAATGGCGGTCAATGGGTCGGCGCAGTGCACAAGGGAGGGGGTGAGTGGCCAAAAGAGAGCAAACAGCGCGGCGTGTACCACGCTCGAGGATGTCTTTCGAAAACAAACAACAAAACATTTTGTCCGTGGAAAGAAACACAGTGCTCTTCGGTGGAGGGTGGGGAGAGACGCATTCCGTCTTTCTCGTGGACTCTTTGTCCTCTTGTACTAGTGTAATGCGGACGTGTACTTGACAGGGCCCATGCTAGGGCTGCAGAACAAGGCCAGGGCCAAAGCATAGAAATCTACGCGCGTGTAAGAAGCGCCAAAACGCGTCATGACGCGCCTTAAGGTGGTACTTCAGCGCGTAGAGGGGAGTTCAGAATGTCGGAGCGCGAAAGTTGGGCCGTGTCTGGGCTATGGCACAGATTGAGTGGACTGACTGACAGCAGTGACGATGACCGCGTGTTGTGCTGTAATACTGTAGCCTACTGTAGACTATCGCAGGTACGGTTGATGTGACATCAAAAGAGCGAGATTTGCACGCGATCGCTCATTGGTTCCTTGCTTGTTTCACAGGTCTCGCCACTACATCTCGGCTCAGTCCATCTGACTTTCCTCATCCCACACTCTTCCCCTTCTCCCTCTCTCTCTCTCCCTCTCTCTCCCTCTCTCTCTCCCCACCTCTGTTTCTTCTGTTAGAGCCCTCTACCGCGCCAGGACTCATGTAAGGACACCGGACACTCTCATATAAGATGCTGGTCGCTTGTCGCCTGCCTCTGGAATCAGATCGCACCTTCCTGTGCACAGGACGCTTTCTTGCTCTGCGGCAGAGGGCTTGCTACTCAGGACGAGCAACCACCAGCCTGGAAGTTCAGTTCAGTACAGTTCAGTCAATCAGTCGACGATTAGTCTCCTGCCGCTTGTAACTCGGCAGTCAATAAAACGATTTGCAGCTTATCAAGCGGTGGATCGTGGATGTCATGGCACACCTCTGTTTTCAGACCCCTTCCTTTTGTCCGTTTGACCGTTGCGGTTTACCACTGAAACACAATCCTGAGTGGGATTTTTGGACTTTACTACTTTTGGCCACCAGGCTGGTTTGGCCCTGAGAACGCGCCTCATCCCAACCCCTTTCTTCATTCTGATTCACGAGGAATCATCGCCCAGAGATGCTGCCTACAGCTAGAAGTTGGGCCTGTCGTACTAATCGTCGTTGATTTCCTCCGTTACCTTCACCAGACCAGCTCCACTACTACCTTTCCAAATACCTATCCCTTTGTACGTTACGCCTGATAATCGATGGGTCAGACACTTTCCGCACCCATTACGGATAAGCACTCAAGTGCTGGCCACGATGGACGCTTTGCCTACGGAGCCTCGGCTATGCAAGGATGGCGAATCAGTAAGGGTCTTCGCTTATTTGAGCTGCACATTGTGGTAATCGGCCACTAGTGTCATGCAATTGCTAATATTGGCGTATATGGTCGTCATTTCATCGAAATAGCCATGGAGGACGCTCACACAACCTTGCTGGAGGTAGAGGATGCCAAGGGAACCGCGTTTTTTGCCGTATATGATGGCCATGGAGGTTAGTCATGTGGTCACAGTTATTAAAGTGAAAGTTGACGCTTCAATGTGTCAGAAAGAGCAATACACTTAACTGACTCTTTGATTGTGCGCAGGCGCAAATGTGGCCAAATACAGCGGCGAGGGACTACACAAAAGGATCATTGCTGACCATGCGTTTTCCAAGGGAGATTATAAGACGGCCATCAAAAACGGGTTTCTAGAGATGGACAGGGCGCTTCGCCATGGTAATGAAAAGCAACATCAAAAGTTCGACATGATCATTAACAACGCCATCTTTCAAGTCGACATGACATACTGACAACTTCTTTCCCTTATCTTTCATAGATCCTGAATATGGCGGCGACTCTTCAGGATGTACAGCTATAACGGCTACTATCACGGATAAAAACATCCTCTTTGTGGTAACGTCTCGTCAAGGATGCGATTTTGCAAACAATGACTCTGAACCAGAACTACAACTCATTTGTCAACATGGACTCGACACCATTCTAAATGACTCTAGGGAAACGCCGGTGACTCTCGAGCGGTCCTTTGTAGTGATGGAGCCGGTATTGCTCTGTCGAACGATCATAAACCTGTGAACAAAGGTAAGGAAACTGAAATTGCAGGCTTTCACTTACTGGGAGTGCTCTGAGTGAACTGACCGACTAATTTTGCGGCCATCTCATAGAGGAATCCAGAAGAATCGTCGCTGCAGGAGGATTTGTAGAGTCTGGTAGAGTTAACGGTAGTCTTGCGCTCTCTCGTGCATTGGGCGATTTTGAATTCAAGATGAACTCCACTTTGGGGCCGGAAGATCAGATCGTCACCGGTATGCGAAACGGAGTGTATTTTGTGTAGGAAACCAATCAATGAGCTGTCAGGACATACTTATTGACTATTGAATGCCGTTGCCACATTAGCCAACCCTGTTATCACGGAACACCCCTTGACTGACGTTGACGAATTCTTGGTTCTTGCTTGCGATGGTATGGCTTGCTGCCTTTGAGCTCAAGCATTATGCCTTTGTATCTAGCCTTTTGACTAATGGTATTGCTACTAAAATACACAATAGGCATCTGGGACTGTATGAGCTCGCAGGAGGTGGTCACCTTTGTCCGCAAGGGAATCGCCGACAAAATTCCTCTTAATACGATTTGCGAGATGACCATGGATCATTGTTTAGCATCCGACAGCGACATGAGCTACATTGGCTGCGACAACATGACCATGCTTATTATCGCCTTCTTGAATGGAAGGACGGTCGAGGAATGGTACGAGAATATCAGCAACCGTGTCGCTGTACGACTCGGACCCGCCGATCCATCAATCTCCAGACCTAACGGAGATGAGGATTCCGAGGCCGCAGCTGATGAATACTCTACTACATCGGAGCAAAAGACGGAAGAGACGACAGCAGTCGCAGAGTAACCTTACCAGGGTCACTCTCAGGCATCTTTTTATTTTAGGCATCGCGTCCATCTGAAACGCATTCAGGTTTATTTTCTTCTCGACTGTGCAAGCAAACAAGCAAGCACCCATTCATGCATTTGAAACATGTACCTTTTGTGCCTTGCCCACCACTATTTTACAAGTATTCCAACCTGTATTCATATCAGCATTTGGCAAGCGGATTGTTTCCCTTTTAGGTGCGAGCAGCTTTAAAGATTGATAATAAATTAGGTGGTTCGCTCGTTCGCCACACCTTTCCGTCTATGGTTCTATGCCAGCAAGGGCTTCTTGACACAGATCGAATACATCAAGGGCAGCATGGGGCCATCAAAACACCATCGGACGCCTTCCTTGACCTTTTCTGGAGTCATACACTTGTAAATCTTGTAAAAGTTGGAGTAAGGATATTCCTTGAAATGCGAGAGCTGTAGGCCGGTCTCTGCCATGGATCCAATTACATCTGCAAGGCCCCAGCAAAACTCTGTACTTGGGTTGCTGTTTTTGAAGTCCTTGATGCCCTCGGCGTACGTGAGGTTCGGCATGACTTCTCTATCTTCTGTCGATGACAGAGCCACATAGTCGCCGACGCCATCTTCGCTGTGGATGGGCTCTCCGGCGCTCGAGTATGGGTACTCATGGACCATATCTGGGTTGAAGATGTACCCTACGGGGTGAAACTCGACTAGGCAATATCGTCCGCCAGGTTTCAAGATCTTGCTGACACCAGCAGCGTATTTCTATGAGGGGGGGGGGGAAGGAAGGATTGTTGTTCAATACTGGTTAATACGGGTGACAAAGCAAAGCGATGTGTTTGACGGGGTCCGCTGATTCAAAGTTGTCTTTTACCTGCATGCTACTGAGCCAATTGAGGGCGCCATAACTCGCGAAGACGACATCGAATTGATCTGGCTCTGCGGTATTGAAGTATTCGAAAATATCCGATCGGATAAAGGTTGCATCGATGCCAGAGTCCTTTGCGAGCTGGGTTGCGAAATCTACGGCGGTGTCACTGATGTCGATGCCGACAGGGTTTTCTGCACCGAGCGTGGTAACAAGACTGAGGGTATCCTGACCGCAGTTGCACTGGAGGTGGCAGACCGAGAGGCCGGCGAGATTCCCAAGGAGATCCATTTCTTCCCTGAAAAGAGTTGAACCCTTATTCTTGAAGAATAGATGCTGGTCGACCTTGTGGCTGTTGTGAGCAACAATGGCATGGTTCCAGGAGGCACGGTTTCGTTCGTGGGATTCAATGTTGGTTGAGGCCATTGTCGATGGTCTGACGGCGATGGTTGGCTATTGGATATTATGTCAAAAAAGAGGAATGGAACTCCCCCAGGGTTTATATAGGTTGTTTGCTTCTCTCCGAAAATCCGTGCTCCATTGAAGTCCAATGGCCCTTCTAAAAATTGCGCCGCTAAAGTATGACATATTCAGGAACGAGTACCATTGGATCCTTGAGAGCCGGACCGGACTATCGGCCAGTCCAAAGATTTTGAGATCCAACGCTATCGCTGTTGTCCGCTCGTCCAGAATGTTTGGAGTTATGCTGCTGCACCTACACGGTACCAGTTACCGGGTCTGTACACACTTTTTTTTGGTTGGCTGCAAAATCAGGGTCCTTGCGTGGGAAACAACCGCAGATGGATCGATTGGCGGGACTGTCGATTCCATTCTCTTGTTGCAAGGCCTCTGTGCAATTAAAGAAGGTAGATAAGCACCGCGCCACAGCGCCGTTTCAAAGATCACATCCCAACACATCCCTCCATTCAATTCTCTGTCCCAACATCCACACACAGCAACACCAGGAACATGTCTGAGATATCGGCATCCATCCAAGAGACCAAGTACGCTATTTACTCACTTTATCCCATTCGTTCGTTCGTCAGTCGCTGTTTTTGTGTTCAACGATTCCTGGTTCATGTTGGTAACGATATTTTCTATGCTCATTTCTCTGTCACCTAGTGCCATTCGTGCTAAGCTTGGCCTCAAGCCTCTGAAAGAGGGCCCAGAAACAAGCGGCGCCAAGCTTGCTGAAGATAATTTGAAGCGGCAGCGTGAGGAAGAGGCCCAAAAGGCGCGCGAGGATGCGATCAAGAACAAGATCGCAAAGGCCCGCACCAAGCGCGAACTCAGCAAGGTCCTTTCAGGAAAGGGGCTCGGTGAAGCCAGCGACGAAGATGATACAGAGGATGTCTACAAGTGGACCGTAAAGTCCAGGAACAAGGAGAAGGAGCGACGGACAGCTGAGGCAGCGCGGCGGGAAAGGGAACTACAGGAGTTGGACGAGGTTTATCAACAGGAATACGATGAGAATCACCTGGCAGGACTTCGTGTGGGCCACGACATCACAGACTTTCAGGAGGGCGAGGAACGAATTTTGACGCTGAAGGACAGTACAATCCTTGAGAACGAAGAGAATGGCGACGAGCTGATCAACATTCAGATGAGCGAGCGAGAAAGGTTGGAAAAGAACCTAGAGAACAAGAAGAAAAAGAACAGACCTGTTTATTCGGGATACGACGACGACGAATTCTTAATGGGGAAGAAGAAGGGGATCCTGTCACAATATGATGAGGTTTTGGGAACCGAGACTGGAAATGACGGATTCGTCCTTGGAAAGGTCAGCCGACCAAAACGAACAACAGATAGCCAACGTGGATCGACTTCTCAGCAGGCTGGCTTGAGCGCCAAGGAGATCATGAACCAAAAGCTTAAGGAATCAGCGATTGCACTGACATATGACAGTACGTATTGCGCTCTACTAGATACCAATAATATCGATGGTTTTTAGTCTTAATCGCTTACTAACGCACTGGTTTTTATTCTAATTTGTTTCATAGAGACCCAGCAGGCCCAGGATTACTATACCAAAGATGAGGCGGAGGTATCATTTAAGAAATCCAAGGTAAGCAGCGCCGAGGGCTCGATTGGCTTTTCTTCTCGATGATACAATGCAAAAATTGCCGCTGCTGATGATTGCTAATACAATTTCTCTTGCTCCTTTGGCAAACACAGAAAAAGAAAAAGTCAAGATCGAGGAAAACCGATAGCTGGGAAGACGATGAGAATCAGGACGACGACGCTATGCAGGTGGAGAGGTCACAACCCGTTGACATTTCGGAGCTGAACTTTGTTGATGACGAGGATTTGCAGGCATCTCTCACAAAGGCGCGGCGAGCCGCAACTAAAAGGACGCTCAAAACGTTGACGCCGGAGCAGATTGCCAAAAACAGTAAGAACCGCTCGTTGTATGAGACGCATTTGCTATTATTCCAGCATCGTGCCAACTAACCAAGTGTTTCTCGCTTCTTTTTTACTCCTCATAGTTGCTGAAAGCATGACCATGGAGATGGACCAGGACGACACCCAGAAAGGAGGCTTGGTCATTTCAGATGTATCAGAATTCGTCTCCAATCTCTCCTCTTCTGCGGTTCAAATTTCTTCATCCCGTCCAACACCATTGACGAGAGCACGGGAGCAGAGTGCGGAAGCTGGAGATATCGCATCTCTTCCTGTGGAGGAAGGCACAAAGCAGGACTCGGACATGGAGGACGTTAATGGTAGGGATGAGGAAACTGACTCCAGATCTAGGACGAGAGCAGCTTCAGAAGACTCCGTGGACAAGGATGTATCCATGAAGCCATCGTCCGAGGAGGAGCAATCGACAACGGTATGTTACTTCGCATGATTCGATGTGTGTGTGTTTTGATATTCTATTGTTAACATTCAACCTGCTTCTTATTAATACTTTAGGAATCTGTACTTGTTGATGAGCCGCTGGTCAGCAGAGGATTGGGTTCAACTTTAGCCTTACTGAAGCAAAAGGGCGCTTACGAAACGGGATCCGCTGAGCAGGCCGAGAGGGCCAAGGTACAGGCTGAAAGGGCCAAATGGCTTGCGGAGTCGAGACTTCGGGAGGCCAAGCTAGCCAGGGAGATGGTACGAGACAAACAGCGGGACAAGGAGCGGTCGAAAGACAAGAATTATTCCATTCGAGATCGCGAGAGGGACCGCGAGTACGAGAACCAGAGGAGAGAACAGCAGCTCTTGGATGAGCGCGAGGCTCGCATGAAGAACTACAAACCGGATATCAAACTGGAGTACATTGACGAGAGCGGCAACCGTTTGAATACGAAGGAGGCATTCCGTCAGTTGAGTCACGCCTTCCACGGAAAGACTTCTGGCAAGATGAAGACTGAGAAGCGCATGAAGAAACTGGAGGATGAGAAGCGATTGTTGGGCATGAGCAGCACGGACACGCCGCTCAACATGGTATCAGCCTTCCAGGAGCGACAAAAGGCTGCTGGATCCGCTCATATTGTATTAGCCGTTGGAAACCGCAAGTAAGTACTTTTTTTTTCTTTGTGTTTTAATCCGGGCATCTATTCAGCTTCGCCTTGACTGACCCCTCTTGCTATCAACTACGCTCCTCTCTGTGGTTCCAGTGCTGTGCCTTCAAGTTTTACTGCGATGACTATGGGTGGTACGACATCAACGACCGCCACAGGCTCCGTTTCAGGAACGGCATCTACGAGTGGGGCATCTACGAGTGGGGCAACAAAACACCAGTCTACGTTTGCGGCACCCAACCAAGTGACGCAGCCAAACATGTCAATTTCTGGGATGCATGCGCCTAACCGCGAGAAGGTGACCTTTGGGCTGAAGCGCAAGGCTGACCCCGTACCTGGGACAAGTCAGAATGAGTCTGCGACCAAGAAGACCAAGCACGACAGTTAGAACGACGAACGGACCATCGATGTTTTCAGAGCCAATAAAAATTGAAGTGGGCCGGTGACTGGTTTCCTGAGCCAATATCAATTCAACCATAAACCCCCACGCCTCTCATCGTACTTTTTCACCCATCTTGGCCTCCCGCTTCCACTCACCATCTACCTTCCTGCCCTTTTCACTCAGTCTATTTGACAGACCAGTATCTATTTCACGATGGCTGCAAGATTCCTGGACATGGCGCTTGATGATGTCGCTAAATCCCGCGCCGCCAACAACAGAAGCCCTAATCCTCGACGTGGTGGTCGTGGTGCAGGACCAACTGGACGAGACAGCCCTGGTCGCTCCAACCGTTCTTCGCCTTACACTGTAAACGCCGTCTTTTCCTTTTTCTTTTGTTATTTACAACATGAACTGCTGTTTCTATATGTTTTTCGGGACGAAAATTGACGTGTAATATCAATAATAGCGGAACACGCCCGAGGACCGCTGGACGCATGACAAGTTCGATGAGACAGCTCAAAGGAGCTCAGGAGGACGCGGCGGTGACCCCAAGAGGGCAAACGATGGAAATGCCGGAAATGCAGGAAACGCAGGAAACGCAAAGATTGTTGTCGAAAACCTCCACTATGCTGTCACTCTGGAGGATATCAAGGTATATTATGCGGAAGATCGAGCGTGAGGCTATGCTGAAGATGGATGATGGGATTTCGATCGACTGACCATGGACCTTGGGTTCTCTTCTTGCTCTTAGGAACTTTTTGACACGCATGCTGGTCCAGTCAAGGTACTAGCCCTATAGGAGTCGCAAAAACTAACGATGTCATATCTGGGATATGAGAGCAGATCAAGTGTGTTGTGGTTATCGCGCCGACAATCGCAGCTGCAGCGATAACGACGACGAGACGATAATGGGGAGGAAAAAATTTGGCTGAGCTGTGTCTTATTGCTGGAAGACACAAGCACTCAGCCGAGGATATCGCCTCTCTCTACCTCCTTGCCTCGCTGACTGTGTGCCCGAGTATCTCAACCTATCCTTCCCTCGTTCTTTGCTTCTCGTTCCCTGCTTCTCGTTCGATTCTTTGCACCTGAATAATCGACGCAAACAACAATTAGTTTGCAGAGGTCAAGTACGATCTTTCGGGACGATCGACAGGCGTTGCTACGGTTCTATTCAACAATCCAGCGGATGCTGCCACTGCCATCAAAAAGCTTCATGGAATCGCTCTTGATGGTACATGTTTTTTATGTGATTTTATTGCTCTTCTGTTTTCTCTGGTGGAAGCTGATATTCAGCATGATTTGCTTGTTTCCAGGTCAGCCCATGAAGATCGCTTATGCACCGCTTCCTGCGAGTCGCAACCAGCAAGACAAGCGACAGGGTCCTTCTTCGAGAGATGGACCAAAGAGAGATGTGTTCTCACGGTTGGGTTCAAGGTGAGAACCAACAGACTATTCATGTTTTATAGATCGTCAGTTGGTCCTCAAAAACCACAGTTGCTGACCGCCTTGATATGTGTGCGATACAGCGAGGCCGATATTGCTTCGCGACTTGGCAAGTTGAACCCTGTCTCAAAGCCTACAGGTGGTCGCAATCAGGGTTCATCGAACCAGGGATCATCGAACCAGGGATCTTCGAACCAGGGATCGTCGAGCCAGGGACGTAGACAAGGAGGGCAGCGTGGGGGACCACCCAAAGATAGACAGAAGCCTCAGGTCAAGACAGCAGAGGAGTTGGATGCCGAGATGGACACATATATGGGCGATGTAAGCTCAATTGTATTCTTTTTTTCCTACTCAGGAGCTATCTACTTATCAAAATGGACACTAACACTATTGCTTTCTATATTCTAAACCATTACAGGGAACGGCATAAATAACGTATTGACTTGAACCCGTGCCATGGAGACGCTCAGCAGGGATTTACTTTATTTGTCAATAAAAAAAAATTCTGAAAGGACAAATGGATCCAACTTTGTAGTCCTACAACCCAGAGTTGAACTGTTAGTAATACGAGAGCACTGAAACAGCATCCACTCTTCACTTTGGAGGCCCTCGTGGCATCGTCCTCGGATGTCGAGAGCTTGAAGATGACTTTAGTGCCTGTTGAGTGGCGCTGATACTGGTGCTAGCGGCGCTAGGATAGGGAGTAGCTTAGAAAAAAAGCACGAGCTGGTCGTGTCGAGCCTGGGCCTGCAGGACATTCAAGGCTTTCGTATGTCGCCCGAGATCAGAGATAAACGTCAGGTTTTGCATCGTAGCATGGTTCTGTAGGAGAAGGTGGGAATGTGAAGGTGAAGGACTGATAAAGTCAAAAGGTGTGCTTTAGTGAAATAAAGGAGTGGGGAATTGCCAAAAAGCGCGGATTTAATAGGCATCAACGCATGCGTGTATGCACTGCCAAGAAAGCAAGAACGCGAAGCCTTTTCTTGTGTTTCAGCAGGCCTGGATAGATGCGGGGAAATAAGAGGACAAGGAGTGATTGATAGCCTGAGGATAGCATTCATATTAGGGAAGCGTTTTTTTGTCACGTTCAATCCAACTATCGTTGGTGGGTGGGGTTTACACATGTAAAGCGTTGTTAGCACGACGTTCTATTACTAAGCTACACGAGCTAGGATATGTCTGTCGTCCATTACCCGCTACACATAGATATTCTATGAACTGCACCATCGCACAGCACGCAGCAAGTATTCTTGAAATATCATGCAGCAACATTCCAGACGTGTCTCGCACTTAAACATCTGAGATGAACCAAAGACCAATCGAGCGCGTCAAGCTATGCCCAATAGCTCTGCGTTCCTGTACCTCAATGGTCGTTGTGAGACCGACTATCCTGCGGTCCCAGTGGGGGTAGGAGAGCGTGTTTCAGCAGTATTATCTACTTGTTCCAGCGCGCCATCATATCCAAATTAAAAGCCAGTCCCTCCGCTGTCGCGTTGTATTTTTTCATCCGAGGTATCTGTCTCCAACCATCCCGGAAGGCTCTGAAGCTGCGGCGAAAATTGATGGTGCGGTGCTGCCAAAGACTGAGGTTGCGACTGTGGATTGTTGAGCCGTTTCTGATCACGTACAACCGTGAGGGCCTGAGATCGAAACTTTGGACATAACCCCCAGCGTGAGAGAAGACGCCAGGTGATGATGTAAAATACGAGTTCCCAGAAGGTGAAGAAGGGTATCAAGATAATAGGTGTTGAAACCGGGTGATAGTACATGAAGTACCTAGAGGAGGATAATGTTAGTTCACGAACGACACCATTTCCTCCCATTCCGCCGTCTCTCTCTTTTTTTTTTTTTTTTTTTTTTTTAGCAAGGATGAAGGATTTACCGCAGTCCACTGAAATGCGCGTCAATATGGAGTGTCGTCTTGTAGACCTGTAATCTTGGGTCCGATATCTCCACAAACACTTGGACGACCGGGTTCGAGGAGTCCTCAACAAAATCCGTAATCATCGGCACTTTGATCGTCTGGGCTTCTTGACTCCATTGTAAGATAAGAGGTATGGCTCTCCAAGCAGTACGTAAAAATCGCACGGCCATCGACTCGTACTTCACAATTGCCTAAGGACGAACAGCAGCACACAAGGGGGGGGGGGAGGTTTCAGTCATTGAAGTTGATCAACCTAGTTTTTATACAAAAAAAAAAGAAGGGAAGACTTACAGATCGACTGGAGCTCATGATGCTGTTTCCACCAGCGTTCAGTAACTGCACCTTGACCATGAAATTACCCAGCCCAGTATTTATTTCCGAGGTCGGCACCGTCAGAACTACAGATAGATGGTATGCTTGACCATCGCGAAGAAACTAACGCGCGCGTGATAATAAACGAGAAATATGGAAACCACAAATTTTCATTTAAACGCGACATTCATGCTCATGCTATAAAATGTTTAGGGGAGAGCTATACATTCAGTTAGTCTACCTGTGCATGCCGCCCACCATGTGTGAAATCCACGAGCGCCTTTGGTCCTGTTGCTATTGTGTTCGATGTTCTACCCGGATCCAAGGAAAAAGTCAGTCAAAAGCAAAAGACAACGAAACACATCAACAAACATCTTATATTCATCACCCCTCCCCCCTCCCCCCTCCCCCAAAAAAAAGGCAGATAAAGCCTTACCTGGACTGACTGTACTGCAGATAAACGTCTCCAACATGGTCTCGCTGTGGAATATAGATCCAATAGAACACCGTGTACACACAGAAGGATATACCGACTAAGAACCCCACCGCCAGAATCGCAACCAACAATTTGATGACCTTACGCAGCAGAGGCGTTGGAGCATTAAAAACGCACCAACTACGTCAGCAAAAGGCGACGCGATAGAATTTTTTTGGTGAGCATAAGCAAATACATGCAGTAAAAGAATTTCGGCGTGCAATAACAGAATTATGCAGCTTTAGGATATAAATTACACCTACCGATCATTTTTAAATGTGCTTGCGAACACATATATGGTTGAGATGGGGTTTAGGCACTTCCTGGGGCCTGGCTAGTTGCCGATTCCTGCCCTGATGCCGCATTGGCCGCACGCTTGCGCCTTGGAGCTCCTTCTTGTTCTGCAGCCGCGGTTGATGCTGTCCTCTTTCGGGCCACACTGCCCTTGCTGGCGCTGGTGCTGCTAGTACTACTGGTGCTATTGGTGCTGCTAGTGCTACTGTTACCATTGATGCTGCTGCTACTGGTGCTCGCGCTATCGGTTACTGTCTGTGTAGCTTCCATCCAAGGATATCTACCATTCTCATCTACAGGCTGAAGATAGAGTGGCCTCTGTTGCTGAAGCAAGTGCCCTTGAATAACGTTGCAAATATTGTGGCCCGCCATGATATCGCGGTGCATGTATGTCTTGCAAGTCTTGCAATACAGCCGACGTATTTGAACCTGGCCGACAAACTCCTCGCACATCGGACACTTCTTTGACGTGTAGTACTCATTGACGCCCACGACAATATACCCGAGCGCCCTTGCCTAACGGACACAGAACGTAAGGCGCCTCATTAGCGTCATCAGTAGTTTTTTTTTTTTTAAAAAAAAAAAGAAATCGAATGTCTTGCAATGAAGCACTAACCCTTTGAACAAAGTACGATTGGAAGGACTCATGTAACGAGGAAAGTCGTCTCGTGGATGAAAACTTGCCTAGACCAATGCCGATTACAACCTTGTCCTCTTCATCTCGCTGTCTACCAAGCGATCCTCCAACCATATTGAGCAGGCGATCTGCGATGATGTCGAATTCTGCCTCTCTAGCTTTTCTGGCATCCCACTGGTGCTTTTTGAATGTGGCGCTTTTGTTGTAGAACTCGTCGAGCTGCTCCTTGACGCCTGCTAATCCCGCAACGTACTTTTCAACGCTGGCATCCTTTCCGCGAAGGGCTGGTAGCTCGCTTTCGATGTTGCTGATAGATTTTGCTGCGCCTAGCGGGATCGACCGTTTGCGTTCTTCTAACCAACGTCGAAACTTGAATGTTGGTTGGTATACGGCCTTCTGCTTTACAGCTAGGTTGTAAAAGACCTGGGAGCTGCGGGCGGAAGCCTCGGTGTCATTGTCATTGTCAGGTTGTTCGGTACCGACGGCACTGTTCTGTTGATGGAAGCTCCCCTTGGATCTCGGCATACTCGCTCCTGTAACACATGCTTGCTCTGGATTATAACTGTCGTTGCGTGGCTTTCCATTTTCGAGGCTGACGGATTTTTTCATGTCATCTAAGGTCTTCTCAGGCAATAGAGCGCTCGCTCCAACCACAAACGCTTGACCAAGATCGAGACCTAATATCTTGATTTTCTCTGGTTCACAGTCCCAAAGAACTGCGACATCCTGCTTCGTCTTGACAACGTTCCGAACCTCAGTTAGGTAGTAGTCGACTCCACCCACAGTGGACGTAATCCGAGAAGGCAATATGTCCGTGGGATGCCGCCTGTACCGAACCGAGAGAAGCTCCTTCAGCTTGAATGCCGTTAACTGGAGACGAAAGCCATCGGTCCGAATAGATCCGCGAATAACGTAACCGCGTTCCTTATAAGTGCGGGGGTCGAAATCCTCGTTCTGAATGATTCTCAGGTGCTCTTTGATCTCTGCAAGTGAAGGTGTCGCGAGGTTGTTGAATGATTTGCTGATTCCGGGCATGCGACGCTTTTTATGACCCAGTCCTGCGTCGGTGATGAGTGTCGTGAGGAGGTAGCCTGGTGCTTGGTTGGCCAGCCAGTACGACATGTCAGACAACGCAGGACGATAGTCCTTGGCTCCATGAAGACTCTGCAGCTTCGCCTTGAGTGTGTCGCTCTTCCAAAAGATTGAAATCAATTCCAGCTCCGTGAACGCGACGAACGGCTGCGCGGAAGGCGTACACGCCATTAACTTCCGAGGGTTCTTGGTCAGCGGGTTCAGACGGTAAAAGTTCTCGACCGCAGAGACGTCGCCACGAATGTCAATGCATGTCCCAGCCGGCAAGAGCCCTTTGACCAGTTGTTTCTTGAGCTGTTTTAAAGTTGCCGTGTGTAAGGTTCGAGTTAGCGGAATAGAACCTTGTAACCTTGAACCTTGTGTCCCTTGTATGTACATGTACATATGTTGTTCCCCCCTCTCTTTTTTCTCTCTTTCTTTCTCCCCATTTCGCCACAGAATACCTTCACTCTCAGTCATTCATTGTCTATGTCCAACATCGCCACTCCGGCATCCCTTACTCTTTCCTTCTCACATTTACCTTTTTATGGAGTTCCTTGCAGCCTTTTCCGTACAATCGCTTGAGATCAACCGACAGCTGCGCGATTATGCTTCGCAGTATGACTGACCCCGGGTATGGCATTCTCGTGTTGATGATAGCAGCATCTTTTCGTTCCAGTAAGTGTAGCTCCTGCGCTCGATCGATGAACCTCCGCGTGCACTGTATACTCTTCGTTTTGCCGCTAGGGATGATGCCCGAATACACATATGTTGTTAATATCCCAAGGAACCTTTGATGATCGTCCTTATCGACCTCCGAATCTGCGTCTCTATCCTCCTGCTCCTTGTCGATCTCCGAATCTATGTCCTCCTGCTCTTCGCCATCCTTATCACCATCCTTATCATCATCCTTATCACTATCCTTATCACCATCATTGTCCTTATTCGTACCCGGTATGCGCGGGCAGATGAGATCCAACAAATCCCTATCCGTTTCCTTAAAGATGGCTGGATCAGAGACACGCTCGATGAACCGACCAAGGAGCTGTTGGCAAGTGCGTTTTGTATCGGCTGCAAGGCGGATGGCTTCCCGGAGGCATCGGAGTACTTCAGAAGCTTCATCAGGGCTCAAGTCTTCAGCTCTTCTGACATTCGCGGATAAAGTCCCAACATCAAGTGTAACTGTTGGATGCTCCCAGTCAAGAGCACGCGTGAAGTCAGCCTTGTTCATCTCGTCAACTGACTTAACTTTCTTGGCGGTTGCTGGTTCAGGTTGCGTCGTATTCTGTGGAGGAATCACTGGCGCGGACGGTGCCATCGGAGTTGTCTTCCAGGGCTTCCATTGGTATTGTGTCATTGACTCTGGTAAGTCGTGTTGTATCTTGCGAGTCCGCACCTTCATAGAATACCGTGGGCGATGACGAGGTTTTTCTTGCTGTGAAACCGCTTGATGAAGTGTCGAAGACGTGGGCGCTACCGCAGGTTGAGGAAATGTTGAGGGTGAAGGTGCTTCCGTGAGTTGCGTAAGTGTCAAAAGCGGGGGTGTAGCCGCGGGCTGAGGATGTGTCGAAGGCGGATGTTCAGGTCGATCAATTGTGCGGTAGCGGTTGAATGTTTGTGAAGACTTGTGCCTTTGGGATTCATTATCATGCGTCTCACTAGATGCATTGCCATAGTACGTAGACTAGAGTTAGTAATGGACGCATTCAAGCGAAGGCAGAAGAATGAAGACTACAGGAGTAAAATTTTTTACCGTTTCCTGGCTTGAATGTTATCGCGCCGTTCTTTCCCATTGTCAATGCATTCTATTTGCAGACGGCGAAACGTAGACCAAAGTTCCTCGTATTGCAGCATCTGGTGGGACTGAGCTTGCTGCACATGCTGCAATGGTGTCTGCT